AGTTCCTTCGTCATTCCTCTGTTGGGACATCAGAGCTGGGCTCCACTCAGCCTGCCATACACCTTTTTAATGAGTCTGCTGCCCTCAGGTGGAGAGGAGAATGCTGTCCCTTTGCTAGTGCTGAAGTAAGATTGAAATTGCCAGTCCGGTCAGTTTCTATACATGGAATTGGGGGGGGGCACTTTTTTCCCTAAAGCAGCAAAAAGCCTTGCACCACCCCTGCTCCTGCTGCTCTACAGCAAGTCTGCTCCAAAGCTCAAGGATGCAAAAAGAACAAAAAGAAATGCTTGAATATTGTAGTCCAATCAGACATTAACATTCCAATTTTTGTCACTGAAGTTCATTTTACTCCCCTGCTCCCTCTCGTTTTGTCACTCCTCCTACCAAGGCAGTTAGGCCAGCAGTGCAGTGACTAGACCACTAGCTTGCTGGAATCGTTAATGCACCAGAGACTGCTATCCTATGCACACTTAGCTTGGGAAAACGTCCCATTGAACTCCATATGAGAGACCTCGGAGTCAGGCAAGCCTAGGATTGCACTGTCAGGCACTGCTCATCATGCACTAGCTTTTCTAGCTGATGGTGTGTGTCAAACAGAAGCCTTCTCTAGTTGAATAAGACAAAGACGACAATGACAAGTGCTGTGATGCCTTAGTGGTTGATTTATTCTGGCAGTTGAAGAGTAATGCCTACTTCATTAGAAGCTGGTACAAGGCCCATTTTATCTCCCAAGTCACAACAGCTAAAAGGCTGCAAAGACAGATTGTTGAAAAGTGTTCCTGCGTGGATATGCTCTATCCTCAACGTTAGCACATTTTTGTGTGTCTCTGTGTGTGTTTAAAAGCTCTTCACGGCATCACAGTGTCTTCTTTCTTCTATTTTATAATGCCTACTATGGTAGTTTCCATTTCTAGACGCCGTTTTTCAGGTGTAAAAGGGATTCGGATGATACTATGGTCTGGGAATCCACAGGAGCCCTTACAAACCATAACATGTTTCTGAAATTAACATTATTTACCAACATGGACCTTCCATTTAGAACCTCTAAACTGGACCTCTATAACTGGACGCAGGTGGTGCTGTGATCTAAACCACAGAGCCCAGGGCTTACTGATCAGAAGGTCAGCAGTTCGAATCCCCATGACAGGGTGAGCTCCCATTGTTCAGTCCCAGCTCCTGCCCACCTAGCAGTTCAAAAGCATGTCAAAGTGCAAGTAGATAAATAGGTACCGCTCCGGCACGAAGGTAAACGGTGTTTCAGAGAGCCAGTGTGGGGAGAGCCAGTGTGGTGTAGTGGTTAAGAGCGGTAGTCTCGTAATCTGGTGAACCGGGTTCACGTCTCCGCTCCTCCACATGCAGCTGCTGGGTGACCTTGGGCTAGTCACACTTCTCTGAAGTCTCTCAGCCCCACTCACCTCACAGAGTGTTTGTTGTGGGGGAGGAAGGGAAAGGAGAATGTTAGCCGCTTTGAGACTCTTTGGGGTAGTGATAAAGCGGGATATCAAATCCAAACTCTTCTTCTTCAGTGCACTGCTCTGGTTTCACCACATGCTGGCCACATGACCCGGAAAAACTGTCTGCGGACAATCGCCGGCTCCCTTGGCCAGTAAAGCGAGATGAGCGCTGCAACCCCAGAGTCGTCCGCGACTACATCCAACGGTCAGGGGTACCTTTACCTAATTGGATCTGAACATTTTTGGCATGTTCAGGGCTTCACAGTGCTAAAACATGGACCCTCCACCCGTTTCTGGCCATCATCTTTTCATACTCAGTTCATCAGGTCGTTTTCCATAGCCTTTTGCCACCTTTTAATCTCTAGACTTGATTTTGAGAGTCCAAACAATGTGTGGAGGGCCACGTTCCCCACCCCTGCCGTAAAGGGTGCCAGTAGGACCTTCTTGATTCTGCAGGATCTCTGGGACCCTAGTGTCCTCCTGAAATACTTGCACATGTTGGGAGAGACTTTTAAAGAGTTCTACCCTCCCTCACAGCCATGTTCCAGAAAGTGCTCTTCCCTATGAGAATTTTCCCTCAAGCTCCCATCTTGTCTCCTTTTAGCATCTACACAAAACTGCTAGGATAAGCAATTCACGGGACTCAGGCACTGTGTCATCAGTATGCTTCTGATGTCCCATTATGTTTCTCTTTTCCCTCTGCATCAGGTGTGAGGGCGCTTGATGAATGACTGCCCGAATCAGTAATAGACTGGGCGAGAGTGAATAAACTGAAATTCAAAGCAGGCAAAATGAAGTTGCTGATGGGAAGATCTGCTGATCCAGATGTCAGGGGAATTACCTGTTCCTTCTCCCATCAAGATTCGCAGCTTGGGAACGATCCTGGATTTAGTGTTACCTTAACACAGAGAGCAGAGAGCCATTGCCAGGAGTGTGGGGTTTGGCTTTTGGTTTATTTCCACGTTGGCTGATTCACTAGTTGTGCTCCTTTCTGGAGACTAAAGGCTTGGCCACTGTTGTGCACATTCTGGCAACTTCCCTAAGTGACAACGGCAATGTGCTAAATGTAAGGCTGTCCCTGGAAACTGTTCTGAAAGTGATTCAAAAGATGACAGCTTTGCTTTTAGCTGGCATAAGCCACAGGGTACATATAACTTAATCCTTTCCATACACAAAAACTTGCACTTGCTACCATGTTGTGTCTAGGCAAAGTTCAACATGCTGGGTTTGATGTGAGGAACATGTGGCTCTCCAGAGGTTGCTGGACTTCTATCAGCCCAAGCTAGCATGGCTAATAGACAGGGCTGGTGGGAGTTGTTGTCCCAAGAGCATCTGGTTCCCCATCTCTGTTTAGAGCTGTGAATGGTCTGAGTCTGGGGTACCTCAGTAGCACCTTCTCCTATGTTCACTTCTGTCCTTAACCTGACCCCTCCCCAATCACAACCAGTGGATTGAGAGCTGCTGCAAAATAACTTTTCCAGATACCAGCAACATTTTCCTTGGCCAGGAAAATATCAGCTGTATTTTCAGTGCTAGCTGTGGCATTATGGAACTCATCCACAAGCGAGACCTGCCAGTCCCAGAAAACCAGTTGTTATTTTAGGTGACCAGTAAGAACTACCAGGTTTTTGTAGAAGGTCGGTGGTTTGAATCCCCATGACGGGGATTCCCGTCGTTCGGTCCCTGCTCCTGCCAACCTAGCAGTTCGAAAGCACAAAAGTGCAAGTAGATAAATAGGTACCACTCTGGCAGGAAGGTAAACAGCATTTCTGTGCGCTGCTCTGGTTCGCCAGAAGCGGCTTAGTCATGCTGGCCACATGAACCGGAAGCTGTCTGCAGACAAACACCGGCTCCCTTGGCCTATAGAGCGAGATGAGTGCACAACCCCAGAGTCATCCGCAACTGGACCTAATGGTCAGGGGTCCCTTTACCTTTATGTGTTTTATTCTTGCTTTTTATCTCTTGAGTACCACCACCAAATCCACCCCTCCACCCACCCCCGTTTAGTGCCCCCAGCAGAATGCTGTTCCAGGAGAGGCTTGTCTGCCAAAGCTGCTTTTCTTCTCCTAGGAATTTTAGCATTATTTATTTTTTTTCCTTTCCAACAGTTTGTAGCATGCACACACTCTCGCTCTCCATTTTCCTTTGGCGGTGGTCTGTGGTGGTTCAGACTTATGTTAAGAGATGGAGGTATTGCTTTTATGATTTGATTACCTCGTGTTGCGCTTTGGTTTAAATTACTTTGTGTTTCATATACTGTATTGCGTATTTTACTGTATGTTGCTTTGAGTGACTTGTACAAAGCAACTTAAGAAGCTTAAATACTGCTAGTAATAAAATCGAACCAAAACCAGTTTCGTTTTATTGTTGATTGATTGTCTTGCTGTAAGCCACGTTGAGGACAATTTTTGGTAGAAAGGCAACACTAGAAATTTAAATATAAATAAATAAGTCTTTTTGTTGGAGTCTGGCAATATACCTGGTATAATACCTGAAATCCAGCCTCTAGAAAGCACTGCTACAGTCGCTCTTGCTAGGATATAATTCAGCTGAAAGTCATTAAAAATTACATTCTTGTTCTCCTCTATTACAAATCCTGTTACATTAACATCCTCCCCAGAGTAATCCAGAACCAGTTCTGTAATTTGCACATCTTGTCATAACTGCTGTCAAGAGAAGGTCCAAACCCGTAGAGAGACACATAGCATTCAAGAGGCCAGCAGAGTTTAGTCTCGGGACAAGATAAGCTTGTTTTCATAAAGCTTGGTGTGGGATTAGGAGATAGGAGAGAGGGACTTGCAGTGTCAGCTGTAAAATGATGCCCCAATATTGAATCCCCAACAGCAGCTGCCAGAACACAAGGAAGCTGAGGAAACATCTTTGACTCTCATGAGTCAGTTGAGAGAGAAAAGAGCATTAAAACTGGACAGACATCTGTGTGCGTTAATTCAGCCTTCCTCAGTTTAATGCCCTCCAGATCCACAAATGAGGTCCATTAGGGTTGAAATCCAAAACATCTGGGGGGCGCCAGGCTGGGGAAGGCTGGCTTCATTCATCCCTTGATTGCATCTGCAATAACCACCATGGCAGAGAGGAGGGAACCGAAAAGGGTAATTTGGCAGCACAGCCTCAGAACGCTGAGACTATGATTGGAAAGTGCTGGCTAAGTGGTGTGAACTAGACATAGACACCATGACCTGGCACCTGTCAGCAAGAGAGAGACCTTTCTAGAAACTATTCTAGTCCTCTAATGCTCACTGCCCTAGCATCTATTTAAAAAGTTTTAGGACCGTTTAAAATACTCTGCAAAAAAAATAGAGTTCTCTTTCTGTATATAGATATATATATAAAATATAGACATAAATATAGATAGGCATTTGTTGAGATTTAAAAGCACCTCGGTTATTTTCATAGTTCCCAAATATAAAATTGTCACAGTATTTCCCCCTCCCCTCTCTAATAGCGTCTCGCTCCATCTGCTCAGCACTCGGATTCCACATTCTGTTCTCTGTCACCCACCAGTTCCCCACCTTCCCTGTCCCTGGCTTATACAGTGGTGGCATCATTGCTCAACAGGCCATTGGTGGCTGCATTGTCCTGGAGTTTCATCTGGGCACCGTTCGCCTGATCTGGAATCCCTTCTTTGGCTGCCTGTTCCTGGAGGAGCCTGCGGCGGTAGAAGTAGAGGTAGCTGGGAAGCAGGAAGCCCACAAAAGAGAAGATGAGGAGGGGAAGGTTCACCTGGGGAGAAGGGCAAGGAGAATCAGCAACGGGAGTGCAGACCCAGTGATGTACACTTATGCTAAATGCTGATGAGGGGCAGAGAAAATGCTGGCTCCACCTCCTGGCCTGCCCTTAAAGTGGGATACTGTCTTCACTGTAAAGTCCCAACTCAGAAAAGGAAGTCAGGTGAACAGAAACTTTTAATATCCTCCCTTTAATGAATTAGAAAGATGCATCCTGCTGCTTCCACATGTAATAATAATAATAATAATAATAATAATAATAATAATAATAATAATTTATTTATACCCTGCCCATCTGGCTGGGTTTCCCCAGCCACTCTGGGCAGCTCACATCATCATCATCATCATCATAATGCAATAAAACATCAAACATTAAAAACCTGCCCTAAGCAGGGCTGTATTTAGATGTCTTCTAAAAATCAGATAGTTGTTTATTTCTTTGACATCTGATGAGAGGGCATTCCACAGGGTGGGCACCACCACCGAGAAGGCTTTCTGCCTGGTTCCCTGTAACTTCGCTTCTTGCAGTGAGGGAACCGCCAGAAAGCCCTCAGAGCTGGACCTCAGTGTCTGGGCTGAACAAGGGGGGTGGAGACACTCCTTCAGGTATACTGGGCTGAGGCCGTTTAGGGCTTTAAAGGTCAGCACCAACACTTTGAATTGAGCTCAGAAACCTACTGGAAGCCAATGTAATGATGCGCAGGCACATGCCCACTCAGCCACCATCCTGTGATTGCTCCTTTTCCCGCACTGCACCAGCATGCTAGAGCACAAAGCTGGCTGCAACAGGCACCTATTGCTCAGCACATGTGACATTACCAACCTCTCCACACTGGCAGGGTAGGTTTGTAACTGTTTTTAAAATGTTAGCAAATCTCTTTTTGCAAGATGTGGGGTGAATGAACAAATGCTGATGCTTGTTTCTTTGTTAAAAGTAGTGCACAAGTATAAAACAGATCTAGTGCCGGAAATACGTATAAGCTAAACAAGCTATAGCTTAGGGCCCCACTCTTGGGTTGGGGGCCCCAAAAAATTTTAAAGGGGAGAAAAACTGAATGTACATTTCCAAAATATAAAATAAAATAAAATAAAATAAAACCTACATTCAGCAACAGTGTTTTGTTTTGTGTTGTGTAGGCTCTTATTTGTTATGTGCAAATGGCTTGAGATACCTATTAGGTCCATAAATTACCATATAGCATATATTCAACACAATTTGTTGTTGACAAAGGACAGCTGGACATATAAAGGGCCCCATTACCTTCAGTAGCTTAGGGCCTCATCAAACCTAAATCTGGCCCTGACCGGATCCTCACTGCAAGTGAAAAGTTCGCTGTGATCCCTCTTAAAAAGCAACCTCAGTCTTCACCCCGAGAAGCCATAACTCACCCAAAAGGGATCACCGTGTAGTGGTCCCACCATAGCCATGAAGAGTGGCTGCTGGAGGAGAGCAAATACAGCACTGATCAAGGACTGTAGACCGGTCAATGTACCAAAGTGATTGGACGGATACCTGGCAACCAGAAATTGCGTACAGAGGGTGAGACTCAAAATGCCGCAGAAGCTGGTAACAGCCCTCCCCCACTCCCAAGACCCATTGCACACACCTTCCAGATATCTGAGAAGTGGATCAGCTGCTCAAAAGATATCCATATTTTAAAGCAGCCTTTGCCAACCTGGTTCCTCCAGATTGCTTTGGGTTTTAAATCCCCCCAAAAGTATTGCGGTACAAAACAACTGGAGGGCACCAGATTGGCAGAGGCCGAGCAAGGACATGTGAAACACATAAGGATGTCTATCTATGAACAGGAAAAGGAAAAGAATGTGTGAATGGACAAAGTTAGTAGTGACATGAACAACAGCTTCTACTGAAAAGCAGGAACCGCTTTAAGGTTTGGCAACAGAAATGCAAATATAAACTGCCTCTTTATTGCTGCTCCTTTCCCCATCCTCAAACTCTCAACAGTTAGGGAAGATATGCTGCCTTTAGAAAAAAGATAACTAGAGATAAAGAGAAGGGGAAAGCCAGCCGATAGGGCATCTCCTCCTCCTCCTTCCTTCCAGCTCTCTTTGCCTGTCAGTCAATGAGTAGAGTCAGAGAGCAGAACTGCTCTTCAGGCAGGTGTCACAGCATGAGATTTTGGAGTGGCAGACAATCCTACCAGAATGCGAACACACACAGGGCCCTCCCTCTCCCCCACCTCTAGGGTCTTGCTTTGCAGCTCCAAAACGGAAACTGCTATTAGGAAGGAGAAAGCAGCACACTTGGCTGTCTCTCCTGCTTCATCCACCACCTCTGGAACTCTCCCCATGCCTTGTGCTTTAGCCACATAGCTTTGGGAGGGGGAACTAAAACTAGACCCAAATCAGGGTGTATCCACATTTGAAAGCATTTGATAAGAGGCCTTATTTGGCCTGAGATTTCCATATCCCTGGTGTAGCATAAGAAGCACAATGCAAGTTTTCCTCTCTCCTGACCATGCTAGCTGGGGCTGATGGGAGTTGGGAGTTCAACTACATCAGGAGAGCAGGGCACCAGGCTGGGGGGAAGCTGGTGCTGACCATAATCTTGCTTCCACTCTGAAGCTGGGAGAGCAAAGGTGCTCCACACAGTGGCATAACTCACACAGCGGCATAGAGACCTCCGCAGGCAGAATGGAAAAAACCACGCACCATGGTGTGAAAGATGAAGGTCACATACTGTGGAGAAAGAAACAAAATGAAGGAAGCCACACAGGGCTGATCTGATGAAGGGCAGGGTCAGGGGGAGGCCATATGCCAAGGTGCATCATGGGTGAAATGAGACATGGGGCAGAAGTTACCTGGAGAGGGAGGTCGTTGATCAGGCAAGTGGTACCAAATCCCACCAGCAGTAGGTTGGTGATGACAAAGGCACGAATAGCATTGGTGAGCTTCTGGATTTTACAGTAGCGAACTTTGGCTGGCTTTCCTTTTGTCTCGGTCCTAAGGAGAAAAAGGGAGAACGGTCAGCCCCCTGTGACTGCATTAACATCCTCCCACTGAGAGCATTCAGGTTTGGTCTTCGCACTGATTCTGCTTTTGAAATTAGGAGAATTGTGACTCTCACCTTGCCAATCCAGCGCTGTTGATGTTCCCTGGTGCATCCACACAGTCCTTCATGTGCCAGTCCATCACGTAGCCAATGAAGGGACAGGTGAGAAGGCACAGTAACTGCATGACACCAAAGATGGAGGAGTAGAAGCCAACTGCCCAGCAAAAAGAAAGGGGGTAGGAATGAGAGAACAGTCCAAAAGACTTCCTCACCTGAAGCTAACCAGCAGTGGTTAGACTGCCATCTGAGAGGCCCTATGCACACCACTCTGAACTCGCTGGAGGCAGGGTGGAACAAACACAGGAGAAATAATAATCCTTTGCACCTAGTGCAGATGGTTTGAGAAGTATTTCCCAATTGCCATGGGGAAATGCTTTGGTCTAGGCCTGTCCACACAGCATGAATTCACCACTCCACATTTCATCCTTTCCTCTTTGTCCCTGCTTCCCATTCTATTTCTCTCAGCTAATCCAGTCTGGCTTTCCCCAGGTAAGCTTTTTTTATTTAAAAATGTTTCTAGGCCACTTCTTGGGGCAAAGGGCCCATCCTAAGCAGCTAAGAATCAAAAGATAAAAAGAACAAAACAAAATTGTAAACCAATAAACTACCACTCAGCAGCTCCTACAGCTCCTAACATCACCTGCTATGTTAGACAAAGGACCAGAAACCCAGTATTCCTCCCATGGGATAAAACTTGCTTTTTCCCCATTTCCAATCTCTTCATTTTGTATATAGCTCAGCACCAGGTTACTTGAGAAACTGTCTTATCCCTTATATACCCAGAAGGGCAGTGCCTTCAGCCGGAGAATTTCTCCTTAAAGTGCCAGAAATATCAGAAGCTTGGCCCATAGTAAAGTAACTCAGAGCAGGGCTTTCAGTGTGGCTATCCCTTGTTTTGTGGAACAGCATCCCTGTGGAGATACAGCACTATCTGTACTTTCCAGAAACAACTGAAGACATTTTTGCTCTGACAAGCTTTTCCGGCTAGAAGAAAAGGTTTCTTGCCTTAGGTGTTCATTTTGTATTGCTTCAGTTGTTGTTTCGTACCATTTTCAAAATTATTTTTAGCTGTTCTTATGGTTTGTTTGTAAGGTGCTTTGAGACACATGTAAAAGGTAATTCATTTATTAATAACAGCAGCTGCAGAGGCAGCCCTGGTTATCAGTCAAGATGGGCCAGTTCTGCTCCATCAGCACTCATAACTTGCCACTGTGAAAAATTGCTACTTGGACTTATTAAATTTTCCAAAGTAGGCTGAGAACCATTTTATGTTTGCAGGGAGGCGGCTTTGAGGTTTTAAAAGGAGACTTGGGATCCCTTGTCTAGGCTTTGTTTCCTAGGAAATGGAAGTTCCCAACCAACTCAAAGCCTGGGCAGGCAGAGCGATGAACAGAGGGCTTGTTTACCGCATACATACATGGAGAGGTCTGCACTAGGCTCATCTCACATGAGGGTTCCTACCTGTTTCCTCAGCTTCATCCGCCAGCTCTTCTGGAACTGGGATGCCCAAGAAAAGAAGAAGGAAAGAACAAGACTGCATCACAGTAATTGGACCAGGACCTTGTCCCAACAGACCCAGATTCACTCCCCTAGCAACTCTACACAATTATTCTGTAGGTCACCCTGCAAGCAATACTTCTCCCAGTCTCCTATGTTGTTTAGTCTCCCCCCAGCTCCCATCTTTCTCTCCTTTACTTCCGGGTGTCCTTTGGCAGCTGGGAAATCTTTCCCCTATCAGTCCTCACCAGGGTCCTGGCCGCCTGTCACTTGGAACTCCAGCATCTTGTTCATGGCTGCCATGTAGAAGATGACACGCAGCTGGGTCATGCCCATGGTGAAGAGACTCCACAGAAAGATGGGGGAGCAGACGCTGCGGCGGAAGGGGGTGGCACCTGGAGCGAAACAGAGCACGGAATACAGATCAGGAATGGAGAAAACTTCAAGTTTCCCTGGACTGCAACACCAACAAGCCCTGCCACTGGCTATGCTGGGCTGGGGCCTATGGGGCCAATCATTTGTATGTTCCCCTTCCTAATTTAGAGGGTTGATGTGGCACAGCAGCCAGAAGGACCTAATAAGGCTGTGCAGATGGACAAAGCAGAGCAAAATCTTGTGTTCACTTAAGGTAAAGTTAAAAAGGTAAATAACCCCTGGACGGTTCAGTCCAGTCAAAGGCGACTATGTGGTGTGGTGCTCATCTTGCTTCAGACTGAAGGAGCCAGCGTTTGTCCATAGACAGTTTTCTGGGTTATGTGGCCAGCATGACTAAACCACTTCTGGCACAACGGAACACCGTGATGGAAACCAGAGCGCACGGAAAGGCCTTTTACCTTCCCACCGCAGTGGTACCTATTTATCTACTTGCACTGGTATGCTTTCGAACTGCTAGGTAGGCATGAGCTTGGACAGAACTACAGGAGCTCACCCCATTGGGGATTCGAACCTCCAACCTTTCGATCGGCAAGCCCAAGAGGCTCGGTGGTTTAGACCACAGTGCCACCTGCTTGAAGTATATGGGGGTGTGGGATTTTCCTCTTGCTGCCCATACCCATAGACCAACATGGAGCACACTGGCTGGGCTAACAGGGCAATCCTGCTCCCTGTCCATTATCGTTGAAGGCATAGGGTGTTTCATCTGAACAGCCCTGCAGGTGGCAAACACCAAAAAGGATTATGGGAAAGATTAGTCTCCAGCTCTCAAGGGAAAGATTAGTCTCCAGCTCTTCACTATCATTTCAGCTCTGAAAAAAAGGTGAGCTTTAGTAGAGACGGAGGCACTTCTGAGACTCAAAGGTTTGTATATTATGCCTTGTTAGAGAACTAGAAGGGGGTGGCTTTTTTTGGTAAAACCTTTACCTTTTGAATTCAGGCTCAACACAGTTGCTGGCAACTTCCACTGGATTATTTACAAGGCTATATACATCTCCCCGGCAGGACTCTTAACTCCAGCCTGCAGCAGGGATTCATCTGGTTTATGGGATGGGAGGTGAGACTCTTTAAGGGGACAGTGTGTACTTAGTGTATCGTGCCTGAATACAGGAAAGGGTTTTTTTATTTTAAAAAAAGGATGGGCTCAGGAATGGGCTTCAGCCCTGTTTTCTGCTATGAACTAGAGTAACCTCCTCCTCGAGTTTAATTCCTTTGCATTATGCAGGCAGAGAAAGCCCAGCCACTCCCTAGAAGTTGTTTTTCCTCACAAGAGCGAGACAGATGTCAAAAGGAAATGGCAATGGCTTGCTCCTGCCGATAGATGGAGCCAGATGCCAGGGCCTGTTCCCAGCTCTTGCAGCCACTGCCAGGAACGGAGCCTGACGCAAGAGGCCCAAGGCCTTGCAGGAATAAATCTATAGCACTTCCCATCCCTCAGGAAGCCTCGAGGAAGCCCCTTGACCTGCAAGAGACCTGTGTGTGTTTGTGTGCAAGCTAAGGAACACTAGACGGGCGCCAAACCAAACCGCAGGCTTTGTTCGACAAGCCGGGGAAGCCGGGATTTCCTTCCCTCTTGGGGAGCTGTGGTGATGTAATGAGGGGGCACTCACGATCAGAGGATTTCACAGGCTTTTGGTGCAGGTCCTCCACAGATGGACAGAGGCCATCAAGATGTGGCGCTCTCTGGCTCAGCCGCTGTCCCACAGCCATCACGTGCACATAGAACCGGTCGCCCGTCACCTTGTGGTCGAGGGCTAAGCTGCTCAGTTTGATCTTCTTCCTATCTCAGGGACAAGGAGGGAGCGTTACATGCTTGCTGTCCCCCCACATTGGGCAAAGCCTATGGGAGAAATTCAGTGTTGTGCTATGATGGATGCCATCTTGTCTCACGGGAAATTGGTGCCAATGCCAGTGCCACTTCTATACCAGCGGCAGAGGCAAAGGCGGCATTTCCGGTTTCGCCTCAAGCGGCGAAAGAAGGACGCGCTGCCACAGCTCCTGTGGAAAATGAAGTGGACCCCGCAAGCCTAAAGCCTGCCCACCTCTGGAGTAGTGAGAGAGCCCAATGGGCCCAAGTCCAAATATGAGCTGCGTTGGGCTGAAGGGGGGGCGATATTGTGGACTGCTTAGAGTGGAAACAGGCATATGTGTTAGAAGTGCCTCAGGGTCAGGGATCAGCAACAGCACCTGGCGTCTTTGGCCATGTGCCATGACTGGCAGGGCCCACTGCTGCTGCTGCTGCCCTGCCTGTTTTGGTTGTTTTTTCCTGGCTTGGCACTCCAAGCAGCACCAGACAGCTGGTTTTAGCCACCCTTTTAATTTCCCACAGTGCTCATTTCCTAGGAAATCAGAAAGGGTTGCCAGACCCAGCTGCCCAGTTTGCCCAAACAGAGAAGGCCGCTCAGTGTACCCAAAGTGCTGCTGCTATTGGGATAGCCACCTCCCCACTCCCTCACAGAAAGCAGCTCTCTCTGTCCACGGGACAGCCTGCCCCAGGTGACGGGAACAGGAGCAACCTTCCTCAGTTAAGGCTGAACTGGCTGCTGCTTACATGTAGCTGACTTCTTCGGGAGCCGGGAAGGATTCATGGGGCCAGTTGATCACGCAGTTGAGGAAGATGAGGCAAGCCAGGCCTGACCACGCGAGCATAATGGTGATGAAGGAAACTCCGCTGTCGTAGATCAGCTAACAGCAACGGGACAGGAGACAGAAATGAAGGGGTGGGAGAAGAGAGAGGGCGGCAGAGGAGGCCTCAGGTGGGCTTGGGCAGTCTCCCAAAGTAGAATCAAGGGGGAAGCCAACAGGTAGTCCAGAACACCTGGAGAACACAGAGTTCCCATCAGCCCCAACCAGCATGGCTGATAGTCAGAGAAGATTGGAGCTGCAGCTGCAATATCTAGAGGGCACCACGTTGGCAACCCTACACTAAGCCACGATTGGTTTTAGCCAAAGTGTCCTTTTTTTGAGCATCAAACCCAGTCTAGCACTAACCATGATTTGTTGTTGGTTTAGAAACCATGGCTTGCTTTAACTAAGTTCTGTCTGAACCCAACAGCCTGTGTTTAACCATGGTTTGTTTGGCCACCCCACCCTAGACACTTGCCAAGCTACAGAGGCACAGGGCAAGAGCAGCTGGGGAAGAGGGGAAACCAAGCATCAGAGAAGAAAACCATGGTTTGTTTGCTCATGTGAGAGACACCCTATGGATTGTTGAACAAACCATGGCTAAAGCAAGCTATGGTTTAGTGTTATGGATGAACTCAACAAATGCCTCCTGGATTCTACCCTGCCTCACCTTATGCCTCCCTTCAATACCCCTAACAGGTCTAATGGGGGAAATACTATCTCTGACTCAACTGTAAGGCTCCATCAACATGGAGAGAAGCACACAGGCATAGATCTGGGAGCTGCCTCAAGTCCTAAGTAATAGTGGGGCACTCCACCCTAGGCAGCTGGGGTGATTCAGGTTTGCTACATACCTTGACCCCAGGAAATGTAACAGCAGAGGAAGCATACGAGCCAATCATGAGGGCCATGAAGGTGGACCGCAGGTGTCCAAACATGTTGGGCAGCTAAGGAGAAACGAAAGGAGAAAACAATTAGCAGAAATGTTCTGCTTCCACTCCAATTCAGGGGCTTCTTCTATAGGGCTGCTAGAGTCCTTCTGCCTTATTCAAGAACTTCACCGAACACTATGGAAGCTCCAAAGGCTGTGCTGGAGGATTATCACACTCCAGGGACCAAACGGCTGGAATCTTGTTTATTTTCCAAATTCTCATTGCATCTCTCATTCTGAGCTTTCATTTACTACAGATGAGGCACATTCTACATAAATGTATCACAGTTTTATTATCCAACATGTGTTACAGCCCAGCTTAAATATGCCTACTTAGAAGTATTTCTCACAGAGTTCAAGGGGGCTTAATCCCAGGTAAGTGTTGCAACTTTAACCAAGTTCAGTGCACAGAAGGTAAAAAGTGGGGTTTAGTTCGCTCTTTCAATTCATCTTGGGAGGGGTGTTTCTAGGATGAAGGGGGAAATGTGAAGCTCCCTTGTCATTTTTGCTATTGGATGCTGCATGTTCTTTAAGGAATGCTATATTTACAGTTTTGGAATGTGGTTTTTTGGTACGTTATTATATTTGCTATTTGCCATGTTATTATGAAATTGCTTTTGTTTTGAAATTGAAATGCATCCCTTTCTTTGTTGTAAGCCACTTTGAGCAGGGTGTGTGTGTGTGTGTGTGTGTGTGTGTGTGGAAAAGCGGCACACAAATAAAATGGATAGTGAATTCATGAAAGAAAATGAATGGTACGTGGGTACATGCAGAAGATCTGGATACATGTGGTTTGTTGCAAGTGGAGAACTAGGAAGTGATAGTCATTAGCCCAGATTTACTAATCCACAGTAAAACAAAGCAGAGAAAGATGTGGCTAATTTCCAAGAGCAGAAAAGATAAACACTATTGTCTTCTAATCTCTGCAAATCAAGCTGCTGTTTAAGGTACTGGAGCAGAGGCTGGTAAAACTATTGGGTGTCTCAGAGACACACAAAAAAGCCACCTGTTTATCAGGAGGGGAGTTCAGGTGTTGTGAAGAGTTAAGAAACCTCCAGGTAGGAATGTGTATAAGTCAGTGGGGAGCAAGAGAAATAATAACCTGGCTTCCATTTAGTTTACTGTTCCGGAAGGGAAACTCCAATTTCTAGATTGATTGCAGCATCTTAAAAATGCAAGGTTGGGTATAGAACAGCTGTGGCCCTCAGAATCCTTAGTAAGATGTAAGCTACACCAGCATCAGAGAGAGATAACTGAACATATTGTGTCGCCTTATTCTGTCAGGCTGTTGACCCACCAGAGACCATCCAATATCTCAGGCAGGGATAAAATTCCCAGCCCTATGACTAGAACCGTTTCAACTGGAGATGTCCGAGGCTGGACCTGAGACCTTCCGAGTGCCAAACATTTACATCCACTGAGCTATTTGTACTCCACTCCCAAGAAAATATGCTTATACTTGGAGGGAGAACCTTCTAGTTATCCACCTGTTTTTCCTTTGCAACAGCCCCGGGGTTGTGGCGTGCTGCCAACCAAGCACTTTGCTTGGGTAAACAGTGGCACACAGGGAGCCTCTGCCACACTCCAGCTCTTCAACATATGCCCTTGCCAAAGGCAAGGGGGAAGCGGGTGGGGCGCTCGACCCAGCCTTCTGATTGGCCAGATACTACCCTTTCCTGGCTTATGTATATGTACCCTGTGGGTACAAGAAGGCACAAAAAGGCACTGTGATCTAATAGTGAGGCAAGCACTGTTCCTTATGTGTTCTGGGAAGAACTGGAAATAATCAGAGCATGCACACAAACACCACCACAAAGGGAGTGAGGTAAGCACCAGGTAAGATATCTCCCCACCCCCCACCCCCATCCTCAATATCATATTCCCTTTCTTTCTGCCAGCACAGATTGGTTTGGCACAACAGGGACAAACAAACTGTGGGAGATGATTGCCACTCTTCCTACCATGATCACCACCCATGACATGGACCTTGCAACATGGGTTTTTCTAGACAGGGTTTCCCAGATGTGGGTCTCCAGCTGCTTTTGGAATACAACTCCCATCATCCCCCAACTACTGGCCCTGCTAGCTAGGGATGATGGGAGTTGTAGTCCCAAAACAGCTGGAGACTCAAGTTTGGGAAACCTTTTGCTAGGGTGACTGTAGCACAGGAGGAAAGGGTTCATGTGCCTTTAAAAAAAGTATAATAAGAGGGAATTCCAGTAAATTCTCAGTCCCAGATGATGAGATGCCTACAACATGCCCTCTTTGACATGGCTCTAAAAGGCACAGGGTGTCTTTGGTCACCTCTCCCAGGTCATGTCACCACAGAGCTCTGTCCTCAAAACTTTGCACTCCCTGGAATCTTACACAACAGGAATGAGAAGGCACGCATGTCCCTCCCAATACCTGAACAGGAGATGGATTACACAATGAAATACACACACCCTATGCCAAAACAGACAAGTTGTGGACTTGCACATGCGCACGCGCATGTTCTTGCAACCAGTAAAAGGGGCTTCACATTTTACACGAACACTCTCTGCACTTGGAAAGAAGACACGCATGCAGAGCAGAGAGATGTCTCAACCTGCAGGGCTGAGTTCCACCACACAGATTTGCATCACTTTAATTGCTGAGCTTTACGAGGGCGGATTTTTCTCAAATTAACTTGTTGCCAATACTTCCATCATAAATCACGTAAATTATACCACAGCGCAGAGAAACAAGGCATGAGAGAGCTAGCGGGACGGAGAGATTTGGTAGAAAACAAACACCTGGGCTTTTAATTATGGTCTCAAAGGGAAACTACTTATTTCTTCGTGCTTTTATCCTGCATAGGTGTCCTTCCCTGCACCAACCCACCCATACGGCAGCCGAGCTTTGCTTTCCTCGCTTGTTTTTAAATGCAGCAAAATAAGAAAAAAGCCTGTTTCTGGACAGTACAACCTCAAAATGCGGATGGAAGCTGGCATGACTTAATGGTCCTCCACACAAAGAGGAGGGTGAAGACGATGTGAGTCATTTGTCTCCTGTGTACAAAGATTTAATTCCATGGGAAAGTGCTCAGTCACATGAGTCTCCCTCAGGCCCAGGGGCCAGATGAAACTTCTCTATCTGACCCCTGGGACTCTTCCCAGGCCAAACTTGTCATTGGTCCTTCTCTTCACCCCCTTGAGTTCTTTTGCTTGGCTGGAACATGTCCTTGAACAATGCGCATGCGTCTCAGTGGCCGGAATGGGGGTTGGGGAGATGTGTTTGTATGTGCAGAGCAACCCCTGACTTGTGCATTACGATACAAAGGCAAGAGGACTATCCATGGCTATTAGCCCTGACGGCTCAGCTCTGCCTCCAGCTGGAGGTAAAAAAGCTTCAGAATACCAGTTGCTGGAAACCACAGGAGGGGAGAAGATTCTTGTGCTCAAATCCAGGCAACAAGATTTGAGAACAGGATGCTGGACAAGATGGGCCACTGGCCTGATCCAGAAGATTCTTCTTATGCTCTTAGGAGTCTCATCTGTCATTCAGCCCTGTGATCTTTGGATGCAGGGCGGTATACAAATTTGACAAATTATTACTAATATAAAATTTAGAGTTCTGAGCAAAAGAGGCTAACCTCCAGATTTCCATTCTATGATTTCATGGATCATCATGGCTTTTACATGCAGATCTCAGAAACCCGACACATTAACAGTAGCAGCAGATCTCTGGTACGTCCTCTTAGATATCATGAGGATTCATGCATCTGGTCTAGTTTTTTGCGCCATGGCAGTGTCATGAAGTGTGGGGTGTATGGTGTTCACAGAGCAGACTGTGGACACAGATGTAAACTGATGGTTGAGAGTGGATATAGGATGTCCCCATGTAAAAATCACACCTTCTGGGTTCCTTGCAGGAGCAGGGCTGAGATTCCCAGTATGTGTTTATACACAGAACGCAATATATTTAGCTCAGAATAAAAGATGATGCCTAAGCTCAGATACAAGCAAGTATGCAGCTGTGTTTGAAATGAGAGAGGGGCCCAGCACTTCAGTTACCCAGGTTCTTGCCTCAAGTTATCAGAAATTATGAAAGAAATCAAAATGGTCTCAGGTGCTATCAAAGGAGAAAAACATAATTCCTGAGCGATGCAAAGAAGCTCAGTGAGAAATGCAAATGACAAGGAGGCTGGCTCTGCCCTCTCTTAAGTACTCCTGCAGCCACATACTCAGTCTTGACACAGGACTGCAGCAATACTTGTTGCAAAGTATAGATAGGCACCCTGCCAGTCCTGTGCAGTGCCCTGCCCCTGCCACACCTTGCCTCTGAGCCAATCACTGTGTGTGTCCCCGTTTCTTGCTGCTGGTTAGCCTGTTCCTTGGGAAACAAGTAGCAGCTACCGCCTGGGACAACCAGTTATAAACAAGGACAGGGCTTCTGTATGCTTAACAGCCATACAAAAGAGGGAGCCTTTGGCAGGTTCAACTTTTGCACGCCACACCCTGCTTGGAAAGCCACAGGTGCCCAAAGCTGCACTTCTCCACCAGACAGAAGCCCTGCCCTCACTGATCTCCCTGGCAGGGGAATTATGTCATTATCATCTGCAGTTTCCCCAACCCAGTGCCCTCTGGATGTTGTTGGACTGCAATTACCATCAGCCCCAGCCAGCATGGGATGATGGGAATTGTTGTCCAGCAATATTTGGAGGGCATCAAGTTGAGGAAGGGGGTTGTCTGAGTTCAATGAGGACGCTGCTTTTTTTAAAAAAAAAAAAAAGCAAAAAGAGTGTTCTTCAATAGATGAAGCCAAATCCCAGCCTAAACCAAATCATACAGATCAATAAATGTGTGTATGTGTTTGCATACTGCCTACCCCCATGACGGTGACAAAAAAGCTCCACTCATATACTATGTAAAGAGTGAAAGTTTAATGTGTCCCTCACCTTCCCCTTCTCTCTCTCTCTCTCTCTCTCTCTCTCTCTCTCTCTCCCTCTCCTCTCTCTCCCCACCTCTTTTTCTCCCTCAACCCACATTGTCTACAAAAAAAGGCCTCAAACTGACTGCAACTGACCTGTATGAAGGATTCTACCATTTGAAAACAGAGACACTGAATGTACTTTTGTTACCTATGAAAAAATATTTCAATAAAAACATATTTAAACTGTAAACTGTATGTATTTGCAATGTCATTCTGCGCAATTTCTTTTTCGCTGCAGGATTTATGAGATCACGGCTTTTGGGGTGGTATTATTGAAGGAGGACAGGGAAGGAGGGGGATGCTGCACAGTTCTGGCAATGTAACCCACCCCTCTCAGCTCCTGTGAAAATGGGAGAGAGGCGACCAGTACAAGACAGACCCTAAAGGAGGGGTGAGGAATCCGTGACCTCTCTGGGATCGCTCAACTACAGCTCCCATCATTCCTGTCCATTGGTCCTGCTGGGTGGGGCTGATGGAGCCCAGCAACACCCAGGGGGCTACAGGTCCCCCACCCCCGACTTAAAACTCATCTTCAACGCAGGCCACATGGGAATCTCTCCAACGTCCTTGGAATGAATATGGGTGAAGAATATTGTTCCGGTATCTCCTACTATCACCATGCAGTGATCTTTATGCAGTGAAAGGGCCAATATGTCAGTTTCCCCCATACTTACAGTTAAGGAGGTGAAGGTCAGGCAAATACCACCAAAGCCATTCAGGGAAAGGCCAAGAAAAATCAGCGGGGAAAGAACTAGCGGGAAGAGAACAGAAATGTGGGGTGAGCACAAAGGGGACAATGGGGTGCTGCAAAGAATGGGGGCATAAAAAATAGTGGAGTGACATTGTCCATAGGGCTTGAGAGCACCATGTGAGATTGCTAAGGGAAGGGCGTGGAGCAGACCTAGAGAACCATCCGATTGTCTTTAGGCTTCTGCAGCCAGAAAGGGGGATGCAGCCATGGCTTCTGCAGCAACTCTCCTTTGCAAGCCCCATTGCTCACGCCCACATGCTGCCTACTGTGGAGGCACAACAGGAGGGGGAGGGTAGACTATGGGAGTTGGTCAAGAGGGGTGATGCTGCAGAACCATCCTCCTTGCTGGTGGGAGGGAGGGAGGCTGGGGGAATTCTCCACACTGCTACTGAAAGTCAAGTGCCACATGGCCAGTCTTACCTGGTGGTTTGTAGGCTGCCAGGGCCATGAGAGCGCAGGAAACAGCAAAGCTGGCACTGCAGAGAAATGAGAACAATGCAAAGCTAAGTCATGCCTTCAATGAGATGCCCCACAACCATGTCAGGAAGTCATCCCCCCAAACTACAACCCATTCTCAGTTTCTCGGCGGTCTATCCAGTGGACCCCGCCTTGCCATTCCAGGGAACCAGGCAGAGGGCCTTCTCGATGGTGGCACCCACCCTGTGGAACGCCCTCCCATCAGATGTCAAGGAAATAAACAACTATCTGACTTTTAGAAGATATCTGAAGGCAGCCCTGTTTAGAGAAGTTTTTAATGTTTTATGTTTTATCGCTATTATTATTATTATTCTATTGGGAGCCGCCCAGAGTGGCTGGGGAAACCCAGCCAGATGGGCGGGGTATAAATAAATAATTGTTACTATTACTATTATTATTCCAGACCCCTTTGAAACAAGAACCCACTTGCCAGCACCCTCAGGGCAAATTTGTCACAGTCCCTAGACCAGGGGTGGGGAACTTCAGGCCCAGGGGCCAAATCTGGCTTTCTAGGTCTCTCTATCTGGCCTTCAAAAATTTCCCAAGGCCACAGCCCTCCCTGGACTTGCTTCACCCCCAAGCGCTTTTGCCTGGCTGGAATGTGTCTTTGAACTCTGCTAATGCCTCTTGCTTGTCCGGATAGAGAAGAGAAAGGGGCATGTCTAGAAACTCGCCTACCATACAAAGGTAAAATGTACATTACTGGCTCCACCCACTTTTTCCACTGGCCCCACAGAACCCCTGGAAAGTGGCCCTCAGAACATTTTCCAGAAAGGCCCTTCAGTTGAAGAAAGATTCCCCATTCCTTCCTCTCGATCTCTGATCCATACCTGCCGACCAGGCGCAGTGGCCTGGGGCCAAGCCGGTCCATGAGGATCCCCAGAGGCAAAGTGGCCGCGCTCAGTAAAAAGGAGCCAATGGTGAAGCCCAGGTTAAGCATCTCCTCCTGCTCCACGCAGCTGGGCCAAGGGTGAGACGAGGTAGTCGCAGCTGAGCCAGTCGCAGCTGAGCCGTTAGTGGCATTGGTGTCATTCGCACCTAGGAAGAGAAAGAGGCAGCTTGGATCAGAGACTTATCTCTGACTTATCTCTCGCTTTCACCCCCACAGTTTCCTAGGGCAAGCAGGCTGCTCTCTACCCCTGAAGTCCCATTTCTCATCCTTCCCCCTCCCTGATGTGCTGGAGGAAATGCAGAATCTGTGTTGCTCCATAGCAGGTTGAGCAACAGAGCCTGGGGTGGAATAAGTTTGGGGATCCAGCATCAGTCCTGTCTTGGACCTGTAAAACTATAGAAGGGTTGCCTCGTTTACACTGTGGTCAAGGGAAGGAATCTACCTGAGATATGCAATCACGGGAAGCATCAGTGTGATGGGGAAATGGGTCCCTGGAGCAAGGGCTTGGAGAAGGGAGGGTATCACTTCAATTTATAATGGGAGCAGGTGTTTCTAAAGTTTTGCCCCATAGTAAGATAAGATGGCCATCTTTGGCTTGCAAATTAGCATCCTGGGAAGGGAACAAGTGTCTTGCCCTGAGGCCTGTAGGAGGGAACCAGGCACTCTCACTTCAAGACAGGCCCATAGGCTATGTTTATCATGTGGAGAATATTTGAAACAGCCTCTGTATGGTTGCTTCTGCCTACTATTGCCCTAATGGGTAGCCGCAGTTGCCATATTGTGCTTCCACAAGGTGTGAAATGTCTCCCACCAGCCCTACCCACTTGACCTCAGCGTGGGGAAACTCCAGAGGGCTGCCAAGTTTGTGGGGACCCATGACAAGGCCTTTACAGAGGTGGTTCCCCACTGGCAGAGAACCCTCCCTAGTGAGGCGTGTCCGACTTTCAGGAGGAATTTAAGAACATTCTTGTTTACCCTGGTATTTGATGACAGTAAGATACTGTGCCCAGCAATCCAGAGATCACAGGTTGTGAAAGTTTTTCACTGTTTTTAGAATGTTTCTTAACAGTTTTTCATTGTTCTTAATAATAATAGTAATAATAAATTACCATTCCCATGTCTGACATCCTGGGTGCCTTTGAGAGGAACAGGATATAGATTAAATAAATAAGGATAAAAAAGTATGATGTGAATGTATGTGGTGTCCTGCTCTGTGTACTATGATGGCATCAGTAGTATGGCATTGTCTAGAAGTTCTCAAACAGCCTCCATGTGATAAGTCTAACATGCCACTTTGCTTTGACTTTCAGTCAGTCACACAAACCCCACATGCTAGATGCAGGGAGTGGGGTGGGGAAGACACATGAATTAGGTATCCTTGTAGTAGTGATAGTACCAGTACATATTTGATTTCTTACCCACCTTTTTCCAAGAGGTCCCAGGGTGGCTTATGATATAAAAATACAGTATCAGAAACAGATTACAATCAAGAAAATTGTGTGCAAGGATACAGAACTCCTTTTGCAGAAATAAAATTCATTAGAAGTGTTAATACAAATGGAAGTCAAAAACTCTGTAGCTGTTGATAAGGGATTAAGATCAAGACTGAATGTAATTGGATTAAATAAGATTTCGGAAGCAGGATGAAATAAAATTATTTTACCTTGAAATCTAGCACACTCAGCGGGTCACACAAAATGTACAATTGGCTTTTTAATTTAATAATTATAATGATATTTGAATTTGAGTTGCAATTTGGTATTGATAAAATGTGATTTATACTGGATTTTAGTAATTGAAAACTAATTTACAAAAAAATTACAATTTACAAAAAAAATACAAAAAATAGTAATAAAAGAAAACTATGTGCAGTGTCAAAAGGTCAGGGTAGAACCAGAGGCAGTTGAATGCCAGCCCTACCAAGGCTGAAGCGAATGAGTCCTTTTGCTTGGTCTCATATCCACACCAGAGTTTCTATTGCACACAGTACAACATTCTCTATCAGGCTAGTTCATAAAAACTCTGCTCCAACCAAGACCCACGGCCAGAAGAAGTCTGACCTGGTTAGAAACATCCTTGTATTGATTAGGGATCTCAAAAGAGCAGAGTGTGGGGAAGGGGTTCTGCAGAGCTTTTTGGAAACCATCAGTCAAGGGTTCTGCTCAGGATCTTTTCTGAAATTCACCCTGCCCATCCCCTACCACGTTCTTCATCTGCCTTATCCCACTCTCTCCCTCACCATAAATGTGCAAGCAGCGCCCTGGGATTTCCCCTGTCTCACCTATGCATATATGGGAGTAGAACCCTTCGTGCTTGAGCATGATGAGCAAGGAGCCCCAGCCCAGCAGAACAGCAGAAAAGAAGAGGTTTTCCACCACTGCAGTGCAGGCCATCCACCAGCGCCGCTGGTACGCCTGCTGCAGGCTTGGCGCCATCTTCCCTTGGACTTGGAGACCAGGCTGAAAAGAAAAGGAAGGTGGACATCACTCCTCGCACCTGGCAGTCTTATCAGAGGCACGAAAAACAGCCATCGCTGAAGCAAAGCAGAGATGGGGGAGTAGTGTGCAGTTTGCCACCCCACTGACAACTCTTGACGCAGGAAAGTAAACAGGTGCAAAGCAGAACAACAGCTGCTGTGTCCTGATTCAGAAAGGGAGAAAGGAAGGGACTGAAAAATCCAAACATGAGGAAAACAAAATATTCTATTCTCCACACTGTATTAGCACTAATCCTGATGCAACATCCTGTCTGCATGTTAATACTACACAGTGGGGGTAGCCATTCTGCATTATTATTATTATTATTATTATTATTATTATTATTATTAAAGTGGATGGGGACAGCTAGCAGGGTTAAGATAAGGAAGGGGTAAGGCACTGGAGAGGTAGAGCATGCAATTCCCACCAAGTCACAAGTGCATTTCCTGGCCCAGCCATCAGCCAGAGGACCAATGGCTGATCTCCCAGCTCTCCCACAGATGAGTCAGCTGCATCACCAGCTGCATTGTGGCTCTCCATGTGAGGGAAGGAGAGCCTGGCAACAGCAGCCATTCAGAGGGGTAAGAACTGCAAAGAAAGTTGCAAGCCCACCCTCCTTGCAAGAGCATATAGCAGACCAGCCAGCCACTCTCTGCTGCAGAGCACTGACTGCTCTAAGAGCCTACATATGCTCTACATTTAAAGCAGTATCATACCACAGTCATGGCTTCCCCCTAAAATTCCTGGGGAGTGCTGTTTATTAAGGGTGCTGAGAGTTCTTAGGAAATCCCCTCTGAGAGCAACAATTCCCAGAATTCCCTGGGGAAAGAGAGAAATCCCCCTCCCTTTTTAGAAAGGAAGAAATATGAAATGGAAAAGATTTACATATAGCCATCCAGAACACGAGGGACAGGGCAAACAAAATAGCATGGTGGCTTGTGTAGTTGTTCTACACGGAATTAAAACCCATAAGGAGAGGACTTCCACATGTTCAGTTGGATGTCTGCGAACAGCAGCATGTGTACAGATGCTCATGGGTTCCATGCAGATATTAAATTAATTATATTTACATCAAGGATAGGCAGCAATCCAGCTACACATGTGAACTGGGCATAGTTTGAACATCTGTGTGATATTTTAGCTGTGAACCAAGGAGGCCTCTATTTCAGGATGACAACACCATACATTTAAAATGCATGGCTTTTCCCAAAGGATCCCAACTACTGTCATTCATTAAGGATGCTGGGCTCTGTGAGGAGTAAGCTACAGATCCCAGGATTCTTTGGGGGAAAGCCATGTACTTTAGATGTATGATATGAGTGTGACTAAGACCTCCCCTCTGCCATGAACTTCCAAAGCAGCCATAAGCAACTTGCTAGATCTTAGTCCCCATCTAAAACAATGGGATGATACTAATGTTGTCCTGCCATAAAGTGCTGCTGTAAAATGCAGGCAAAATGTTCTATGAGCAAGCAGAAAGCTCAAATGTTAGGAGCTGCAAAGGAAAGCTTGAAAACATGACTCCCTCATGAGACTTAACTACCAGTGCCCCAGCCAAATTGCCCAACCGCAGAACCTTATCCTTACTTGTAAGGGCTCCAAGTGTTATGCTGGGCTCCCGAGTCCTGAAGGCAGCCTTTTGCTTCTGAGCATTTGGGGCTGAGACTTCTGAAGCTCAACAGATACAGCGGAGCTCCCAGAAGACTTAACGCTTCCTGTGGCAAGGTAGAAAGGGAAGCAAACAGCTTGGCAATGGAATTCAGAAAAGACACTCAACCCAGCAGCATTTGTAAACAAGCAACATCAGGGGGATGGAGGCGGGGTGTTGATAGATCCAAAAGAAGAAAGAAGACCAAGGAAATGTGGCCACCACAAGATTTCACATGGAAGCAAAAGAAAGAGGAGCCGTAAACACAGATGTTACCCTTGGGAAACAATGCCAGAAAGCAGCTGCTTCTTGAAGTGCTTAGGAAGCCACCATTATAAGAATGTGCTGTCGAACACAGGGAACATGCTGGAATTTTATTTTTATTTTTAAAAGGTGTCCCATTCAACAGAAATGAGAGAACAGGACAGGTGGTCTTTTTGAGACATTTTGAATGTTCCAGGTGAGTGTAGGTAAACTCTAAACTTTAGGATTCATCCCCATCCCAGCACCATGATGTTGCTAAGGACGTCAGAAAAGCCCTACTGAATCAAGCCCAATGGCCATTTTGTTAAGCATTCTCTTCATACAGTCCCCTTCCTAGCAACTGGCAGGTGCCCAGAGGCATAGGCCCCAGACAGTGGTGAGAGAACATAGAACCATGGATGGTAGGCATGGGTAGGGTTGTCATTCATGAACCTACTTAACTTACTTTTAAAGCCATCCAAGTTGGTGTCTGTCACTGCGCGCATTAGTTTCATAATAAAAATAACTCCACAAACACATGCACACAAACTCCACACAGATCAGCTAAGGAAGAGGGAAGCTGAGCAGGAAAAAGAAGGGGTCTGTGTGTGTATGAAGCGTGTTGTATGTGTGTGACTGTCTAGTTACAAGTGGCTGTGTGCGCGCATGTTAGGAGAAGAAAACATCACTCCCGGCTCCTCAGCTGACCTGCACACGTCAGCCAAGGAGAGGGAACAGAGGAGCAATGTATGTGTGCATTTGTGCATTAAGGATGTGTGATTATGTACGTGTCTGGCATCACCTCCTGTGCGATCTGGCCCCACCCATTCCAGGCCCTTGGTCAGAAAAAGATTCCCCACTCCTGCCGTAAAGAGAAATGAATTCCAAGGGTGGAATGTTTCTATTGCTGCCCCATAATTTTTCCTCAGGCAATTGGCTTACAAAGACAGGTGAGAAGGCTGAGCCATTTGACTGGAAGTACGTTTCCATGTCTTTATTCTCTTATTTCCTCTGAGTACATCCTGTTATAGAAGGAAAGGGTATGAATTATAGAACTAAAGAATACATAAATAAATATTTTCCCCCTGTCTCTTCCAGCAGCGTTAGAGAGAAATCGCTGTGAAATATGCTGATCTGCTATAGGGTTGCATGTTATTGTTCAATTCAAAGTTGCGGGGAGGCAATTGTTCTGTTCGCACAAGCCTTTCTGCTTGCCAGGCAGAATGATCTTCCCCTCTTCTCCAGACCACCCAGAGCCCCATTGCAGAGGGAGGCAGCCCCATTGCCCTAGTGTGACTTGTTCTGTTGGCTCCTGCAATGCAACAACTCAGCTGAATCCACCCTAGAGATTCTGAAATTTCATTTTAAAAGAAAGCAATCTTCTGTTCTTATGGAGGCAAAGGAAAACCTGGAAGATATCTGGGCACCAGTGTTTATTAACTAAGATGGGAGCTGAAATAAACATTGGAGAGAGAAAGATGTTATTGAACTCTGCACAGTTCCCCACGGTTTACTGTGCCTGTATCTCCTGCTGCCCATCTAAGTTTCCCTGCTTTCCTGTGCTCCACACACCCCTTAAGGTAAGGTGATCAAATTCCAAAGGAAGGCAAAGCTCCTAGATGTCTAACAGAAGAGGGGATTTCAATAGATTCAGCTTTTCTGAACACTATGTGTCTTGCCAAAGTTCTGCTGCTGTCCTCCTTTGCACAAAGCCACTCTAGCTGAAAAAACTTCAGAAGGGGGAAAGAAGTTCCATAAGTTATTTGACCATCGCAAGGTTACAATAAAAACAAATAGTGAGATGTAAGAACATCGAAACAAAGTTGCATCATTCATTCCAAACCCAGGAAGCGACCTTCTCCAGAAGTCTATATTTAGGCATACACACACACATATTTGAAAGTAACATCTGTGTGCACGACACTTCAACATAAGCAAAAGGGGAAAGGAAAGACAAGTCACTGCACCAAGGAACTTGCAATTTAAAATGTTGGCCTGGCAGCCACCAATCTGTCAGACATCCAGGTGTATTAAAAACAAGGATGTATCAACACAATGCATGCTAGCACTCTGTTGCTCACACTAGCTGGTTGACAGCATGTACACGGCGAATGGGTTTGCCATGCCCCGTAGTGGCTGCTTCAGATGTCTGCACAAACCTTCAAACAACCATTTCTTGGCTCTGGTAGTGGTAAGGTGGGAGGGGGCATGAGAAACCCTCCACCACCAAGATAGAAGGAATAATGTGACTTGGCCTTAAGAAAGACCATTAGGAAGAGGAGGGCAAGATGTCCAATGGACCCTATTCTCCCCTATGGAAGGGCTGAAGATTATGGTGGGAAATCTGTGGAACATATTGGGTTTTTTTTGAGAGGGGCAGGTTCTAGCTGGGCATCATCAACCCAGCATTGGCCCTGGGATGGAAATGTTTTCATCTTCTCCAGACATCAGAAGGATCTGAGAGTCTGAGAAGAGGCAGGCTAGGGCATTTGGGCAGCACTGCACACCAGCAGATTGTCAGTTATTATGACTATTGTGGTGGGAACACAACTGGGCTTTCTGCCCAATGGACACCCAACAGTCTACCGGAGCCCCCTTGGGAATGGGTCCTCTCTGTAGCTGAGAGCCTGTCCTATCTGCATTCCGGGGGCGGGGGGGACAAGCAGCACAAGAAAAGCTGCAAGTTCCCATGTGCCAGGGGCTGAAGTTTGGGGGAGGAGAACAAAAGGCAACAGTTTCCAGGAAGATGCGATTTCCGGGGAAGAACAGAGCGCCCTAACGGCAAAAAAGGAGGAAAAAGTTGCTCCAGGAAACTGTGGAGTCTCCGGAGGTGTGAAGAAGAGCAGAGGGAAGAACATCTGTTAGGATTTAAGTAGAGGGAATTCAGTTGTTGCTAAAGGGCAGTGCTCGGATTGGAAGAAGGGGGTCCTTAAATTCCCCACAGCGCCCTGGCCGACCCGCCCGCCCCCCACGCCGCCACTGCCCCACTGAAGTCAAACCATGCTCCCCGTCGCCTCTCCACCCACAAGGAAAGGGCAAAGTGGGGCATCGCAACAGGTAAGAAGGAGATAATCCTAAACCCACATATGTTTCAAGCACTGCAGGGATTGTACCATTACTCGGTGAACTCGCCTACCCCATTTATGAACCCCGCAAAGCCCTCCGGTATAGGGGGCCAACTTGAATAAAAAATTGGGGGGGGGCTGTAAACCCCGCCTCGCATAATCGATCACAAGATGCGGTGCTCAAACACTATTTGAATGCCAATGCTCATCAATTTGGGGGGCCCAGCCCCTTCAGATATTCTACTGGGGGGCCGAATATACCCTAGGAGTACCCTGTGCCCTCCGGAGATCCTGCCGCTTTATTCCCTTCCAGGACGACCGTGGAGGGGGAGCGATCAGAATGTCCTTATCTCCATGCAGAAGGAGCCACCCCATTTTGGTAGCTATCGGGAAGGTGAGGGGGGAGATCATTGGTTTTAGTACGACCCTCTCCCAGCACTTTCCAGCGACTCGATCCCCCCTTGAAGCGATCCCTTCGCTTCTCTTCCCCCCCCCCCCCCACTCTTTCTTCCAGCTTTTGGCCAGGCCCGGGCCGGCCTTGCTTCCCCCTCCTCCCGCACACCCAAAATATCTATGGCTGGCAAAATCAACATATGGCCGAAGTTATTTGTTTTTCCCAGCCCAGGCTAGAGGAAGCGGCTGCCACGTGGAAAGGAGAGCCCTGCCTGGCAGGCGAGCGGCTTGGAGAGCGGAGCGCAGTCCACAAAGGAGGCTTTCAGGGCGAGCCGCGCCCGGGCCACTCGCCGCCCCGCGCCCCTTTCCCGCCCGTCGAGCCACTCACACTGGGCGCCGGATCTCCGGCGAGCGGCAATGGAGTCGCTCCTGCTCTTCCTCGGCGAGGTGTTGCCGGCGCTGCACTCGGGAGGGGTGGAGAGCTGGAGGGGGGGGATCTCCTCCTGGCCCTGCCCTCCACCTCGGCGAAGATTACGCGCCGCGCTGGCGGGTCTTGCCAGCGGCGGCCGCGGGGTGGCTTGTCCCGCCCGCCCCGGAGAAACAAGCGTGTTGCGCGCCTGGAGGGTCGGAGAGGGTGCGCAGCGGACGGCCCGCGCAGGAAGTGTTGGCCTTCGGGGGAGGGAGACGGAGGCGCGTGTTACTTTATAAGGCCATCGGAGTGTGTGTGTGAGTGTTTCTGTGTTTCTGTGTCAATCAGTCAAGAGGGGGGAAAGAACATGGGACTCGGGGAAAGTGGAGCAAAAGAGCCCGAGGCCAGGAAAAGAAGGAGCGCAACACTTTCCACGTGGGGCATCGTCGCCCCAGCCTGCGCGCACACACAGAGCCTCTTGTTCTAAGCGCTTCTCGCCCGCCTCTCTTGCTTTGGAGCAAGAAGCAGCTGGGATATTGTTGGCGCTAGAGGACTGGTTTTGTAGCCAGGGACAGAAGCTCAGGATTCGAATTCACCGCTACCCCAGGCTACGGAGTCGGGACTCCATGTATGTGCATGTATATGTATGTATACACACACACACACACACACACACACACACACACACACACAATGGGGCTGGGACCGCTGGGTGGCTATGTGAGCACGTGTGTGTGTGTGTCCCCGTTTCTCTCCCCTATGGGGGAAATAAAATTGACCTACCTCGCTTTTGCTCCTGCCGCTTTTTATTATGCGCAGCAGGGGAGTAGAATTTGTACTAACGCCTATTACTTTTCATAATGCAGGTGCAGATATGCATCCCTTGGTGCTGTGTGCGAATATGAAATAAGTATTTCCAAAATAAAAATAGAAGAGGTAAATACTGAAAAGCTTTTCAGAACAAGCTTGCTTAGAAATTCAACCCTTGTATACCAATGCAGCTGGATTAAATGCATAGGGTGCAGGGAATGTTGCAAGACAGCATGTTTCTAAGTTAACCGTTCCCCTGTGTAACTGAGTCATTGGTTTATTTTATTTTTAAAAAAAATCCAACTCAGAACACCCTTGTGCTTCCCCTTTCTCTTCTCTGCACACATTCAACCCTATTGGACTGAAGTGCAGGAGCTGAGCGAGCTTTGGTTTGAAATAAACAGTATATTCTGTGTATGGAAAAACTTTCTTTTGTCTGTCCTGAACCTTCCAACATTCCTCTTCATTGGATGCCCATGAGTTCTAGTGTTAATGCAGGAAAGGATAAAAACTTTTCCCTATCTGCTTGCTCTGCACCATGCATAGATTTATGCACTTCCATCATGTCACCTTTTCTCTAAACTACAAAGCCCCAAATGTCCTCTTCTCGTTGAGGAGTCGTTCCCTCCCCTTGATTGTTTTGGTTGCCTTTTTCTGAAACTTCCAGCTCTACAGTATCCTTTTTGAGGAGAGGCAACCAGAACTGTACTCAGTATTCCAAATGTGGGCGCACCATAAGATTTGTATTGTCCAGCTGGCCATGGCAGAAAACAGGATGCTAAACCAGGCAGGTCTTTTGTTTTGCTCCAGCAGGGCTCTTCTTAAGTTGCTAGCTGGAGGACTTATTCTTTTGTTTTTGGCCCCATGTTCTAGCTTATCCATGTCATTGTCTAGTTCAGACACAGCCAATGAGCTGCCTTCCAGATGTTGTTTGATTCTCATTGATCCCAGTTAGTGTTGCCAATGGTCAGGAACAGTGGAAATTGTTTTCCAGCCTTGTATTGAGGACATCACATTGGCAACCCCTGGACTGCTGAAGCTGGAGTTGTGGATTTGTATTCCTAGCAAACTAGATGAGAATCCTCCACACTCCTCTGTACACGTTATTAAAACAGCAAACAGAGCAGGAAGACCCACAACTGTTCCTTTGGAAAACCCCTTGCTCCTTCATTCGCTGCGATTCATTCCTGGCTCCATTTTGAGTGCACTTTTTCTGCAACCCGACACATCCCCCCACCTTACAGGAGGCAGCTTTCCAATCCATTCTTCTTTCCATTTTATTTATGACAATGTGATGTGGAACCATGCCAGAAGAGAAATAGCTCAAAGCTCCTCCTGTAATTAAGAAACTCAGCCTATTCCAGGCCATTTCAACATCCTGAACACATATAAGATCCTTTGTCCAACCCCCCTCCAAGGGTTCCTGGGTATGCAGTGAAGATATTAAATGCCTTCGGCCCATAGGAGAAAACTGCTGCCGGATGCAGCACCGGTAGGTAATGAGGACAGAATGCATAAAATAGCTGCTCAAAATAACCTTGAAGCAAGCAATGATGAGTTAGTCCTGTCCAATTTAATTGGAAGGGCAAACGGAGCTGGAAATGCAACGAAGGATTCTGGAAAGGGCAGGTCTGGAGAAATCAAGGTAGCTGGTTAATGAGGGAGGTGAACTGGGCAACGGAACTACATGCCCCCATATGCAGACAAGGGTTTTAAAGGTTATAACCAGCAGTGAGTCGCTTATGTACCATATGAATGCCAAGGAAGGCAAAGGAGCCCGAGGGAAGTGGCTCCAGGCCTAATTGGATGTGTATCATGCAAGTCAGCCTGGAGCTTATGGGGCAGCATTCATGTCAGAGGAACAAATGCAGCTTTGCTTTCCTGCAGCATCGTACATGTGGAAAGTATAGCTGACACAAAAAGCTCTACCCTGTGAGCAACTGAAACCCCGACAGTGGAAAGATAGACCTGCATAAATGGGCCCAGTCAGACACAAGTCTGGCATTGGGCAGGGTGACATGCCAGAAGGCCAGAAGGCAGAGTTACATGCTGGTTCCAGCAATGGGATCAGCTGGGCTGCCATCAGCCCAATAGACGTGTACATTTGGGCTGCAAGGCATATCCTTGGAATGGAGAAATGCCAGGAAAACAACTTGTTCGAGGAAACCATATAGGAAGTAAAGCCAGTTGGGCCAATTAAAAGCAAATTGCAAGCATTGGTGGCTGCAGGTGGAGGCTTCTAAACGAACTCTGGAAAGTCCCTTCCTTTTTGGTACACTTCTGCAAAAACATACATGACAGCAGATTCCAAGAATAGTCCACAGGACAATGTTCTTTAGAAAACTTGGGAGGGTTCCTCCAATGAGAAGATATGTAACCACAGATAAGCTTCTGAAACTTGCCAAGAGAGTTCAGTTTGTGCTACACCACATTCCCAGTTCACACAGCGGGTGGGTGGGTGGGTGCGAGAGAGGATAGTGAGGCCCAGAGTCTAGGACAAAGGGAAGGGAACCTTTGCCAGCTCAAGGGCCACCTTCTCTTCTGCACAACCTTCTGAGGGCCGCACGTCAATGGTGGGCAGAGTCATGAATATGAATGTTATCCTTTTAACAGTAGGCTTGTTTCTACTTTCTATCCCCCCTCCAGCCAAGCAAGAGGCATTATCAGAGTTCAAAGGCACATTCTGGCTGGGATGCAAAGCAAGGCCAATGGGGGGAGTAGCCTGGAGGGCCTCATGGTTTGATGTTCTCCATCCCGGGCAAGTACCTGTATGAACTGAACGTGGGCGGGGGGGGGGGGGGAGTAGATTACTATGTATTTTACTGTTTTATTTGTAAGATGCTGAGAATTATTCTTTTTTAAATTGAAGTGTGACTTACATTCTTTAAACAAAAGTGTGACAGTAATAATAGATCAAGATTTCCCAGACAACCTCTGGATCATTTGCAATAAATAAGCAATTGGACTTCCACTGGATGCAAAAGTCTGGTTCTCTGGCTCCAAATTCAGCTGGTTAATGAAGGGGGGAGTGCAGAAGTGGGGTTTTGGAGAAAATAACAGCAAGCTCAAATCTGGTGCACAAATCCCATCCCTGGGCTCAGCTCAGTGTGTTAAAGGCCTCCCTGTTCCTTATTTCTAAGGGTATTCGCTGCATCCCACTTTAGAGCAGCGTCTTCTGAAATACTACATGGCAGGAAGCTCCACTGAGTCCATAGGGGCTTGTTCCCAGGTAAATGCTGAGCCGTGGTCTAGGGCTGCTCTCGTGACCAAGTCAGGGATGAGTTGGGAATTCAATATCTGGAAGGCCACAGGTTCCCAGGCTCTGGTAAGCAGGACTGCAGCTTTTAACCACTTTTTAGCTTCTGTATTAGTTTTCTAATAAGAACCAAAGTACACCCCCCCCAAGTCTGCCCTAGACCATGGCTCAGAATATTTGTTATTGATTGCATGTGCATCCTACCTTCCTCCAAAGATCTCATGGTGGCATATGTGATTCTCCCCCTCCTCATTTAACTCTCCCAGAGACCATGACTGGCCCAAGTGTGGGAGGAGCTTCCTGGCCAAGTGGAGATTTGAACCCTGGTATCCCAGGTCCTAGTCCAACACGGTTTAGTCTAACCACTACACCACATTGGCTCTTCAGGGAAAACAAGCAGGAACTCCTCAGCATTCACATCCATGTAGGAAGCAGCACCTGGAAGCATAACGTTTGAAGTTCACTGCTGCAGAAAATCATGAGGAAGAATAAGCAACAGATTAAGATCCAATACACCTGAGTCCCACTGAGGCGGTGAACTTTTCTAGCAGGATGTGAGAGGTCTTGATTTTTTACTAGCTCCCTTAATTGCTCCCGCCACTGCGCCTCTAGCTCCCCCTTGCCCTTTCCAGCCACCACGGGGTGGACCCGAGAGCTCTGCCAAAGCAGCCGCAGCACAACGGCCGGGCCCTGTGCAGGCATCAAACCGCAAGGAAGGCTTGCCAAATAACTTCCAGCATGTGGTTTTAAATAACTTCTAATTGCTTTAAGCAGCTCTAATTGAATAAGTCACCCTTTGGCTAAACACAGCTGGTATTTAATTAGAAAATGCAGAATGAGGCTGTAAGAAATCAAAGGGGCCCAATTATGAGGTATACTCATAAAAAAATAACAGTATGAGTGCCTGAAAGTTGTTACTCACACATTGTCGGTAAAAAAAAGAAAAAGAAAGAAAAGGCACGTGTTTTGCAATGCCCCCTGCTGGCCACAACGAAAAGCACAGGAAATGTTTAAATCCAGAAACAAAACACTTCTTCACGGACCATTTGGTTACAATCATTCTAGAAGAGGGAGCGGCGAGAGTTTAATGAAAAACAGCAGCGTGCCTTCTCCTTTGCAGAGGATCAAAGGGAAGGGAGGTCGGATCTCCAGTTCAAATCGTACAGAGAAATGGCTTGAAGGCTCCCAACGAAAAGCACCAGAATGGAGGTGGCTTAACAAGCACATCGGGAGAACCAAGTTTTAGCAAATATGGTGAGGGCTGCTGGAAGTTTACCCATTTATTATTCTTTTCTCACACATCCAGTTTTCCAGTGTGTCAGAATTTCCGCATGGCCTTCTCCTCCGAGTGCACCTATTAAGATTGACATACATTCTGCTCTTGGCAGAGACACAGATGCCGCCCACGCTTATCCCTTCACCAGCATCACCCTTGAACTTCTGCGAAACCCTGTGCCTTACTGCTGCAGGCACAGAAAAGGAAATAAATATGAACAAAATCACAATCTTACAGGGTTTAGTTCCCTCTAGTGGTTGCCTTCTGCAATTGCAGGCAGCTTCCTTTTTCTTTTTTTTTGGTGACCTGCCAACAGCAGTGTGACCACTAATGCTCATTTCATTTCAAATTTTTCATAGTTCAAATTAACTGTGCTAACATGCATAGCTTGCCAGGTAATGTGTGTATCACACTCTACTCAAAACATCTTTTGAAGAAGACTCAGGACACTGAACTATCTCATACAGGGCTCAGAATTATTTCTGCAGTTAGCTCAGCAGGTGACTTCAGATTTTTATTTTTGGACTTCCCCTGTAGCTTTCCTGACTTGCTTGAATAATCAGAAGTGATTTTCTGTGCTAACAATATTATGTGGCACCCTTGCTCTCCCACTGTTATGGGCAGATAATCTTGCAAATAGCAAGGCATAGACTATATGTGTTTCCCAACCGGGGGCCATATGGTGAAAAGTGTGTAAATGGGGGGGGGCATAGCACGAGGCTAGGGGGGCACAGGTAAAGGTAAAGGGACCCCTGACCATTAGGTCCAGTTGTGGACGACTCTGGGGTTGTGGCGCTCATCTTGCTTTACTGGCCGAGCCGGCGTACAGCTTCCGGGTCATGTGGCCAGCATGACTAAGCCGCTTCTGGAGAACCAGAGCAGCGCACAGAAACGCCATTTACCTTCCCACGGTACCTATTTATCTACTTGCACTTTGATGTGCTTTCAAACTACTAGGTGGGCAGGAGCTGGTACCGAACAATGGGAGCTCACCCTGTCGCGGGGATTCGAACCGCCGACCTTCTGATCAGCAAGCCTTAGGCTCTGTGGTTTAGACCACAGTGCCACCCCTGTCCCAGGGAGCCACAGAGGGAAGGAGAAGATTTTTTTTTTTAAAAAAAATCCTGATTGGCTGGCTATCCGCTTGGCCAACCACAAGCGGGTAAGGGGGCAGCCCACCAAGGCCTAGGACTCCTTTCTGTGCATTTTCTTTGAGCAGTCCTGGGAAATCGCTGAGGCTCCTGCTTTGACCAGTAGAGACCGCTATCCAGAACCCCCAGATCAGTAAAGTGCAGTGGTGGGGTGGCAATGGGTAGGGCTGGGCAAGCCAGAGCTGCTTGTTGCTGCCACCAGTGCTGGGCTTGGTGGCAGCCTGGGCCTGACTCTGCAAGGTCCAGAGTCCAATCCATCCCAGCGCCTAGTGGATCAGGGCCTTTGGATGTTGCCAAGGGTTGCAGGGTCCATTGGCACTGTCAGCCCGGCTCTGCAAGACGCGGAGTGAAATCCACCACAGGGCCTAGCTGATCAGGGTCGTCTGGTGCTGCTGACTGGCGTCTAGTAAATAACTAAGTGTCTAGTCAGAAGAAAGCTGCACTGAGTTCAGTGGGCCTTACTCCCAGGTAAGTGGCGGGAGGACTAGTGCAGCCAGGGCTCCTCCGGATGACAAGATCTTTTTGCACCAGGTCAGTGAGGACCACTTGCATTTTATAACTCTCCCATATATACAGAACTCCATGTGCACCTTTTGGACTGTATCTGTAGGTTTCCCTCTCTGTGTCAAATAACTTGGGTCAAATAAATGTTGTTAACTTTTAATAATACATGGAAGGTGGATCTTCCTCAGGAGGTGGTGGACTCTCCTTCCTTGGAGGTTTCTAAACAGAGGTCGGCTGGCCATCTGCCATGGATGCTGTAGCTGAGTTTCCTGCATTGCAGGGGGTTGCAATAAAAAGATAACCATTGGTGTCCCTTCCAGCGCTGTGATTCTGTTTTTCTGCTTCAACATCATTTCATTATGTATCATTTTATGTAATTGTATTTTGTTTAAATTATAAAAATTATAAATAAAACATGTTCTATTTACAAACAAAACATTGAAATAGGCCCTTTCTACCAGTACGACCGGGGAGGGGGGCATGAGCATAGCCAGGATTTTTGTTAGGGGGGCAGGCTTTTGTTAGGGGGGCAGAACCTCAGATTTATATTGATTTTTACTTATTTGGGGGGCTGCTGCCCCGCCCCCCGGCCATGGGGAGGCCACAGGAAGGAAACCAGGTCAGAAGGGGGCCATGGTCGGGAAACACTGGACTACATTTCAACTCTTTTAGTCTAAATAGCACGTCTTGTAATTGAAGCATTACCTAAATAAGAAAGATTATAAACTCTGCTTCTACCACTGTTCTGCTATTGCAAGAGAGCAGCAAGAAGTCACCAAAACCACCGGTGAAACCGGCTTTTAGGAAAGTGAATCCACCCAGAAGAACAGAATGTGCCAAAGGGCATTCAGTCTCTCTGCAGCCTTCAAATTTATGCGCTGGCACAAGAAAGCTCTATAGGACCCCACAGGTGAAGAGGATCTCCCTTGGCAAGAGAATCGCATATTGCCCCCATCTTCCATCAGGCCTAGCAAGGAAGGACGAAAACTCCAGCATACCTGGTCGTTAAGAGATAATATAATGTTCAACATTTTATTGGCAAAAGGAGGGATCAACACAGAGTCCAGGCACAAAGTAGGGGAAAGGGGGTGGTAAGCACATGTTGTCCATTGTCAAAAGTGTGTGCGTGTATTTGTTGGTGTTACGCCGGCCCAGCCCCCTGCTGCATCCTCTTCATCAGCTCCTCATCCTGCATTGAGAGCTCCGTCAGCTTCTTGCCCATGCGCTCATGGATGTCCAAATACTTGGAGACGCAGCGATCCAGGCACACAGACTCTCCCTTGGACAGCTCAGCCTCCTTGTAGTGTGGAGGGACGCATTTGCGATGGCAGGCATTGGTCATTCTGGGGCACAGCAAGAAAAGAACAGAGCGTGAGCGGAAGGAAGTGGCCATCTTTTGGCTGTTCCTAGCCGGCTTTATTTATATTCAGCTAAAACAAGCACATCACAGTTCTTGCCTAAAAGCTCTCGATCAATGCCTAAAAAGCCATGATGTTTCTCCTCTACCACCACCCAAATTCTAATGATCACCAACACAGTCATCCTAAAGATATCTATCTGTGTTTTCGTCAGTGCCAAAGTTCTGCAACCTGCCACTTCAAGCAGGAGATGCCACTTTTGGGGCTACCAATGGCCTTGCCTCTGCTGCTCTGAACTCGTGCAAAGCCTGGTGTCCCTTAGGAACTGTACATAACTCCACAGAACAGAGTAACCTGGTTTATCTCAGTTCCAGACTTCCTAATCTGCCTGACACTCTTGCAAAAATGAGCAGCACCACTTCACTCACCTGCTGCCAATTTTGCCCCAGGATATAGGGATAAAGGACAGTACCTTATTAGTAAAAAAAAAAAACCACACACAAAGCATTCAAATGCAAAACTCTATTATTATTTTATGTATTATCTACTAAATTCATATACTGCCTGTGATGGGATGATGAGCTGCTTGTGCGTAAAATCGTATCCCCTCAGAGTTTGTTCAAGTCCACAAACCTCTGTCTGTGACGGAGCCCCTCAGACATGGCTCCTCTAGTCACTAGCAGATTCCGACAGTGGTTGCTTTCGGAATCGCTTCCAACATAAAAGCTCCTTAACGGAAACACGTCTTCTGGACTCTCTGCGTGTCAGTTTCCGGCGAGGAGTGGGTGTCCCTACAGGAGGTCCTGAAACCTCCCCACTGTTTTCGCTGGAAGTGTCTCTGAGCCATCCCTCCAGCTCACTTTCCCTCAGCTCAGCTCCTCTCCCCTACTGGTTCCCTCTTCAGCTGCTGAGTCTCTCCCAACCTGTGTGAGCCCTTTCACCTCCCTTCCTTCCGATGGCAGTTCCCTGACATCCACCTCCCCTCCAGGGCCCCCTTCACCCCCTCTCGCCCCCTCCTCTACGGGCGGTGAGGAGGCAAAACCCCGGAATGAACTTCCTTCATCTTCCGATGTCTCGAACACTTCTCTCCACCTGTTGCGGTTCCTGGTCTCGAAGTACTCCTCCTCCTCAGAGTCCATCTCCCTTCCCCTTCCGAGTCCGGGAAGCCTTCCAACTCCTCCTCCTCATCAGTGGTCCCAAAGTATTCCCTCCGGAACCTCTCCACAGGCTGAGGTTTCCTTGGGAACCTTTGATGGAACGTTTCTATCAATACCTCGTCATTGATATCTTCGGCCATTACCCAAGTGTTTTCTGACTCCGGTTCTCCTTCCCACGCTACCAAATACTCCACCTGATTCCCCTTCCACCTGGCGTCGAGGATTTCTGCCACATGGCTGCTGCATTCTCTTTCTTCTATGACCGGTCCCCGAGTGGCCATCCCTTCTCGTCCCCTTCGTACGGTGACAGTAACGACCTGTGAAATACTGGGTGCAGTTTCATGTGGTTGGGTAACCGGAGCCTGAAAGCCACTGGGTTGACCTGTTGAATGACCTCAAAGGGACCCAACCTCCTGGGTCTTAATTTCTTACAACCTCCTTTGAACGGCAACCCTTGGGTTGACAGCCACACCCTATCTCCCACCCTTATGGTTTCACCTTCCCTTCGGTTCTTGTCTGCTTGCCTCTTGTATTCTTCCTTCGCCCTTTCTAAGTTGAGTTGGAGCTGACAATGGATTGCTTCCATTTCTTCTACAAAATGCTCGGCTGCCGGGACGCTCCATCTCTCCCCATCTCCCCTGGGAAAGCCCTGGGATGACACCCATAATTAGCCAAGAAGGGGCTCATCCCTGTGGACACATTCTCGGCATTGTTGTAGGCAAATTCCGCCAGCGCCAACTTTTCTACCCAGTCATTCTCTCTGTCATTGACATAACACCTCAGGTATTGCTGGAGGACACCGTTTGCTCTTTCCGCCTGCCCGTTGGTTTCAGGGTGCCGGGCAGTCGAAAATTGACCTCCACCTGCAGTAAGCTCATGAGCTTCCTCCAGAACCTGGAAGTAAATTGTTTTCCTCGGTCTGAGACCACCCTCAATGGCACCCCGTGCAACCTAAAAATGTGTTCTACAAATAACTTCGCTGTCTCTTCCGCCGTGACTGCATGCGAGCAAGCTACAAAGTGGCACATCTTTGTTAGTAGGTCCACCACCACCATGATGGCTGTTTTCCCTTTGGACTTCGGCAGATCAGTCATAAAATCTATCGACACTGCCTCCCAAGGTCGTTCTGGGGTTGGTAAGGGTTCTAATAGCCCCGCCGGCGCCCGCCTTATCCCTTTGGCTCGCTGGCATTGCTCGCACCCTCTTACATACTCACGTACATCTTCCCTCACCTTGGGCCACCAAAATTCCCTGGTGACCAACCACATGGTTTTGTGTTGTCCAAAATGCCCCGCCGTAGGGCTGTCGTGCAACTGCTTGAGTACCCTCCCCTTAAGTCTCCTTCAGGGATATACAGTGCCCCTTTGTAATACAAAGCTCCATTTCTTTCCTCGAAACCCCTGGTTCCTCTCCCTCACCCCTAAGACCTCTGAGCTTATTCTGGGCGTATTCATCATTCTCTGTTTCCTCTACCAGTTCTCTTTGTCCCACCAATGCCGCCCCACACACCCAGCGGTCCTCTGGAATGACATGTCTCTCTTCGGGTGCTCCCTCCCTCCAAATATTCAGGTTTGCGTGAGAGAGCGTCCGCCCTAATGTTCTCTGGGCCTGGCACGTAACAAATCTCAAAGTTAAATTTGGAGAACTCCTGGGCCCATCTCACTTGCCGTTGGTTGAGCACTCGTGCCGTCCTCCAATACTCTAGGTTCTTGTGGTCAGTGCACACTTGCACCTTATGTTGTGCGCCAATTAGCAGGTGCCTCCATCTCCGGAACGCCTCATGAATGGCTAGTAGTTCTCGGTCATACACCGTGTAGTTCCTCTCGGATTTGTTCAGCTTTCGCGAAAAAAGGCACACGGTCTCCACTCTGACTCCTCCTTCCCTGGCTGCAGAAGCACCGCCCCAATCGCTCTGTCTGATGCGTCAGTTTCCACTCTCATCGGTTTTTGTAAATCCACATGCAGGAGTTGTTGTTCCGAGGCGAAGGCCCTTTTAGTTCCTCAAATGCTCGCTCCGCCTCCTCAGTCCAAACGAACTTCTTCTTACTGCTGAGACAGTCCGTAATGGGCGCCGTCAGGTGGGCAAAGTTTCGGATGAACTTACGATAGAAGTTCCCAAATCCTAGGAACCTCTGCACATCCTTCCTTGTTTTGGGTGTTTTCCATTCCAGCACCGCCTGGACCTTGCCGGGATCCATGGCCAATCCCTTGTCTGACAGGCGATACCCCAGGAATTCCACCTCCTTGGTATGAAACTGACACTTCTCCAGTTTCACCCACAGCTGGTTGGCTTGCAGCCTGCTCAACACTTCTCTGACGTCTCTCACATGCTGCTCCTCATTCTCAGAATACACCAACACGTCGTCTAAGAAGGCCACACAATTCTTGTAAAGCAAAGGCCCCAGGACGTGGTTCATAAACGATTGAAAGCATGCGGAGCCTGCTTGGAGGCCGAAGGGCATAACCAAATATTCAAATGCCCCTAAAGGGGTGAACATGGTGGTTTTCCATTCATCACCCTTCCTTATTCGTATCAGGTTGTACGCCCCCCTTAGGTCCAGCTTTGTGAAAATCTTTCCCTTCCGCACCCTTGTCAAAATGTCGTCAATCCTGGGCATAGGGAAGGCCACTGGTTCTGACACTGCATTTAAGGCCCTGAAGTCACACACCAGCCTCGGCTTGTTCGTGTTTTTTTATCCACAAAAACACTGGGCTGCCCCCACCGCCCTGGACTCTCTGATGAACCCTCTCTTCAGGTTCTTGTCAATGAACTCTCTTAGCTCCTGCATCTCTCTGTCTGACATGGCGTACAGCTTGCCTACAGGGAGCTGTGCCCCAGGGAGTAAATTGATTTGACAGTCAAAGGGTCTATGCGGGGTAGTTGGTCAGCTTCCTTTCGCTGAAGACGTCACGGAGATCTGCATATTGTCGTGGTACCTTCACGTTCTCCGTTACTTCAGTCCCTGCTAGGGTGGCTTGGGCCCCTGCCAAACCCTTTCCTCTTTGCAGTGTTCTAAGCAATGTGCTGAACCAAAAGAAACCACTCTCTGATGCCAGCCCACCAGCGGATCATGTAACGCTAGCCAGCTCATCCCCAATATAATGGGAGCTCCTCCCAAGGTGGCCACATTAAACGCTATCAGTTCGGTGTGCCTTGCTACCTTCATTATCATTGGGACGGTCTGCAAGCTGACTTCTCCTCCCAACAGCTCCCTGCCATCGATCGTGGTCACCTGCAGGGGGTTGCTTAAAGGGATCGTCTGTATCTGGTGTTCAGCTGCAAACTCTTTGCTCATGAAATTGCAGGAGCTGCCTGAGTCCAACAGCGCCTTTATCTTTAGAGGGTGTCCGTTTGGCAGCTCTAGCGCCACTTCTATCACTAGGGCGGGTTTAGGAGGTTCTGGCGTGGGCACTCTCACTGCTCTTTGGCCTGGCTGCTGTGCCCCGACAGTGGCAGCCAGGCGTTGGCTTTTACTTGCTCCGGTATTTCTTCCTCTCTTCCCTCCACAGCTCCTACCATCCCTTGCCATTCCTTCCTCTGGGGGCAGACTCTGGCAAAGTGACCTGGCTGTTGGCAGAGATAGCATTTCCGGGCGCCTTTTCCCTCCTTCTTTCCCCTCACTGGGCTTTGAAACTGCGCGCGCGCGCTGTTCCGATTTCCATCGGCTCTGCCGGCGGGAAAGTTGGCTCTGGAATGTCTGGAATGCGGAACTCCTTCCAACGTTCCCCTTCCCTTCCCGCCTCTCCAATGCTCTCGCCTCCTGGCGCGCTCCTATGGTCAGCGCTGATTTGGTCAGCTGGTCCATAGACTCCGCCCTGGGCGCCCGGGAAAGTTCGTCTTTCACAGCCGAAGAAAGCCCTTCTTCAAAGAGCATTTGAATGGGTTCCGCCGATAAGTCCCACCCCAATCTGTGAACCAGCATGGTGAACTCAGTCCAGTACTCACGGACAGATCGGCTCCCTGTTTGCAAGCCATTAACTGTCTGCGCACCACTCCCTGTTCAATATCGCTGGAAAACATCAGATCCATGGCGCGAAAGAACTTCATCGTGTCCTTTAGGACGTCACTATTCGCTGCCATCAGGGGTCTAACCCAGTCTCTCGCCCCTTTTCAAGATGCTCAATCACGAAAGCCACTCGTGATTCCTCGTCAGGGAATTCATCAAACTGCAGATTGAGGGCATATTGCATCTCTGTCCGAAAGCCATGATAGTCTTTGGGCTCCCCCCCAAACTTCTGCACCAATCCTGGTACCTTTCTGGCGAGCTGGGTGGCTTTCCCTTTTGTCTGCATCCTGAGCCCTCCTCTCCTCAAGCCTCGCCGTCTGCAGCGCTAGCTGGACCTCCAACACCCGGTACCTTTCTTCCAGGCTTGGACCCGCTCCAGCTCCTGCTTCTCCGGTTCCGGCTGGGTTGCTCATGATGCCTTCTCCTGCACAAGCTGCTTTCAAAGACTGTCGGAATGCTGTGATGGGATGATGAGCTGCTTGTGCGTAAAATCGTATCCCCTCAGAGTTTGTTCAAGTCCACAAACCTCTGTCTGTGACGGAGCCCCTCAGACATGGCTCCTCTAGTCACTAGCAGATTCCGACAGTGGTTGCTTTCGGAATCGCTTCCAACATAAAAGCTCCTTAACGGAAACACGTCTTCTGGACTCTCTGCGTGTCAGTTTCCGGCGAGGAGTGGGTGTCCCTACAGGAGGTCCTGAAACCTCCCCACTGTTTTCGCTGGAAGTGTCTCTGAGCCATCCCTCCAGCTCACTTTCCCTCAGCTCAGCTCCTCTCCCCCTACTGGTTCCCTCTTCAGCTGCTGAGTCTCTCCCAACCTGTGTGAGCCCTTTCACCTCCCTTCCTTCCGATGGCAGTTCCCTGACACTGCCCTTCATCACAAGGTTTCAGGGTGGTTCACAGAATAACCACTACCGAATGTCAATCAGCATCATGAACTTTGGGATTAAAGAAACTTGTTAAAACACCTCTATTTCTCTACTGCAGCAGGTTCAAATCTTCTGTCTGCATAATCTTACCTGTAAACAATTCCACTCAGGCAACTTTCCCATATAAATCCTTGATCACCACTCTAACTTCCTCCTCTTCCTCCTCCTCCTCTTCCTCCTCTTCCTCTGTCTCTCTTACAACCCTCATCATCCTTCAACTGTCTCTCCCAAATGACATCCTTCACATACTGCAGGGAACTTCTGTCAATTAGACTATTTCTTCAGCAGGTCAGGTGTAAGATTCTAAAGCTATAATTCTAACCCTGTTTACCTGAGAGTAAGACCCATTAAATTCAATAGAGTTTAGTTTCTGAATAGACATGGTTAGGAATGTGCTGCAAGTTATTTCCCAAACTTAATATATCTGTTTACAATTCTAACCAATTGTACAAACACACACGATATTGTCATATCCCATTTAAAAACTAACCGACTGAGCCCTAGGCAATCATTTTGTCAGGGACACACAGTCCACTTCACAGTGAAATGATTAAGACGTACATTAAGGCAGACAAGGAGTGTTTTTGAGTAGCCAACCAGCTTCAGGAACATCTAAGCTGCTACATCCAAATAAACATGCATGCAATCAGTTTGCATGGCTACAGTCCCTCCACACTTACTTGTGTGTAAGCCCCCAGCGAACATTCAAATAAATGTGCATAGGACCAGACTGCATGTCTTCCAGGCTAGAAAAATCTCAATAAATGTTTTTCCTCCAGCTGAAGACTGTGGTAGTCAGTGTCTGCTTGACTCCTTTGCCTTATTTGGTGTCTGAAAAAGATTCCCTGCAACAAAGTGTCTCTGCTCCAGTGTCAAGGCAACAAGCGAATTAAACAGCTGAGCAACTAGAGGGTAAGTACGATCCTTTTATATAAATCATTGGTTTAAACAACACAGTAAGACCACTGTGTGCTAAGAGCTTAATCCTGTAAAATTTAGAACTCAGGAGCTATAAATTCTAGCGGTAGTAAGTCTGTAGAAACCTAGCTTTCATCTCTACTCAAGCAGGGCCACAGTATAGCAGAAACCTAGATAAAATTTCAATTTTAGAGAGGTGGTATTAAACAACAACATAAAACCAACCTCAGATTTATGATTCCCCATGCAACAGAGTAACCCTTAACCATTTTGGTCCAGAATACCTTAAGGACCATCTAATGGCTTAGATTCCTGTCCAATCAGTGAGGAAGTCACTTTGGGGAAGTCACTGTTAATGGTTCCCTAAGGCTCAGATGTAAGGCTTGTATCCACCAGTATTGCCATTAGTATTGTGGGCCCAGTTTTATAGAACTTCTTCCACTTGAGGTCAGACAGGCCCCTTCCCGACTGAACCTCTGAGAACTAAAAAAAAAAATCCAGCAAGCATTTTAATTGTAGTTTGATTGTATAGTTCTAATTTATACTTATTTTTGGATTGCCTCTTTTTAAACTGCTTAGAGAGTATTGTAGGTAAGCAGTATACAAATTGTTTAAACAAATAATACAAAAATAAATAACAAAAATAAACTAGTGACAGAGTAAGCCTAGATTTTAAAAAGCAGGCTTAGCTTTTAGATCAAGCTCAGTATAGTATAGACTTCAGTTAAAAAGGACGGTAGAAAATGACAGTATAGAACAGTGGTCAGCAACCTTTTCCAGCCGTGGGCCAGTCCACCATCCCTCAGACCATGTGGTGGGCCGGACTATTTTTTTTGGGGGGGGGGAAATGAACGAATTCCTCTGCCCCACAAATAACCCAGAGATGCATTTTAAATAAAAGGACACATTCTACTCATGTAAAAACACGCTGATTCCTGGACCGCCCAGGGTGTTAAAATGACCTAAATTCACACACTCCTTCCAAATTCCTACTCACCGGAATTTGAACAAGCCCAGCAGTTGTGTTACAACTTGATGTTTTTCAAATGAGAACTTCCTGATCTAACTAGCTGCATTAGCAAGTGGGGAAAGCTAGCCAGGGACATAAATCTGGAAAAACCTAGCCAGGGAGCCTGGTCCACAAGCAAGAGGAGAGCCCCTGTGGATGCCTCATCAAGGAGTGAGTTCAGCAGCAGGATGAGGTCAGGGCAAAATACTTTGGCCTGCCCCTTAGTGACCTAACATGTCCCAAGCTCCCATGTAAACAAACAATAAATTGTACAGAATGCCATGCGTACAGCTATCTTCCTTTTGGATAAAAGTAATGGATGTGTGCTTAGTAAAATGAGCTCCTGGTCCTCAGTTTGTTCCCTTGAGGGCAAGGTGGATGACCTGAAATAAGGCCAAGAGAGGTTGGTGGACAAGGCCTCTGGGGACAAGCTGTGTCCCAAGGTGACAACTCCTCTGCTGACATACAGAACGACTCTCTATGCAGGGGTGCCCAAACTTTTTTCAAAGAGGGCCAGATTTGATGAAGTGAACATGCATGAGGGCCGACCAAAGTTGTTGAGCTTTTTTTTACAATTTTACCCCATGACATATACTGCCACGGGGGCCGGATTAAATTTTAAATTATTAAATTGACCGGCAGGCCGGATTAGGCTCCCGAAATGGACTTTGAACATGCCTGCCCTAGGGGAAGGAGTGCACCACTCTGAGCAAGAGGAAAATGAACTCTTAGAATGACCCAGTCACTGGGGTATGAGCTGTTATCCTCTCATGCAAAGGATACACCTCCAGGTGGAGACAGGGGTATCCTGGTCGTGGGTGATTCAATCATTAGAGATATAGATAACTGGGTATGTGACTGTTATGCAGATTGTAGAGTGAACTGGCAGACACTGCTGGGGAGGAGTCAATGGCCATGGTGCATGTTGGCACTAGTGACACAGAGAAAAGTACTTGTGTGATCCTAAAAGAGAAATTTAGGTTGCTAGCTAGGAGGCTTAGAATCAAGAACTTCAAGGTAGCTTTCTCTGATGTGCACAGGGCCAGCTAGACAGGAACAGCTGTGTGGTCTCAATGCATGCATGAAATGGTGGCATCTGGAGGAGGGCTTTGGATTTGACAGATGCTGGGGAATGTCTTTGGATAAGCTGGCCCTGTATAAAAGGAATCGGTTCCATTTAAGGCAGATTGTTGGTGCTTAAAAACAAAAAGGTGGCAAAGCATATTTTTAACCAATTGTTGAAATCCCCACCATGTCTGTCTGTCTGTCTATTATTATTACTATTAATTCAATTTAAATACCACCCTTTATCAAAAGATCCCAGGTAGTATACAACATTAAGAACACATTTTATGGAGCATAATAATAAAAACACAATAAAAGCATTAATTTGTGATATAATTTCCCCTGCGCAGGGCCAGCTAGATCATTTAGCAAGCAGCAACTAGAGCATTTGGGGTTTTTAAATTTAGCTAAGTGGAACATGGTAGAGACTTATCAAATTTTGACTGAACAGAGGAATCTTTTGCCATCTCTAATTATACTGAAATTCAGTGTTACCCAATGAAACTAACATACAGTAGGTTCAGAGTGGACAAACGTAAGTATTTTACCCAATAAGGAATTCTCAGACACAAGATGCAATGATGGACACCAGGTTATGACACCTAGGTCTGTCAACGACTATGGTTAAATAAAACTTCTATGTTCAAATACAGTACCCCTGCGAGCACCAGCTGCTAGACAGAAAACAGGGAAGGATGCTTTGCCTGTATGTCCTACCTGTAAGCTTCCCAATTCAACCACATGAAGCCTTGATCAGATTTTTTAAAAAGGCAATTCTATGATGTTATCCTATGTTTCTATTTTATGAACCACCCTGTGATCTTTGGATGAAGGGTGGTATACATTAATAATATGTTCTGTGCAATGTCTAGTAAGGTATAGGTTCTAAAATAGTACATTTTTGTGGGAGAATAATCTTGGAAAGTCTGGGGTACTTAGAGAAGCAAAACACAAGTCACAGCATACAGTGCCCGTATTGTTTTCATAGCTCTATTGTTTTCATAGCTCTTTTAAATGAGCACCACTGAGGAGTGCCTTCACGCTTGTGGTTAGTCAGTACCTGTTGTACATATCAGCCATCATCTCCACTTCCAACTCAGCCGCCAGCTGCTGAGCCCTCACAGGATCCATCACACATTCAAGTATTTGTCCTTGACACTGCTGGAGAACACAAAGGATCAGAACCCAAGGACTCTAGTACACACACTCAAACACTATCAACAAGGTTGCCACTTAGTCTGTATTTTAGATCACTGCTCAGTTTTTCAGTGGTCAGGTCCATCTGCAGTCCTGGCAGTAAAAGGGCAGATAAGTGTGAGCTGGTTTGCGCCCCACCTAACAGATCAGTGCTGTGACAAGAGCAGACGCTGACCCTCTGCTGACCCACTAAGGCAGGGACAGGGAGCCCTTCAGATAGTCAGCCCATAGCCAGAGATGATGGAAGCTACTGTGCAGCAACATCTGGAGGGCCAGAGGTTCCCTGCATTAGGGGATGTCTGACCTGAATGCAGAAGACCACTGCTTGGGGTGAGGGAATGTGGGAATATGGACCCAAAAAGACAGCACAGGAGCTGCTGCTCTGTTTGCTTTTCAAAATTAAAACGGGCAACGTCCATCCCGCCGGCTCACTGCTTCCCAACCTGACCCTCGCACCGCCCTCATTCCTCACAGCCCGTGTGAACCCCCCTCCTCTCGTACACGCACACGGAGGGAGCGAAGAGCCCCCAGGCGGCAGCTCCCGTCCTCTCCACTCGTCCCCCCGCCTGGGCTGCTCTGCCCATCCACTCCCGCCAGTTGGACAGCATGTCTACTTCACCACGAGCAACGCTCACCTCCAGCCGCAAATATCAACCGGAAGCACGAGGAACAGGCGCTTCCGCAGCGCGCCTTTCAGGGAAACCATAGAGACTTCCTGGCATGTATAATGCCTTTCTAGGCGGCCTGTTTTTCCTTTTCCCCAGCGAGGGACCACGGCCCGTGTTGCCATAGAGTTCAGGAGGGGGTGATGGACGTTGGGAAGGAGGCGGGATTTCCTCAGTTGCGCTGTCAAGGGATGAGAAGCGGCTACGTCATCGCCCACCGCGAAGCCCCATGCCTGCATTATTTACCTTGTGTATTATTTAGTGCGTTTCTTGTCTGCCTTTGTCTGCAAACGCAGGCCGAAGGGGAGAGGGGTTGTAAATAAAAATGCATGGAGGATTGCAAAGCAACACAAAGACGCAGCAGTTCACAGGAGGGCTTTTCCCTCCACTTCTTATGTGTTTATTTTTATGAAATCCAGCAAAAGCTGAAAGGTGCAACACACACACACACACACACACACACACACACACACACACACACACACACTATTTCATAATTCATTACAGCAACGAATTATAAGCTGAATTAAATATGCTGCCTTTCAAACATTTGTTTAATAACTGATCAAAAGGAGAGGGGAAACAGTTTGATTTGCATATTTAAATACTCCGTGGGTGGTACTCAGTTTTACTTAGAGTAGACCCACCGAACTTGCTGTTGTTTACCTAGCTGGAAAATAATAATACTGTAGACTCTTGGGCAGTTGTGAGTACAAATGGATTTTCAACAGATTACTTTCTAAAAAGGAATTGCATGTTTATTTCTATCTTTTCATATTCCAGGAGCTTTAAAGGCTGTGATTGTATGAATATTTGATTATGGCCCTTTAGATTTAGTAGTCTTACTTCTGAGTAAATATGCACAGGCTTGTGCTGTGTGCTGCCTACTACATTGAACAACAAGACTTCTCAGAAAGCAAACATTTATAATAGGTTATATAACATGTAACAGTTAGATGTGCTTTTGTTTGTTTTTTGTTTGGTCAGCTCCTGAAGCAAGCTTTTAATATCTGACCTGGACAATTAAGGAATCAGTCACATAGTTTCACTGATCTTATATGCAGGCTTAAAGAAAAAGCTATATTCATAAGCTGACACCTTTGGAAACATAACCATCCTAAACCTTTCAGTTTCTTTTATCAAGTGCAAGTAGATGTTCTTACTCTCCTACAGATTTCTGGAAGCATGCCCAAAATTCATGATTGCCTAACAAAAAATCCCTGGGGGCATCTGTGTGACAGTCCCCTGAAAAAGGACAGAAGGAGTGTGGCAGGTATTAAGTCACTGAAGGCACGACAAGAAAATGCTCAGATACTTGGTGATACTGGCCCAAAAAGGACCAAGCCAGTACAGTCAGAAAAGGTTATTTGTTTATCAGCCTTTTATGTACAGTATTCTGTCCTGATGGTGTTAGAAGGAAGAAAAAGATCAGCAGTCATATTAAAGTAGAAACAGAATATATGACTTTGAAGAAAAACAGGAAAATCTATATTCCGACTCTAATGTACCACCTATACCTCAAAGTTCTGGTTGGACACTGCCATCTCAGGCCTAGGGCAAACCTAATGACTTGTCTGCATGAAAAACGAATCCAGGGCTTTGAAATCTGAAAATATGAGTTATAATGTCTGGGGAAATGCTATTAATTTTGAGACTTTAAAACTTTACCCTGGACTCCTGGCTCTGATGTAGCTTATGCCCTGCTGCTTAGCTGAGCTGGAGCCCTCTGCAGAGTCATCCTTTTATGAAGAGCCCTCGCTGTGCTTTTCTGAACCTGTAACGAGACAGCCTAGAGAGGACAGACTGTCTGCACAATTACTTTCTGAGGCTAGATGCTTCTCCGCATTCCGAGTTTGCTGTCGGTCAGTGCTAGATGAAATTTGATTTGGCTTGTGGCTGATTTATTTCTGCAATGGGAAATGAGGTGGGCACAGACAGAAGCTGTCTCGATGCCCAGTTCTCGATGCACTGCCCTGAAATGGGAAAATGACCCCTGTAAAACAGAAAATGACACAAAAACAGTCTGGGGACAAAAATGATGTGTTAGTTCCATATTTAACCACCAAGGTTGTTATGTGTGGACTCAGCTAGATTGCTCCTGCGTCTTGCTGTTCATATTCTGGCTGAAACAAAAAATGTCATACCAACAAGATGATTTGGGATGGAGCCATTGCTCCGTGGTACAGCACTTCCTTTACACACAAAACGTCCCAGGTTCAGTCCCTGGATCCTGTTAAAAGGCTCTGTAGTAGCAGATGGTGTAGCAGCCAATCCTAGTAGACTATACAGAAGTAGGTGGCAAATAGTCTGACTTGGTACAAGGCAGTTCACCTTGTTTATATGGGTTGCAGCTAGAGTCTAGCTTTGTTGCTTTGTGTGTAACTGAAGCTCACAGGGTGACCTTGGGCCAGTCACCATCTCTTAGCCTAACCTACCTCACAGGGTGAGGATGAAATGGGGAGAAGGAGAACCATGTACACCACCTTGAGCAACTTGGAAGAAAAAAGGTGGTATATAAAAGTACAGTGGTACCTTGGGTTAAGTACTTAATTCATTCCGGAGGTCTGTTCTTAACCTGAAACACCGTTTTAGCTAATGGGGCCTCCTGCTGCCGCCGTGCCACCGGAGCATGATTTCTGTTCTCATCCTGAAGCAAAGTTCTTAACCCGAGGTGCTATTTCTGGGTTAGCGGAGTCTGTAACCTGAAGCGTATGTAACCCGAGGTACCACTGTAATAAGTTAGAAAAAATTAAATAAATAAAACAAATATTTGTTTCCTTTGCACCCACATGTGTACATATACACTGTATGTAATCTGCTAGCAGAGGATATAATTTCATGCATTTGATGAAGTGGATCTAGGTTCCTGAAACCTTATGCCATAATATACTTGCTAGTGTTTTAGATGCTACATGACTCATTTCTTTTTTGCCTTTCTCTTTTGCATTGAAAGTATTTATGTGCAGCGCACTCTGTGACCACACAAGCCTGGCAAAAACTCTGTTGACAAGGTTTGAAGAAAATAAAGCACTGTGGTAATGCAACAAGACAGCCATTTTTGTTACAGGATAAGCTAATATTCATTTCTAATTCAGTAGCAGTTTCGAGAATCAGATGCATAAGTGATGCAAACCTTAGAGACCATACAATGCAAGACAAACCTGAAATACATTGTAGTCCTTAGATTTCCACCCACCCCTTGACATTCAACACAATACATGGTGCCTCAATGCCAAAGAAGGAAACGATGTTATCCCAGGGTTCATATTTATCTCATAATAAGTATACCATTGCCAAAGACCTGAACACTATGTATTCAGAAAAAGACCTGGACTGTACTTGGTTGCTCACCTGAGGACATATTTATACCATTGGCTTAACTGACTTAAACAAGACAGCCATTAATAGTGAAAGTGGTGTGGAACTCTGATGACATTCTTTGCATTTATGGGCTGAATTCACACTTGCTTTCAAATGATTTCTGGCCATTTTCAGATGACACAGTTGTAACATGGAAGCCTGCTCCACTGAGCTGGGAAATCTAGATTGGGCAAATTGCAGTCATTTATTTCCATTCATGGCTTGCAGTGAGATTTGAGCGCAGACAGCTGCCAAGCTTTTAGGTGAATTGTATGAAGTGTGTCACTAGAGCTATTTTCATCAAGGCTGAATTTTGACACCCAAGTGACAAATTGGCTCGGTTTTCTTTCCAGCTCCTTGGAATCTTGTCTGCTTGTGGGCCAAAGCAGTGCAAGCGGTGATGTTTCTTGAGGCATTTTTCAACAATTTGGCAGGAGTCAACTCTTTGCTACATGGTTATATTTAGCCATGCAGCAGTTTGCTTCTTTTTATGTTTGGAAACAAATTTGAACCCACCCTTGTGTAGCCTTGTTATGCAAGCAGTGAATAAAGCAACTTCTGCCATGAGCCAACAATGTCTCCTGCCTTGATGGGACGCTCCTTCTCGATCACTTTGGTTACTCTCCATTTACAGTACTTAGGAAAACGAACAGGCATGGTGGAAAAGGGAGGAGGCCTAACATAGATCACACAGCAAATCAGTCAGACAGAACATGAACAACTTTTCTAACCACTGGGTCATTTTACCACTAGGGTGGTAACTTGGATAAATCAGCAGTGGGAAGCCACAAGGCGTCAGAAAGACCAGTAAAAAGAACATGATTGGGGGGAAGATGGTCAGGACCACATCTGTGTGTCCACCGTCTGTCTTATACGATTCTCTTGTGCCTTTATTAGCTATTGGATATACAGCACTGGTCACAAGTGAGTCTTCTTCTGCCCTGACAGATTTCCCAGACATATCCTACACTCACAAACACAGTTTGTGCAACCAGGATAAAACAAAAAGCTTCATAATACACTACCAAATCTGCCAGTCCTATTGCAGGTTACAAAGGGCCAAGTGATATTTAAATGTAGGACTGTCTACTCTTTGAAGCCCGGTCCAATTCTTCCTTCTCACTATACACACACCCCTTCCTGCTCCTCTTACAATCCTGGTTTAGGGACCCATTCAGTCTCTATTTGGCCACAAGAGGTCAGAGCTGCTTCAGAAATGAAAAGATGCTGTGGGAAGAGTGTCTACTTGAGTGGATTGAGTGGGTGTTGTGATGAAGAGGTTAATCCCATAGTTTTCACCAGGTTTTCACTGTCACCCTAGGAAGACATTTTAAAACAGGCTTAGAAAGGATAAAGTCCTTGGCAAACAAGGCGTTCGAACCATGGGTTTCTCCCAACCGAGAACTACCACAGTTTAGTTCCCCTAGCAATGTTTATAGGAAACATGCTCTGTCAGGCTGTGAAAGATGCAAAAAAGGACAGTGACAATATTTGTGTAGCTTGTGTTGCCAGCGAAACATTATTTAGGTCTCTGTCATTGAGGAAGATCTTTCCCAGAGGAAGCTGGACTGACACAGACTGGGATTCTATTCCTAGGGTCTGCTCAGGTCAGAATATTAACATGCTTTGGGGTCTTGTCCCTAGGCTATTAGTACATTTTCTATATGGTAAAGTACTAGCCATATAATCTGTCCCTTTATGGAAATAAGGTTGCAACCCTAAATAAATTTGCTAGTCATTAAATTCTGTTTAATTCAATGGCATTTCTGACCAGCTTTTTTGGGGGGGGGGGTAGGTTCAGACCACAAGGCTTGCTTGCCCTTACTTCTCAGAAGAGTGGGTGCTTCCAACATCCCACATGCTACACAGCCATTTCAGCAGATGGCTGCTTTGCTCTCATATCACAGCAAAATACTGTTGTCTTGTGCCCAGCCAGCTTAGGACCTATACAAGTCTCACCCCATCTCAAGGATGGAAATGTGCTTTTATGAAGCTGCTATATCTCAGCTTGCCTCCAAACATTCTGCTCCTGTAGAATTTCCTCACCTTCCCAGGATAGAGACAGTCCTAGGGCCTTGCTGTGGGAACAATATAATAAAGTGTCAGAGAGTGGGAAAATGAGGCATAAAGAAGCACCCTGTTCCAGCCTTCCAGGCCCAGATATGAAAACAGAACCTAGATTTCTGTTCTTATTTACCGTATTTTTCGCTCTATAAGATGCACCAGACCACAAGACGCACCTAGTTTTTGGAGGAGGAAAACAAGAAAAAAAATATTCTGAATCTTAGAAGCCAGAACAGCAAGAGGGATCGCTACGCAGTGAAAGCAGCAATCCCTCTTGCTGTTCTGGCTTCTGTGATAGCTGCGCAACCTGCATTCGCTCCATAAGACGCACACACATTTCCCCTTACTTTTTAGGAGGGAAAAAGTGAGTCTTGTGGAGCAAAAAGTATGGTATTTAGGTTTTGACAGCATGGGTACAAATTTCAATCCCATTTTCAGCCAATGCATTGCAACTTTTTTTTTAAAAGGAATTAGAAAATTAGAAATTTATTTATTTGGTTTTTCAGATTAAAATTTTATAGTCACATATCCAACATACAACATAAAAACAAGATTCCAAGAAATCTCTTGGACTTCCTACTGTTAATCATTTGTTCCTGCATCTTTTATAATAATCCAAATCTTTTATCACTCCATTGTATCCAAAATTCACCATTAAACTATACCATTAATCCTACTAATGATTTTAACTGTTTACAATCGTCTTTAAGATAAGTTATAAATTTTTCCCATTCCTTATTAAAAATGTTGGTCTTCCTGATTCTCATTTGTTTCATGTGTGCTCTCTTCAAAGTATTGTTTCCTTCTGGACTTCCGGGGGAGGCGCCTCCGATAATGGCAGAATTCCTCTGACCGGGAGGAATCTGCTCCGTGGAAATCTGGGTCTGGCCGCCATGGCGAAGGCGGAGACCCATTAAAATCACAGGCGGGAGAAGCCTGTGAACGTGGGATTCGGCGAGCACCTTTTGCGCCTCCCCCACTCGCGGGGAACCCCGGTTTTTGGGGCACCGGAGCGACGTGGGGTGAGCGGCGCGGTGCATCGAATCGTCTGCTTCTTCCACGGAGTGAAGCCGCATAGCTGTTGCCGGAGAGCGCTGACCTTTTCCTGTGGACAATTTAACTTTAAAGTAATTACCCGTGAGTAGAGCTGAAACGGAAGAATTGGATTTCTAAAAGTTTAATTTGGTATCATAACGGGGAAGTTCAAAACAGGAAGTCCGCCTTCCCTTTTTGTAAATAGACTGCGGCAACAAAGTTGCAATCTGGAGTCCTGGAAGGTCTTTTGTGGAAGATCGGATTTCCGACGGTGAAGAACGTTGGACCCCCTCTTGGAGGCGGGAGAGGGGGGGAGGTTGCGGGTTGGGTGTGCCTGCGGGAGAGAGCGAGGAGGCTTGGAACGCCACCGCTCTGGCCCTGGAGGTGGGCTGCTGGTGGGACTGACGGGTTTTTTTGGAGTGTTTGTTGACGGCGCTTGGAGCATTCGTTGACGACTGGCTGAATAGGAGAGGTGCGTTGTTTCTGCTGTTTCCGGCTGCTTTGGAGGGGAGTGGAGGTGGCTGGGGATTGAAACTGGTTTGAAACTAACTTTGGATTGTTTAGAGGAGGATGCTATCGACTTTTACGGGTGGAGGCTGTTTCCCCCTAGTGGAAGCCTTTGAAACTGGTTGATTTACAAGGGTTGGACTGGGGGAATTTCCAGCTGCGGGTTGGAGGCCGTGGGACTCTGGGACTGACCTTGAATCTTTCAAATGTTATGGTGAGTGGAGGGGGAGGAACAGACCAGTCAACTGTTGATAGGGCATTGGGGTCTGGGAGGACTTGGTAACAATCCAGGAGGGGTCTATTATTAAGCCCTCCTGTTCTTTTTGATGCTGTCTCTGTACTAGTATATTTGAAACTAGGAGGAGTGTCGACAGGGGAGGCTTTGGTGGCGGCATTATATAAGATAGATGACTCGTTGGATCAGCTTCACAGGAAGGTGGACATGGTGGATGCGAAGGTGGATGTTTCAATTGTTGAGGTTGACTTGAATACAGGGAGTGTGGACAATGCCAGTGCAGAGGCCACCCAGAGGTTGATGCGGGAACCTATTTTGATATGGCAGGCTGTGGGGGAGGTTAGGGAGAGAGCTGTTGCTGTTGAAGGTACAGAAACACAAATGGAGAGAAAGAGAAAGAGAGCCCCAGCCCTACAGAGGCAATTTGATGAACATAAGTTGACGCTTGCTATGACTGAATTTAAGGAAAAACAGACAAATTTGAGGATTAGAGTTCACCTTTGGTGGACATGCCCAAGGATTAAGACACTCTGGGAGATGATTCATAACGAAATGAAAAAGGTATTTAAATATACCCTTTTGAAGAAACCAGAGGCCTTTCTCCTCGGCATGGTCGGCCAATTGGTGTTAAAGAAGGATAGAATTTGTTTCATGTATGCAACAATAGCAGCAAGAATACTTATTGTGAAGTACTGGAAGACACAAGATTTATCTATCCGGGAAGAATGGCAGATGAAGTTGATGGACTATATGGAATTGGCGGAAACGACTGGCAGAAATCCGAGACCAGGGAGAAGAGTCGGTGGAAGAAAATTGGAAAAAGTTTAAGACTATGTATAGAAATATTGTAAAAATAATGAATGTTAGAAAAATGTTGGAATGAAGTTATATGGCTTTAGTAGAAATGTTATAAGGAATTAAGTATAAATAGAAATAGAGTATTAAAGGGAAAAATAAGATTAGAATATGTTAAGATAATTATAGGATAGAAAACAGAGGAAGATGGAAAGGAATTGCTGAAATAATTAATAGAAGTGGAATACAGAAAGGGAGGCGTGAGGAGGTCGTGGAAATAAGGGAATGAAAGTTAAGATATTGAAATTGTTTTTTTGTTTTAAATGGTTTGCGCCTTGTTTTGTTAATCTTATGTTTTTTCTCTCTTTTTTTCTTTGCTTTTTCTTTTTCTTTTTTTTCTGCTTTATTGTGTTCAAATGGTTGGAAAATCAATAAATATTATTTTATAAAAAACAAACAAACAACAAAGTATTGTTTCCTTCTTTTCTGCTGGCTCCATTTCTTTTCATCTGAGTGGTCTCTGAATCCCTCTCTTCCGCCTTTCATCTAAATGCCTCATGCTTCATAAAGAGTAGCCCTGTTGCTAAGAGCTCCAGGACTTTTGCCACTAATGAAATACATCTCATTCCCAATGTACCTCTACGTGGGCAATGCCTCAAGGCATCGGGTCTCTAGCGGACATTTTGCTAGACAGCACTCTCCCCTATAGGGGAGAAAAATGTTTCCTGTGGTTCTCTTCACCAAGACCGGAGTTGCTCAGAGGCTGCTGGGAGAACTGATTTCTCTTCACCTTGCCCTGGCTCCATCTGCCCCTTCTGAGAAGTGGGAGCTGTGATTGAAAGAAGCACCTGTTGGCCTCCTGATAAAAATAGGAGCATCCAGTTACCCATCACAGTAGGGAGGGTGGGTGTATCAACAGAGTAGTAAACAATGAGAAAAAGCACAGCATGCACAGTGGAGGGGGGAAGAGAGGCTGAGAGAAGGCCAGGAGGAGGAAGCAGGAGAAGGAGAGAGCAAGGGAGAGACTGAGCAGAAGACCAGCCGCTTGGTAGGTGCAACCTCATTTCCAAAGCCCCCTCTTTCCCCCGCAGCCCACTGTACTCGAAAAGAACTGTTTGTGTGCATGGGTCTAGATAAGTGTTCATTCTGCCAACATGCCGGGATGGCCAAATGGTGGCTCTGGAGCCATATTCAGGTCCCAAGTACAGCTCCTGGACACTCAAGAGAGAAAGATAGAGGTGGAAGGAAAGTCCGCCCTGTGCATTGTTCTCCTGTTCATTCAGGGCCCAAGGAGCAGAAACAGCCACAAAAAGTGAGGCAAAGTAGGGCTACAGATGAGGCTGTGTGGGACTACTTAGCATCTCTGCAATATGGGCCCTTCTTCAGGTGTGGAAGGGGCCTTTTCAGCGGTGACTCCCTCACTGGAATAGACTCCCCAAAAGAGGCTTACCTGGTGTCTATGCTGATTCTATTTGGTTGCCAAAGACCTTTCTATGTCCGTAGGCTTTTTAATATAACCTATTTTTACCTCTACTTCTTTATTTATTTAACGTCTACGCCACCTGCTTCTTCCAAGGAGCTCAAGGGGGTGTACATGGTTCTCCCCACACTCCATTTCACCCTCACAACAACCCTGGGAGGCAGGTTAGGTTAAGAGATGGTGACGGGCTGAGTGGCGATTTGAACCCTGGTCTCCCAGTTCACAGTCCCACAATCTGAACATTACGACACTTCTACAGATTGCTTTTATGATGCTCTTTTAAACCCTGTTGTCTTCAGTGCTTTGTCTTAAATTGGGAGTCAATGAAAGACTGGGTAGGTTTCCCTAAATTATGAATATTAGAGTTGTCTCATATTTTATGGGCAAAGGTTCTGTTTCTTCACCTTCTGAATTTTTGCCTGTCACAGTTGAAAGTGGTTTCTGGTGGAAAGATGCAGTGATGTGCAATACTGTACCTGCTGAATTTCTGGCTGTTGCACAGTGGGTTCAAGCAGGGGTAGCCAATATGGGGCCTGTCAGTCATTGTTGCCCCCCCCCCAACTCCCATCATCCTTGACCATTGGCAGTGTTGGCTGAGGCTGGGGGGAGCTGGCTCTCAGGAGAGGGCTTTTGGTGAGTGGCTCTGGTTTAAACATATTGGCCACAGTGCCCTAAACCATTATTTGATTCCAAATGCACATATGCTGGCAAGCCAAGAAAATTCCATTATCATTATTTGTATGTATTGGGAAGTAAGGTACTTGGAGACAGCCTGCTTCCAGACAGAGGCTTAATTTGCAAACGAGACACTGAGATACTGCAAATGGGATATTGGCAACAGAGCTGGGGTTTCGGGTTGTTGGGTTTTTATTTATTTATTTACCAGCTTTTCCCTGGGAGAGGTAACTTCAGATGAAATGGGAGATATAGGCTGGCGTTTTAATGGCAACAAACTGCCTGCTAAGACCTTGTATGCGTGAAGAACAGTGATCCCACAATAAACCCTGTTTGGAAACACCCTCCCACTGTATTCAATGGGGCTTACCCTCAGGAAAGTGCGTATAATTCAGCCTTCATGATCTGCCTCCAACTATCTGGTAGTACAAGGAGCTAAGTTTGAATAAATCTCAATGGGCCAACTAGTTTTCTTATGCCTCCAATAATCCATTTCAAAATCTTGGAAGACGTACAATCACCCACCACCTTTGTGCACCTATATTCTCAGGGGAAAGATGAGCAGAGATGCCAAAGCTCCTTGGGCTCAATCTGGTTATGAACATAAGAAGAGCCCTGGTGGATCAGGCCCATGGCCCAACTAGTCCAGCATCCTGTCCTCACAGTGGCCAACCAGATGCCTGTGGGGAGCCTACAAGCAGGATATAAGCATAACAGCACTGTCCCGTCCCCCCTGCCATGGTTTCCAGCCACTGGTACCCAGAATGATGCTGCCTATGATTGCAGAGGCAGACCGTGAATGAGGCAAAACCAAAGAGGCTTCCTTTTATGGCCAATGGCCAAAAGCCATGTCAAACTTTGCTCCCTTGCTTCCTGAGCATCCAGGGCAGTCTGTGAATTGGGGAATGCCTGTTGCTCAGTGGTAGGTCAAATGTATTATGTGTGAAAAGTCCCAGGTTTAACTCCCAGAATCTCCTGGTTAGGCTGCCCAGGCGAAAAAGAGGGAATTCAGCAGGTACAGTTACAGAAATTTCCTCTTTCACACTACTATTCCCCTGGCTTCTTTTTCATCTAGTCACTCGACTCCAGGAAGAGCTGGAAAAGACCTCTATCTAAAACCTTGGAAGACCATTGGTTTGACTGGTGTAAGGGATCTTCCTTTATTTCTAATGAGCAGTTTAATTTGATGGAAGGAGTTTTAGGAGGGTCTCTGTGAAGACTGGTTTATTTTCAGCTTTACAGATTGGGAAAACAGCTGAGGCAAAATTCAAGGCAAAATTGATGCAGAGCCCCATAATTCCTGAGCTCTCCCCATTATCCACTAGTCAGCTCAAACAACAGCTAACAATTCTATTTCCTTCAATTCTAGGAAAACCTTTGTATGCATTGTGACCGGTCAGCCATACTAGTTTGAAGGGTTCCTTTCTTCAGTGAACCCAAAGTTGCTCCCATCACTCAGTCATGCCACCACTGAGCACCCCTGAGTGGAAAAGAATGCTTGTATAGTATTCGCAGCCGGTCTAGTTCAGCAGATTTCCATGTCTGAAGAACACCAAACAATTTCAGACAAAGCAAGGATAGAAAGTGGCCATCACTGTCTATTGTGTGATGCCCATAGTTTTAACAATGAACTGTGGGAAGATGTACTTTCTTTGTCTTTCCTGAATCTCACAACATCCAGGTGCTAGTGTTATGAGAGAGAAAAACGTTTCTCTGTCCACTTTCTTGCACTGTGCATAATTTTGCACACCTCTATCATGTTACTCGCCTTTTCTGTAAGCCCCAAAGCCCCAAATGTTGTCAGCTTTCTTCATGGAGGAGTTGTTCCATCCCCTTAGGCGTTTTGCTGGGATCCTGCACAAGGTCCCAGGTTCAATCCCTGGCATCACCTGGCAGGACTGGCAGATCCCAGTCTGAAATCCCGAAGAGTCACTTACAGTCAGTGTCAACAACACTAAGCTAGGTTGGCCAATGGTCTGATTCAGTATAAGGCAGCTTCCTAAGCTGCCATAGTGTGAGAATTTAGGGTGCCAATGAATTGTGTAGGTGCCTGTGGGAAATCTAAGAATGGAATAGCAACCGGTGGGTGAAGATAAGATTGAGGGACATTTGTAGGGACATGAGATCACAGCAGGGGCTGACCAGGAAGGGCTGGAGGGGTGCAGGCGATTGCTTCTGCATAACTGCTCAGATGTCTTGATACTGAAGCTGCCAATACAGCTTTATTGGGTAAATTGCACAGTCTTAGCTGGCAGCAGAGCTGCCTTTCCCCTCTGGTCCTCGTTTCCTGTATAAGAGCTTCCTTCTCTGAAGGTGTCAGAAGGCTTCCTAGAGTCTCTCTCTGCACAGGGCTCTGACAGGCCTTACTGTGCTAACAGCACTGCAGAAGCGTTAAGAACTGGGGTCTGTGTTCAAACCCTTTAAGTGTGGGCTGCACTGACAACGGAGCAGCGTTAATGACAAGAGTGTTTATTTGAGGAGTGATGAAAACAAATTGTCAGTAAGCTGAAGTCTGGGGTGAATGTGATTCAACCCAGCAATCTAAATGCATTCCCAGCCACCTAAGGTAATTCCATCCATACTCACACACACACTTAATGTCAATATTCCCACCCATACCCCAACTGCCATTTAGTGCTCCCTTCAGCTCCCTGCTCCCTTACCTTAACATCCATTACTTCAGTCGACCCCCCCTCCCCTCCCCTCCAAACACAAACCCCAAACATGGTTCCTTAACGGCACTGTAAGATGGCACAAGAGCTACAGAAGAGGGATAAGAATGTGTGGCCTCCTTAACTGAAAGAGCTCTTTCATTTTCAATGCAATCCTACAAACGAATAGTGCTTAGTGGTATAATGGTGTTGGACTAAGACCTGGGAGACCAGGGTTCAAATCCCCACTCGGCTGTGAAGCTCCCTGGGTGACCTTGGGCCAGTCACTCATTCAATCTCAGCCATACCTACTTCACAGGGTTGTTGCGAGGATAAAATGGGGAGGGGTATATGGACCACCTTGAGCTTCCTGGAGGAGAGATGGGATATGAATGTAATTGTCAGGGGTTCAGAGAGAGAGGCACAGGGTAGGCAGGAGATGGAGAGCGAAGGGGAGGAATTCCAAGCCAGCGAGGAAGAGGACGACAATGACTCAAGGGATTCCATGAGTCTTTCCAGCGAATCAGAGGATTCCCAGAAGGGGGCGCCGGTGGTCAGGGCCAGGGGAGCCCCAGGGGGGAAATGTCAGGAGCAGGGTGCCAGCGGAGGATCCCAAAGTGGCAGCTGGGCGTCAGGACCAGCCTCCCCACCAAAGTGCAGCGAAGGGGGTGGAGTTTCCAGTGTGTCAGAGGAAGGAGCTCCAGCAGCAGAGAGAGGAGGGGGGTCAGAGCAAGCAGCCCTCCCGGAAAGGGAGGGGAGCAGTGAAGGGAGCAGTGTAACTGTCAAAAGGAAAGTTAGAGGCTTGGCGCGCGCGCCTAGTTCAAATGTAGAGGCGCGCGGAAGTGCAGGGAGCCCGGAGGAGGGGCCAGGTCCCAAAGCCCGCAGGAGGGGGGAGCAGCAGTCTGATTCCGCGTCAGAGGAATCCAGAAAGGGGCAAACCCCAGGGGGCAGAAAGACCCTGCGGAAAAGGAAGGAGAGAAAGAGGTGGAGCAGCGCAAGTCTCTTAAATTGGTGCAGAGGAGGGACTGACTCAGACGGGACTTCGGCGGTCTAGCGTAAGAGACGTAAGGCTGCGCGCCTAAGATGTCAAGCAAACCATGAACTGCAATAAACACCTTTGTATTCAAGAAGACGTAGGCGTTGGTCTTTTGTGAGCTAAGACTTGAGGCAGCCTTGACAGTAAGTCCCGTCTCCGAAAGCAAAAAATTTTTTTTGCACAGCTCACGAAGTTTGGCAGCAATGACTACTGAGGAGCAGATAGCGTCCCTGCAAAACGCAGTCACCGAGCTCTCCACTGCCGTCGTGGTTTCTCAGAAGACAGTTGCAGAAGCAGAAGCGCGATGCCAGGATCTGCAAGCCAGGTGGGATCGGGCGTGCAGAGAGGGGTTCCCGGGTCCAGATCAGAGGGAATCGGACTGGGACGAAGGGGGGGCAATTTAGTAGCCCACTTCGATGGGAACCTGAAGCATTATCCCAATTTCAGAGCAGACGTCGTATATGCACTGCATTTACTTCGAAAGGACTTCAAGGATGAGGAGGAAAAAGTGGGGTTCATTGTGTCCCATTTGCATGGGGAAGCACGGAATTGGTTACGCAATTTATGGCGCGAAGATGGTCTTGCACGCAGGGACTCTGATGAATTTCTCAAAGCCATGGACGCTTGCTTCCAATCTACTGTTGACGTTGATGTGGCACGTCAGGAGATGCATGGATTGCGGCAGGGCAAGGCTACAGTGCGTCAGTACCATTCTCGCTTTTTTGCATTGCTGAATGTGCTGGGCTGGGAAAAGGACTCCCTGGCAGTAAGGGACTTGTTTTGGGAAGGGCTACACGGCTCAGTGAAAGATGAGCTGGCTAGGGAGACAGACCTCAAACCCTAGCAGACGTCGTGCAGAGGGCACTCACGATAGGGGTGCGCCAAGAAGACCGCCCTTGGCACAGGGAGGAGGGGCGTCACGTCCGCCCACCAGCTAGAGCGCCTCCTTTTCCTTCTAGGGACTTGGAACGTTCACGCCTTCGCCTGTCCTGGCAGAGGGGGAAGAACAGATGGAACTGGGTGGTGCAAAGGCTCAGACAGCTGCCGGAGCCTCAGCGTCAGGAGCAGTCAAAGCGAAGCCTCCTAGAGGGACCAGGAAGTGTTACATCTGTGACAGTGCACGGCACATGGCTAAAGAGTGTCCCCAGAGGCTCCAGAAGCACACTGCAGCCTTAGCAACAGTAACAGGGGAAGCTTTCCAAGGGGAGCAGTTTCAGGGAAACGAGAATGCCTGGTTGGAGGGAGAGACGCTGGGGCTCCACCAGGCACGTCAATGAAGCAGTCCCCAGCGCTTTTGCAGCCTACAGACCCCTTACCACCTAAGCCAGTGGTGCAGCTCACTGCTACTCTCCAGCTGCCTAATGGACTCACCCTGGAAGTCCCCATTACGATTGACTCAGGGAGCAACGCTGACTTCGTGGGGGTGCAGTTCGTCAAGCAGCATCGCATAGCGCTACTACCAGCCACGCTGCCTCTGAATGTGGTCACTGTAGATGGCAGGAAGTTGCTGGGTGGGCAAGTGGTACAACAGACGCCAGCCATGCTGCTGAAAATTGGGAATCATCGCGAGGTCATCAGTTTCAATGTCACCCAACTGTCAGACACGCCCATAGTGCTAGGCATGAGTTGGCTGGATAGACACAGTCCATCCTTGGCGTGGTACCAGCGGCAGCTCACCTTTGGCTCGTCCTACTGTGCACAACATTGCATCCAGATTGGTGAGGACGAGGAGGGCCGGGAGGAAGGGCAACAGCTGCATCTAGGCATGGTGCAGGCAGTGCCCCACAAATACAAGGGATTTTTGGAGGTCTTCTGCGAGAAGGAAGCTGACCAATTACCACCCCACAGGCCCTACGACTGTGCAATTGACCTCTTACCAGGGGCAACGCTACCGACTGCGAAGCTGTATTCCATGTCTGAAGATGAGATGCAGGAGCTCAGGGAGTTCATAGATCACAATTTGAAGCGGGATTCATCCGAGAATCCAAGGCAGTGGGGCGCAGACCTGTGTTTTTGTGAAGAAGAAGGACACGCCCCAAAAACGACTCATTGTGGACTATAGGGCCATAAACTCGATGACAAAACCCAAGGCTTTCCCCATGCCCAAGATTGACGACCTGCTCGCGACGGTGAGGAAGGGGAGGATCTTCACCAAGTTGGATCTACGCGGAGCCTACAATCTCATACGCATGAGGGAAGGTGACGAGTGGAAGACGGCCATGTTCACGCCGCTGGGCACCTATGAATACAGAGTTATGCCGTTTGGTCTCCAAGGTGGCTCCCACCATTTTCAAGCATTCATGCACCACGTGCTAGCAGGACTCCTCTACAAGAAGTGCGTATGCTTTCTCGACGATATTCTGATCTTCTCGGAATCGCAGGAGACTCACGAAACAGACGTAAAGGAGGTCCTGCAGAGGCTACGGGAGCACAGACTCTACGCCAAGCTGGAGAAGTGCCAGTTCGACGTGACGGAGGTGGATTTCCTGGGCTACCGGCTGTCCGACAAGGGCCTAGCCATGGACAGCGCCAAGGTCCGCGCGGTGTTGGACTGGAATAGCCCGCGCAATCGGAAGGAGGTCCAGAGGTTCGTCGGCTTCGCCAACTTTTACCGCAAGTTCATCAGGGGTTTCGCGAAAGAGACGGCAGCTATCACGGACACCCTCAGTTCCAAGAAGAAAAAGTTCACCTGGACGGACCAGGCGGAGCAGTCCTTCAGGAGGCTTAAGAGTCTCTTCGCGTCCGAAGACCAGCTGCTACACGTGAATCCTGGCAGGCCCATGCGGGTTGAGACTGACGCATCTGACAGAGCAGTGGGGGCCGTCCTCTTGCAGGAAGATTCGCAAGGGAACTGGAGGCCCTGCGCTTTCTACTCACGGAAGCTCAGCAAGTCGGAACAGAACTACACCATCTGGGACAGGCTGGCCATCCACGCGGCTTTCAAGGCGTGGCGGCACTTCCTCATCGGAGCCAAGCACACCGTGCAGGTCCGCACGGACCACAAGAACCTGGAGTATTGGCGCACGGCGAAGCTCCAGAGCCAGAGGCACATGAGATGGGCGGAGTTCTTTGCGGATTTCGATTTCCGGATAGAGTATATCCCGGGAGACAACAACATCATAGCGGATGCGCTCTCCAGAAAACCGCAGTATCTTGAGGAAGCGGCACCAGTGGCAGCCAGGCACATTTTTGCACCGCAAGCGTGGGCGTGCGCTTCTGCCGCCGTGGACCTGGACGCGGTACGACGCGCGCTACAGACGGACCCGTTTGCACAATCCAAGATGGAGGAGGTGCGAAGAGGGACAGCAAAGGACGGCGAATTCCAGATACGCGACGGCCTACTGACCCGCAAAGGTGCTCTCTATGTCCCAGGGGACGATCTCCGAGCGAAGGTTCTACAGCAGTTGCACGACGCCCCCAGCGCGGGTCACTTCGGCAAGGAGAAGACGGCGGACTTAGTAGCCAGGGACTTTTGGTGGCCCCAGATGCGGGGAGAAGTCGCGGATTACGTCGCCAGGTGTGACACTTGTCAGAGGTCCAAGCCAGTGCACAAGAAGCCAGCGGGATTGCTGGAACCGCTGGAGACGCCACTGCAGCCGTGGGAAAGGGTGGCGCTGGACTTTGTCACTGATCTGCCCAGTTCGCGGGGCAAGACGGCGGTGCTTGTGGTTGTAGATCTGTTCACCAAGATGGCGCATTTCATTCCTTGCGCGAAGGTGGCAACAGCGGAGCAGACCGCCAGGCTATTCATAGACCACGTGTTCCGGGTGCACGGCTTACCACGGTCCATTTTGTCCGACCGGGGTCGCCAATTCATTTCCAGTTTCTGGCAGAAGCTCCTGGGCATCCTGAATGTCAGGATCAACTTAGCGTCGGCGAGACACCCCCAAACCAACGGCCAAGCGGAGAGGGTCAACGCCATCATGCAGCAGTACCTGCGATGTTACGCCAATCAAAAGCCTGCAACTTGGGTGGACTACTTACCGATGGCCGAGTTTGCCTACAACAACACGAAGCACGCGTCAACGGGGTGACACCGTTCTTCGCCAACAATGGGCGACACCCCAGAACATTCCCGGCGTTGGAGACGACGACGCAGGGGGAGTCGCAGGGAGCGGAACATTTAGCAGCAGAATTGCAGGAGGTCCACGAGGAGCTACGACGGCATTTGGAACTAGCTAAACACGCCTACAAAGTGCAGGCAGACAGGCACAGGAGGGCAGGAGAAGACATCCAGGTGGGGGACTGGGTATGGTTAGCAGCCCAGGCGGTGCCGGCCAGGTCGTTAGCTAAGAAGAAGCTAGGACACAAACAGCTAGGGCCATACCAAGTTGAGGGCAGGGTCAATCCCGTAGCTTTCGGTTGACCCTCCCAGAGGATTCCCGAATGCACCCGGTCTTTCATAGGTCGGTGCTTACACCCTACAAGGCCCCACACAGATTTCAGGAGCCAGGGACGGCACCAGACCCGCGTAGGAAGTCACCAGGGGGAAGTCACCGAGGACCCCGACACTCAACGAGGTCACGGAAATTCTGGACTCGAGATGGGGGAGGAGGGAGTGGAATACCTCCTCGCCAAGGAAGGTACCCCGGCTAGCGCCAACAGTTGGGTGCCAGATTATGCTCTGGAGGAATCTTGGCTTAAGGACGAGTTCCATGCACTCTTCCCGCACAGGCCCATGCCAGAGGAGTATTTTGACGACTGGCTTTTTACCCCCACACTTTCAGGCAGCACCTTCAGGGGGTTCTCCTCCGCAGAGGAGACCACGCCGCAATCGAGCCCTCCAAGGGGATCGGGCTCGGGGGTGGACACGGACCGCTCTTATTGGTGGGACGATCAACCAGAAGTGGGGTGGCGAAGGGGGCCTTGGCAAGCAGCTTCGCCTGAAGTAACAGGGGGAGGGAAGGGTTTGGAGGTGTTGGGGGAGGACCCCGGTTTCGAGCACTCCTACACTGAACTGGAAGCAGAGGAGATCGACGTCGACGAACTGTATCCAGCATCTACCCCCGCTACAACGAGGCTCCCGGAACCTGCGCCCGAGCAGCGGGAGGGGGGGAAGGGGGGGCTTCGAGGGGGGGGATGGATGTCAGGGGTTCAGAGAGAGAGGCACAGGGTAGGCAGGAGATGGAGAGCGAAGGGGAGGAATTCCAAGCCAGCGAGGAAGAGGACGACAATGACTCAAGGGATTCCATGAGTCTTTCCAGCGAATCAGAGGATTCCCAGAAGGGGCGCCGGTGGTCAGGGCCAGGGAGCCCCAGGGGGGAAATGTCAGGAGCAGGGTGCCAGCGGAGGATCCCAAAGTGGCAGCTGGGCGTCAGGACCAGCCTCCCCACCAAAGTGCAGCGAAGGGGGTGGAGTTTCCAGTGTGTCAGAGGAAGGAGCTCCAGCAGCAGAGAGAGGAGGGGGGTCAGAGCAAGCAGCCCTCCCGGAAAGGGAGGGGAGCAGTGAAGGGAGCAGTGTAACTGTCAAAAGGAAAGTTAGAGGTTTGGCGCGCGCGCCTAGTTCAAATGTAGAGGCGCGCGGAAGTGCAGGGAGCCCGGAGGAGGGGCCAGGTCCCAAAGCCCGCAGGAGGGGGGGAGCAGCAGTCTGATTCCGCGTCAGAGGAATCCAGAAAGGGGCAAACCCCAGGGGGCAGAAAGACCCTGCGGAAAAGGAAGGAGAGAAAGAGGTGGAGCAGCGCAAGTCTCTTAAATTGGTGCAGAGGAGGGACTGACTCAGACGGGACTTCGGCGGTCTAGCGTAAGAGACGTAAGGCTGCGCGCCTAAGATGTCAAGCAAACCATGAACTGCAATAAACACCTTTGTATTCAAGAAGACGTAGGCGTTGGTCTTTTGTGAGCTAAGACTTGAGGCAGCCTTGACAGTAATGAATACATAATCCCAAGTCCCACAGAGTTCAATGGGACTTATTCCTGGGTAAGAACATGTAGGATCATTGCCTTAGGAAGACTGAGCAGCTCTTTGCTCAGATGTTCTGGGCATCCTGACCTCTTGACTGTATCTGAAAATGTCAGAGGGTTATTTTTAGCAGGTGACAGCGCAGCTCACCTGCCCCTTCTCCCTATAATTGCCTCTTGCACGTTACATCCCTGAATCACTGGCTGCTCCTGGCGTTTGTCAGCAGGTTTTATTTAAAGATGATTTACTAAGTGACAAGGAAGGAGTGGGTAGGGGCTTACCCCTGCCTCCTCGCCTTAAAGGATCTATGAAGTTCTGCTTCAGATAGGTGGCTGCTGTTTTGCAGGGCTGACCAAAGTGTGAGGTGGCTACTTGAGGCAGCTGATTTGGGTTGTTATTATGAATGGACAGCACATTTTTAGTTACTTAATTTATTGTAATATATTTTCTGCCTGGGAGGGGTGCTCAGAGGATTTGCTGCCCCACATGCTCAACAATAATAATAATAATATTTATTATTTATACCCCACCCATCTGGCTGAGTTTCCCCAGCCACTCAAAATAACTCATCCAGCTTTTAAGACTATTATGTACCTCGACTTGAGAAGAGGGCTCACCATTTGCTGCTCCACCTTGGGCAGCAACACATATTGGCCCAGTCCTGGTGCAAGGCTTGCCAGGGATTCTCGTGACTAATTTAGCCTTCTGCGTAGCTCTGCCTGTCTCCGTAGAAAAAAGCTGGATTAGGACACATGTTGGGCAGGATCTACGCCAAGCCATACTTTTGAGCCCACCGGATTCCTGAACTATAAGCTAGGCTGCTTCCTTTACTTAGACACAGGTTGATTCACATCAATGCAGTGCACCCTTCACTGGAATTTGTGAAGCAAGGAGCTTATCCAGACGCTATTCTAAAACACCCAAGTATCCTATATTACCTTCTGGCTGAAAATTATTGTCTACCACATTGTGGGGATGGCGCAGTCACACCATTTCCTTGAGCGACAGAGACATTTAAAGCAGCACCATGCGTGAAACAAGAATCTATGTTCACTGCCTCGAGTGTAATTACCTTCTCACATAGTTATATCACACACAGCAAGACCCCTGGCCTGGCTGGGCTCCTGCTGTGTAGCTTAATATTTCCATAGCTCTTAAAGACGATTTATAACATACACCCAGCAGAGGGCATCCCTTTTACTCTCCCCCCGCCCCTCGTGTACTGCTGGTGGAATTCTTGGTGAAACTTGAGAAGGAAGTATTTGTATTCCAAAAGGTGTAGTATAGCGGGGATGGGGGAATCCGTAGCTTTCCAGGTATTTGCTGGACTACAACTCCCATCATTCCTAGCCATTTGCTGTGCTGGCTAGGGCTGATGGGAATTGGAGTCCCATGGCAACTGGAGGGCTGCGCCTCTTCTATGGGCCACCTCACACATGTATGCTAAGGTTACCAGATTTTTTTCAATGAGTCCTGGGACACTTTTCAGTTTCAATGGATTTTGTATGGGGACTGATTTGTAAATTTGGGGACTGTCCCCGGGGACGTCTGGTAACTTTAATGTATGCTGATCACAGGATGACTGCCACAGACACGGATGACTTGCATGTGTGAATAGGCCACCATAGATAGATTTGTCACAATGCCTCAAAAATCCAGTGCTTTTCAATGGAGTGGCTCATGCAACTGCCGGTTATCAAGCGAAGAGAAGTCAAGTGTTAACTATGTACCTGGGGGATTGCGAAGGGCAGATCCTTGCTATGCATTTAAAGCATATTCAACACACATTTAAAGTGCATGACTCCCACCCACCCCCCAAGAATCCTGGGACCTGTAGAGAACTACCATTCCCAGCACCTTTAACAAACTACAGTTCCCAGGATTCTTTGGGGGAAGTCGTGCACTTTAAATGTGCTCCGGATATGCGTGAAATGTATACCGTGTGCCTGCCCTAATAGTTGCAACAGTTGGTATCAAAGAGTGACATATTTTAGCCCTCTGATTTTCACGTTTTGTCCCTTGCCCTGTGAATTTCCAGAACTGGAGCTGGAAGAGGCCACCAGCTTCATCGTCCACTAAAGCAGCCAGAGGAACTTGACACCATGGAGGCCGAAGGCACTAAGGAGCAGCAGGAGGAGAGCCAGCAAATCAATGGACTGGAGCACCAGAGCGAGTCAGGAAGTGCTCAGGTTGAGGTTCATGGAGAGAGTGAGGCTGGGAAAACAGAGGCTGCTGCTGGGAAGGAGACCAAGGATGACAATGAGCCTGCAGGAAAGGCTTTGGGGGCCGAGGAGATGCTGGGATCTGAGACCAAAGAGAAAGCAGAGGAAGCCGGAGAAACCAACCAGGCAGCCTCTGAGGATAGAGTGGCCGTGGGTGTATCTGGAGCAGAGCCCAAGGAAGAAGCTGAGGTTTCTGGAACACCAGAAGAACGGCAGGAAGAGAAAGGAGCAAAAGCTGATGCCTTGGAGAGAAACACCAGCACTTCCAGCACAGAGGTGGGAACAGAGTGCGTTTCACTCCCTGTCTTGTGCATCTCATTCCCCTGGCTGACTTGTCTTGCTCTCTTTTAGCTTATATGTTAGTTTCTTTCCTTTATAGCAGATGTTCCAGATGTTTTGGACTACAACTCCCAACAGCCCCAACCAGCACCCCGATTCTGTGTAGGTCTATTGCACCTCTTTGTCTTTAAGTTCCGTGAGACCTTTTGCATTTCCATTAACACATTATTCCCAATAGTTAGCTAGTAGCTTTATATGCTGCCTTGAACCCCATATTGGAACTCAAGGTGGTGTCCATGGGATTTCTGGCTGGTCCCCCACCCCGGCAGTGGCCAGACACAAAAGCAAAGCAGGCCATGCAACTGCCAGGGGGCTGGACCAGCCGTCTGAGCCAGAAAGAAAAACAGAAGACGAACGAGACTGATTTTAGGAGGAATTTATGCACGTTCAATTGTGTCAGCCACTCGTTTCTGTCTCCATGCGTAAGTGGCTCCTTTGCAAAGCTAAGGCACCAGGTTTCAAAATAGTTTCTGGGAAACACTGAGGATGCAGGAAAGAACATAGATATGCTCTGGGAATGGTAAACAAAGTGACAGGCAAATGTCTCACCCTACAATTCGTGGAGACTATCCACAGGGCTTGGCTTATTTATAAGGTTTTTGTTCTGTCTTATCGCATATGGCCCCAAGGCAGCTTACAATTGGTTGGTGGTGGTACTGGGTGATACCTGGTTTTCAGCATTGTAATATATCATCGACTAAACATCACAATATACTGATATATCACAATGTCTGAAATAAAGATGGAACTATGCAGAAGTGAATGGGGTAATGTCCTGGCAACTGCTCCTGCTTAGGAGTCTAAAACCGATATACTTTTACTTACTGTTAACATATTGTTACAACTGTTATTTTATAGTACAAAGCAACAGGGGCAACAGGAATCATGAGAGAAGTGATGATCGGCTTCTTGATTTTCCTCACATCATGATATTTTTTTACATAGCACGCAGACAATGTGATTCACTGTTTATCGCCATGTCAAATATAATGAAATTATGTCAGATATTATGAAACCATTTATCACAGTGTGGACTTCAAACCAATTGGGGACGATGTATTGATACATACACCCAGCCCTAGATGTTGGACTCCACTCCAGATCAATGTAGGGTTCACTCCTTATCCCACAAGACAGTGGAGCTTACAATAACGGCACTGAAAATGTGTTTTGGCCTGTCCCTTCTCTCTTATTCATGTAGGGCCGAACTGGCAGCACTTCGGATGAGCCTCTCTCACCAGAACCAGAGGAGGAAGAAGAATTCTGGCCAGAATTCTCTCCAAGTTCTCCTGAAGAGAGCCCACAAAGCCCCACAGAGCTTAAAAATGTGGAGACGGGTAAGGAAAATATGATTCAGCAGCGCACTGAAAATTTAAAGCAGAGGTAGGGAACCTGCAACCTATGGGCCAATCTTGATCTGCCTGGCTGTTATCACCAGGCCAAGCCCACCCATTGGCTGACATAACCAGTGACATCAGCCAATGGGCAGGAGGACAGGGTTTAATTCTGCCTAGGTTGTGCTGCCCTATTCCCAGCAGGATCACACAGTCTAGGCAGCAGGATTTAATATTCTCTCATGAGCTGATGAGCAGAGATTAAAACCCTTTCCCTCTTCTTTTAATTGGGCATGGGAGGTGAGCCACAGCTGCCACACCCACTTATTCAAGGTCACAGTTCTCCACTGCTGCCATCCACCTGTTCGAAGCAGCGCTGTTTGAAGCAGCCTCTGTCTCCTTTAAAGGATCAAAAGATACTTAGCAAAGCCACGGAGCGGATTTTGACAGGTGGTCTGCCCTGCCTGCCTGTCAATTATATACTATCACAGTGACATCACAGGATTGACAGATGTGTGGCCCCCACTCAGTTCTCAGATTGGGCCTGCAAGGCTGATCCTGAGAAGAATCTGTCCCATGGAGCCAAAAAAATAAAAAAAAGGTTCCGCATTTAATAAGAAGTACGGAATACACTTGAGATTAAAGCTTTAGGTGGCACCCTTGATTTATTGATTGAAAAGGTACCTTACATGGAATGTGGCAACAGACACAGAATCCTGAGAAACTCAGTTTTATTTTATTTAAAGCATGTTTCTAGCCCTCATCATTCTGAAGGCATAACTGAAAGCAAGCAGTAGCTTCACTTCCTACATACAGGGATTTCCTGCATGACTGCATGGGACCCCTCACAGTCTGCAGTCACATTTCACAAGTTGGTAATGGGTGCAAAAGCAATGCTGAGAACAGTGATGGAGAAGTGTTGGGTGTCTGTGTGTTGTTCCCCCTCTCCTCATGTCATTTCTCACATCATTTCAACACAAGTGTGATTTTTTTAAAGGTATAACTTTCTGTAATTCCATCTAGGAAGCACTCCTTCAGGCCCAACTGCCCCTGAAGCTGCCCCGGGGAACAGCACCAGGTGAGACAGAGTCTCTGAGAGCAACCCTGGCCTAGTAGGGCTGTGTTGTGTGACCCCTTGCTACCACGGGGCAACGTACACAGAAAGCACAGCTCAGCAATGGTGGTGATGACAAAGATTCTGAACAATAACTGTTGCCTCGTGGAGGAGTGCTGCTAGGTACTTAACGGGCTCCAGGCAGTCACAGGCCCACAACACACAAATGCAACACAACACATGAAATGCATAGTGTGCCTCTGGGCATATTAAGATGCCAGGTTGCTGAGGTCTCACCAGCACTGCATTTTGCAATGCACCCAGACACCTCGTAAGCAAAGATAGATATATGGTTGGGGAAAGGGGCAAGAGATTTGGGGTGTGAGGGGAGAAGAGCACCACCACAGCCCTGTGTCTTGGACCTGGGCACTGGAACTTCAAACATTGTCTCGCAAAGAGCACCAGGTTGAGATTTTAAGGCAGCAAAAATTATACTGAGCAATGATGGGGAACTTGCAGACCTCCAGATGTTGGACTTCCTTCAGCCCTGACCATTGGCCATGCTGGCTGGGGCTGATGGGGGTCCAACCACATCTGGAGCACCCTAGGTCTCCCGCTCTTGCCATGGAGGACCACTACCATTATAATATTTCCCCCTTCCCTCAGAGTGGCACTCGTCAGGACTGATGGAGATGCTTTTCCATGAGTGGTGAGGGGAAGGGCCTTCTCCTGGCCGCCATCTTGGCTTCTCCTCCTCCTCCTCCTATTTTGAGAAGTTCTGGACTGAGAGGTGATCACAGGTCTACCTACTGCCATGCCCTCATCCAATACCACTCATCCTTCTTGGGTTTGCTTGTTTGTTTACTTGCTTTTGGTTCTCAGCACTGAAGCAGTCCCAAAGGGGGATGAAAAGCAACTGCCAGCTGCTGAGGGAGCAGCCGCTGCCCAGGAGGAGAAGAAGAAGAGACCCACTTTTGACAGAAGAGAGATGACAAGGCCTCGTATGCCACCCAGAGCTCAGTCCCGCAAGGCCATCATGGATAAGTTTGGAGGGTAAGCCTGGGACTGCACCACTGGGTGCCTCCATTGCAATCCTTCACTGATTTTCTCTTTCTCTCTCTTTCTTCATTGCCCCACAGCCTTTGTACTTCCTGCGTAGTGCATGCATGCTTCCTTCTGCCACAACTCCTAGATAGTGCAATGCATTTTAGGAGCAGACACAAAGCCTAAACCCACAAATGTTGACTAGGTTCAAGGGAACTTGCTCTCAGTTCAGGTACACAGGGGGCCAGCTTCAGTTGTTTTACACTTTTCATCAAACAGTACCACATTGTATTATTTTATAATCTCTCTGTTCATTTACCACCTGTCCCGTAAACATTTCCAGGAGGAGCACAAGAATAAAAGCCGTGCAATAATTAAAATCAATAGCCAAAATATTTAAAATCGTTAACGGCAAGCTAAAAAAAGAGGCCCAAACTATAGCGTCTTCTTTATTCTGGTGCACGGATAGAGAAGGCAGCTTTAAAAGATAGCTTTGTAAGAGATTGCAAAATAGATTGTTCCATGTTAAAGAGAAAGAGCAGGGCCAGCATCACCACCTGTCCTTCTCAGGTAACTACCAGGGTCCTCAGCATTCTGGCGCTGCTGTATGCTGTCCTGAACCACCCTCGGTTTTTGATTCCTTGCCTCTGCCCCAACTGGCAGGATCTAGGCACCCTCTTCATTTCACACAGTGTCCCCACATCCAAGCATTGCTCTAGGGCATTGTAAGAAGACCTAGACACGCAGCACTGCTTGGAGTGCTGCCACCACAACCAGCTAACCCTGCCAAAGGCAAGCACACCAACTCCTAGGGGCCGAAGCAGTGTGTGTGTGTGTGTGTGTGTGTGTGTGTGTGTATGAATGATTTTTATTAATTTTTCATTAAGAATACTCCAGTTGATACAATGCCAAATCTTGCCACATCGTAATACAAATAATAAAGCCAATTATACATTCCAATTTATATATTTTAAAAAGGCTTCCCATGTTCTGGCCAGTCAGAGAAAGTATTTGTTTCTTGTTCCTGCTTTTTCTGGGGCTGAAGCAGTTTTCAGCCCCTCAATGTTCTGTTCTGTTTTGTTTTGTTTTTGAGGTGGCTGGGCCCCCTCAATGTTCAGAGGGTGTTCAGCTGTATCGCTGGCTCCTTGACACACCATGTGGCATTGGGACATCACATTAGGCCCCCTCAATCGTCTTGAGAAGATGGCGCCTCTGGCCAGGGGACACAGAGAGAGGAGGGGGCCCTCATCATCAAACCTACAACTGGCCTCGATAGAGAGGTTTCTCTTGGGCAGATCAGTGAATAGATAAATATCTAAGCAATCAACTAGAGAAAAGGAACCTTATTATTGTGTGGACAACATTCCAGGTGCCACGTTCCAGGGGTAAATGGGGCTGGAGGGAATAGTGGGTAGAGCAAAGGATGGAGCTCTTGTAGGCTACATTTCAACAGCAAAGAAGCCAGCAGGTTCTGTACATGCACATCCCTCTCCAGCCAGGTAAACAAGAGGCATTATCAGAGGTCAAGGGCTCATTCCAGCCAGGCAAAAGCTGTCAAGTAAGGTGTGCAGCAGGGATGGTGAGGGGTGGAGTCAGGGGTGTCCCCAAGAGCTAGACAAAGGCCTGCATTCATCCATCTAGCCTGAGGTTACTCATCTCAAGTATAGGAATTCATCCTAAAGAGGCAGATCTGTGCCCCCAATGCTGTCTAGTAGAGAAGAATGAGGAAATGTAAATCAAATCAGTTAAATTCTATATAGTCGGTGGATTCCTGAGAAGCATGTCTTTATTCTGGCTCTAGTCACTCATTATCTTCTCTCTCTTTTGGTCATTTCCCTACTTCCCTCCCAAAGGGCTGCAACCGGTCCTGCCCCCAATATCAAGAAGACGGGAGGTGCCAACACAGTGAAGACTATGTTGCTGGAGTGGTGCCGGGCGAAGACCCGTGGCTATGAGGTAATGAGTCTGTATAAACTGTGAAACTCAATGCCTCCTTAAGTGGTCCTTCAGCTCATGGCCCCACTGTTCCCCAGGGATGCAGTAGGCACCCTCATTTCCCTTGTGAGGATGGTGTTGGTCATGCAACTTGTGTGTGTGATCAGCTGTTCTATGACAATAAGATGATTTCTTGTGAAATATGAGTGTATTTTTTTCCTGGTACAGAGGAATGTTCCCTGTTCTTATTAGATAGCATCAGCATCAGTGTGTGATCAGTACTGTGTGATCTCCACAGTCGGTCCCAACAGGTTGTCAAGGGTGGCTGTCTCTCTCATTTTGTGTTAGGCCATGCCCCCCCATGCCAGTCATTTTATGACTAGCACCCACAGCACTCTCAAAATTTGAAATGCGCCCATTGATCCAAAAGGCTGGCGATCCCTGCAATGCATGTTGGAATGCCTTGACATAAAATTACTGACCATAGAGGCTTGTCTGAAGTGTTGCTGAGAAACTGCGGATCCAGCCAAGTCATGTGGCATTTTTAAAGACTAACAAATGTCTTATGGCATAAGCTTTTATGAACTGCTACATTGCTGCCCTGATAAATTCCTTAAAGATGCCCAAAGACTCTTTTTTGTGTTTGCTGCAACAGACTCACATGGCAACCTCACTGGAAATTGAGAAAATGTCCATGAAAAATGAAGCACTTGGAACGTTCTAGAAGGGCTATATAACTGCTTCCATTTCCCTACACTTCAGATTGTGGTGGGTTATAAATAGGCACAACGTAACCTCAGGTTTATGTTAATACTCTGTGCTTATCACCCTCAGATACATTTTGTAATTCCTCAAAATAGTAGCACTATTTGTCTCACTCTCTCTCACACAAATACACACCCCAGAACAGTGCAATCTTGCCAAGAACAAACTGTTGGAGAAAATGTACCTATAAACCAAACCTGAGATTCTCCCTACACAGAGGTGCCAGCCACAATGACAAATTTGTGGGATTTCCACCCACAGGTTGTTGGTTTTTTTAAAAAAAAACCCCAAAGCAAATAGTAATGCATCTTTCAAGTTCCATTTGGTCACTTCTGAACTTCTGTTTCAAAGCAGTAATTGCAATATTCCCACAACTGATTATCAAGGAGCAAAAGCAGTCTGAGCTGCTGTTTGGATTTAAAAGGGCTTTGGTAGACGCTAACAATTGTGCAAGTCTTTTTCCTGACTTTAGACACTTGCTAAGCAGGCAAGTAATTTTGTTTATTACAGATTCAGCAGTCGTTCCTTCTACACATTTGTATTTTAACTGTGGTGAAAACCTGCCTTTCCCAACCATTTCAGTATTATACATGGTAATGCCATGACCACAGCTATACCAGACATCTTCAGCGCAAACAGATATGTATTCATGAGTCTCAAAGCAGAAAGAGGCAGTGTGGTTCAGTGCTAGAATGTTGGTTTGGATGTTTCCATTCCCACTCAGTCTTGATGCTCATTTGGTGCCTAACCTACATCACGGGGTTGTTATAAAGTTTTTTTTAAATAAGAACTCCATTCACATGACCCTGAAACGATTGGAAGTAAGGAGGGACATAAATGGGATGGACGAATAAGCAAACTACTGCAGATATGCTGCTAATCAAAATTAACACCTCTTGCAGCTGCTGGGGTGCAGGGCGTAGAGATTGAATGTAAACCCAAGGAGAGAAGACAGGTGGGCCCTGTTTATGTTTCTCTTTCTCATCCCCAGCACGTGGACATCCAGAATTTCTCCTCCAGCTGGAGCAGTGGCATGGCCTTCTGCGCTCTCATCCACAAATTCTTCCCGGATGCTTTTGACTACGCTGCACTTGACCCAGCAAACCGCAAAGAGAACTTCACTCTGGCCTTCTCCACTGCAGAGTAAGCACCTTCCCAGACCCCAGGACCCCACAACCATAGGGCAGGTTGGGCTGGGTGGAAGAGCCAGGCCACACTTCCACATACCCACATCCTGGTGATTGTGGGTGCATTGCTGTTTGCTGCAGTGAACATGTAAACAAATTTATACTGTACCTGTTTCAAATTAATAATAATAATAATTCCCCCAGCCACTCTGAGCAGCTCCCAACAGAATAAAAAATCAAATATTAAAAATTTCCCTAAATATGGCTGAATTCAGATGTCTTCTAAAAGTCAGATAGTTGTTTATTTCCTTGACATCTGATGGGAGGGTGTTCCACAGGGCGGGTGCCACTACCAAGAAGGACCTCTGCCTGGTACATGTAACAACATTTAGGCCTTATCTACACTTACCTCCCCCCCTCCCCGCTCTTTCCAGGCACAGGCCCACACTTTAAAGCTCTGTGTCCTTGCAAAAGCCCGCTCTTTAAAGCTGCAGTGCAACAAACAGCAATTTGTGTTTTCCACAGATTGTTGTTTGCTTGGATTCAGATTTAAAGAACTAGCTTTCACTGGGAAAATGCCAAAGCAAAAAATGGGGTGGGGGCACTCAGACACGGAGCTTTAAAGAGTGGACTTGTCTCTGGAAACTGCAGAGGAAAAGTTATGTGTGCATAACAGCAATCCAAAGCACAGCTAAACCATTTCAAACAACTGAGCAACAAAAAACAACAAAGCAATAGTTGTACATTTCAGCACAGGTTAATATCAGAGTGCAACAACAACACTTGGGCAAATAAACTTTGCACCAAAGAAATACCAACACGGGGGGGGGGGGGGGACAGGGTGCTATACCCAAGGAAGCCATTTCTCCTGTCTCTTGACCTCTGTAAGCAGGGTGAGCTGGAGAAGGGCCTCGGAAGGCGATCTCTGCATGCAAATAGGCTTGTTTGGGAGTAGGACAGCTTTTCCCATGCCATGCCAGCCATAGGGAGCTGTAGTCCAAAACCTCTGGTCTCTTTACACCTTCCACATGTGCCTGAGGAACATGGCGTAAACAAAGCCAGAGTCAAAAAGCACTAATAGGGATGTCTCGCCATCTGTACCCTAGCATGTAATGTATTATATGGGCAATGGTTTCTTCATGAGTGGGGAACCTGCTGCCATCCAGGTGTTGCTGGGTTCCCAGTACCAGCAGCCCCAGCCAGCACAGCCAAGGATGTTGGGAGTTGGAATTCAGCACCCAAAGCACTGCACGTTACACACACACACACACACACACACACGCTTTAGATCACAGTTCTCTTTGATCCCGTGCCAACTTTCCAAAGTCAAAGGGATGGGGCGGCTTCACTGTTTTTTGGTTTAAGAGTTATGTTCAAGAGATTCCCTGTAGCATCTATGAAGGTGAAAAAGGTGCCAAGCTAAATCTGGATGCTCTTTGCCATCCTCTTCCCAGGGAGCTTGCTGACTGTCCCCAGCTTCTGGATGTGGCCGACATGGTACGCATGAGTGTCCCTGACAACAAATGCATCTACACCTACGTCCAGGAGCTTTATCGCAGCCTGGTGCAGAAAGGGCTTGTGAAGACCAAGAAGAAATGAGAACGGAAGGCAGGCTTACATTTGAGGCTTACTGGAAGCTGGAGGGAAGGTTTGGCAGAACAGGTGAGAAGGGCTCCATGGAGGACCTCTTCACTAAGTGAGAGCGTAATATAATGGCCAGTAGGGGACGCGGGTGGTGCTGGGGTCTAAACCACCGAGCCTCTTGGGCTTGCCGATCAGAAGGTCGGCGGTTCAAATCCCCTTGACGGGGTGAGCTCCCGTTGCTCTGTCCCAGCTCCTGCCAACCAAGCAGTTCGAAAGCATGCCAGTGCAAGTAGATAAACAGGTACCACTGCAGCAGGAAGGTAAATGGCATTTCCGTGTGCTCTGGCTTCTGTCATGGTGTTCTGTTGCACCAGAAGCATTTTAGTCGTGCTGCCCACATGAGAAGGAAAGCTGTCTGTGGACAAACGCCGGCTCCCTCTGCCTGAAAGCGAGATGAGTGCTGCACCCCATAGTCGCCTTTGACTGGACTTAACCATCCGGGGTCCTTTACCTTTTTTATATATATAATGGCTAGTAGAAATGGGGGACAGGACACTGGCTCAGTCATTATCACATTTCTGGAAGGAAGCAACCTTATTTTAACATTAATACCATGCCTTACAGAGCGGTAAGTTATAAAAAGCTCAAGAAGGATGTCAAAGACAGAGCCATGGTTTAAATCAGGGCTGCCAAACAGAATTATCTTATCGAGTCCTGTGACTTCCCCAGTGAGGTCTTTGGCCTCCCTACCTCATGCTACACAATTTGCTGAACCACCTCTAGAGTTTGGAAATGATGTGTATCGTAGAGCCAAAGGGATCACCCACCAATTGCATGTCTCAAATTAGCCCCACACCCCATTAGCAGGAAAGGTATCAAAGCATATGACATCTGCAGCCAAGGGTGTCATGTTGGTTGGTGGTATTTAGTCAGTAGAAAGGGATATTTGGATGACAGGGGCATTAAAGGTGGCAGGACTGGGTGATGATGGATAGCTGTTTTGGCTGAGAGGGCTGGTGGCAGGTGTTTTGGCATGCAAGAAGCTTTTGGAGGTTTGGCAGTGGCTAGTGGGAAGAGGGGCTAAAGTGGGAGGTTATGAGCTGAAAGTGGGTGCCCAGCATAGGAGTGTGAAGTGGCAATTGCAGGCAGCACTGGTGACAGGATAGTGGCAGGCAACATGTGGAAGCAAGGGACATTGCTAACCATAATCCTACTACTGGTCTCCTCCTCCAACCCAACCAGGGCAAACAAACCAGTGGGGTTTTTGGTGCAGATTATGGGTGTGGTCCATCTGTATCTTATTTGCAGGTAAGATGCCCCCCCAACCCTTTTGGATTCTCCTCCTCTGCACTGGAAATTACAGCTTCCCTTAGGCTAAAGTGGGCTCAGATTCAGGATTTTCTTCTTTTGCTTTTCAGAGAGAAGGCGACATGGGATGTCCCCTGGTCTCTATTCTGCCATTTCTTGTGCACTGCACTGGATCAAACCAAAGTGGCTTTTGCTCTAGCATTTAAGTCTGCTATACACAAACTTTCTGCCTGTGTGCTTTTGAGATGTGTGGGGAAAGGGATCGTTAACTCTGTCCTGTAGGTGCTTCTAGTCACCTCCAGCAATCTGGCCTCCAAGGAACCAAAAGCCTCTGTCATAAACGGGCATGGTGTGGAACAAGGAAGTCTCTCCAGAAAATTACCACTGCCCATTTCACGTACTATTCTCTTGGCTGCAAATGCTGGCAAGTCCTCTTCCAACCTGTGCTGTGCTTCTCTTTAACCTCACTCACTTCTCCTTACTGAGCATCATTAAAGCACAACTGTTTGAAGTCCAAGGCAACTAGGCAGTGTCTGTGATTCCCGCCCACCCCAAAGCAAACTACAGTTCAAGTCCCATCCATCAATGGTGAGGTTACCAAGGAGATAGTATGAACAGCTCTCCTTGAAGATATTAAGCACAAGGCACACTAGAGCTGCGCAGCGTACAGGGAAAACACAACCTCATCCGATGCCTGCTTACTAGGAAGGAAGCCCCACAGTATTCAGTTACTCCCAGACAGATGCTTCAGTCCCAAGCACAAAAGTCCCTGTGCAACTTGGAGTAGGCATGGCTAAGATCAGGCTGTTAGGATAACACACTAGGAAGAAGTTTAGCAAACAAGCTGCCATGAGAGACTGTGGCCAAGGAGGAATATGGCCAGATAACCCCAACAGCAAGAGGTCCAGCAGAGTGAGAATGAGAAAGACCAGCTGCCACAACAGAAGGAGGAAGAACATTTTTTATTAGAAAATGCATTTACTCATATATATCTGTGCAAGGCATTCCCATTTCCTAGGGTGTAAGATTCCACTGAAGCAAGAACTTGCCTCTAAATATGTTCTGCTTAGAACAGAACAGTATAATTGATTTAAAAATAAAATAAAATATAACTTCAGATTTTTGGCAACATAGGCCAATTGTTTGCCAGCTCCACATGTATGCCCTGCTCTACTCGGAAGAGCCTTCCAGCTCACTTATCACATCATTACTTACCTACTGTATTTCAAAACCTCCAAGCTATGTTAGGGTGCTTCTAGGCAGTGGAGCGTTGCCCATTAGGGAGAATGGGGCATTGCCCCACCAACTTCAGTCTGCCCTCAACCAGCCTCCCACCTGCCTACCTTCTTACAACCAGTCCAGGGAGTGCTCCTAGCAGCCAGCTTCCCCCTTCTCAGACTCAATGTTGCCCTTGTAGGACTCAGCAGGAAGAAGGATGTAGTCAAAACTAAAATGAGCTGCCTTCGCCTATCAAAGGCTCTGGCTCCACTTACTGCTCCCTCTGCCTTCTGTCCCAAGAGTCCCAGTGGCCACTGGCCATCTCTGCTTCCAGTTCCAGATATGGACAATTAGCAGCACTCAGTCCTCACTGCTGTGTTTTAAGGTGGAAGTGGAGCAGCTGTTCAGAGAGTGTTGGAAATCTGGAAACAGGCAGTCCCCACCCCCTTTCCTCAACCCCAAATGTTGCAGGTAGGGGGAGATTTTCATTCCCTTTCATCACTGAACTCATGATTACGATGTTTTCTCCCCTCCCTCCAATTTGGGGTCAGAGAGAGACAAGAAATACGCGCAAGGCAGTTCTATTTGGAAAGGGAAGAATTAAAATGCCAAGTTGATTTCTGAGATCCAAACCATCAAGAAGGAAGTGGTTACAGCACAGACTGTACAGCCCTTCACCAGCCTGCAATAGAGCAGAACACCTGCGTAACAGGTCGTCTGAGGAAATTGTAGAGCTGCTCCATCGTTGTTGTTTTTAAAAAAGGTTTATTTATTTATTTATTTTAGCTTGGAGAAGGAGGCAGGGAAGGAAGATGAACAGGGAAAACATGGGAGGAGGACGTTTTGATTACAAATGGCATGTACATGTCCTGTAAAAAAATGGATGACAAAGTGTACTATGGTAAATGCCCAATGAGAAAGCTGCCTTGGACAAACTAAAGAAAGTCATTTGTGCCTCTTCCCAGGAATGTTTAGAGCAGGGGGCGGTGTTAAAGTGAAAAGCAAAACTGTAAGAAAGCAAGAAAGGTCATCCAAACCCCAGCGAATGCAAGGCGAAAGCACAACATTTCACTTCTAAGAGCAACATTTCACTTCCAAGAGCAGAGTCCAAAGCAAAGTCTCTCCTCCCCAGGGCTGAAGTCTCCTCCCCCTCAGATGCAGAATTAATGTCATGAGCCAGAGCAATGCAGGATCCCACCGTGTACATTCCTTTATTGAGAATGCAATGGTGGGGACAGCTTCTGTGGTCCCACTTGCATTTCATCCCACTGGGACTGTGCCTATGTGGAAGGTTCCCCAGCCAGCCAGTGAGGCAGGCAGTGGTTCAGGAGGGCAGCAGGTCACTCGCATGGCCGCTTCTCACTGAATTTGCTGGTCTGCTCTTCAGCTTTGGACAAAAAGCGCTTGTGGTCCTGGATAAACTCCTCGGCCAAGTCAGCGCGCAATGGGTTGTCTGGGTCAGGTTTATTCACCAGCACTATCAGTTCTGCAATCACTGTGGGTCAGAAAAAGGTAGGAGGGTCAGAAAAGAGCATAACGTATGTAATAACTTCAAGGAGAGAGAGCGCAGCAGAATGGACAGATGAGCCATGGCCATCCAACAGCCAGTTGGCTCTCCCTGTGCACTGACACACACAGCTTTCTTGGCCCTACCTTGGTCTGCCGTGGTGAAAGGTCTCCATTTCTCGTTGCTGACAATCGGCAAGCACACCTGGCCCTTCTCATCCACGTTGGGGTGGTAGATCGGAGTCTTGAAAGTGACCTTGGGAGGCTTGAGGGGGTACTCACTTGGAAAGCTGATCTCAATCCGGAAGGCGCCTTTGTTGTACGGGGGGTCATCCTGAGCACGAGGACAGGAAAAGGCAGTAGTCACCTCACAGTGCAAATGGTGCTTCCCTGTATGTGGGCTGTGGGGATCTAAAAAAATAAAAGCCCAGATTCAAGCAGACCCTTTCTGCCACCTCAAGGCGAATGGAAAATCTGGACCCTCCTCTGTAAAATAAAATGATATGGTGCTGCCTTTTAACGATGCCCAAATACCTTGCCTGAGGCAGTCACTTCACCCTACCCCAAAGGCCAAGTTCATCTCTCTATGAGCCATTGGTGTTGCCTTTGAGGCTATTCAGGCCCAGCCATTTCCTTGCCTTCCCTAAACTCACCGGCACTAGAAGTCCCTTCCACAGCAGGACATTGTTCACATCTACTTCAACATCCCGAAGGCAGCGGAACCCGGACCTCTTAATTCCATCCAGCTCCTGAAAAAGCAAAAAAGATGGTTCCAGGCCTAGCAGTGACAATTGCCCAGCAAAGCATGGCCATCCTGTTGGACCAGGGGATCTCAAACTTTTCACCTCCAGCAAGGACCACTTGCCTGAAAATTACTGAGGCCCACCAGCCACAAAAGGGAGGCAGAGTTTAGCATAATCCACTGGCATTTACTGACATCATTTTCTACAAATCCATCTTTGTAAATTACTCCATTCCTTCCTCGTCTTTTCACTTATAGCAAGGAGCACCAGAGCTCGGCTTTCCTCAAGCTAAGTACAGACATTTACTCATAAGGTATTCTGACAGCCTCCCACTTCTAGGAAGAATTTGCTGATCCAGAGGCACTAAGTGGAGACAACTTTTTCTTTTATATTTTTCATATCCCATCCTCATGTGTCTCAAAGTATTTTTCCCCTCTCCGATCCTCTGCCACCAATTTCTTTCATCTCTCCTTCCTGGGCAAACCATGGTTTGTGACATCTCAATGCTGCCAGTGTCTGCATACTGAACACCTTCTACTAATATAGCCTTGCCATACCATGGAGGACTTGGCAGCAAGAACAAGTGAGACCCTCACTCTCCATTTCCACATGTCAAGTTTCCCAAATGCTTGACACAGGATCTGTGTTTGTGTCATTTACCTCCTGTAAATCAGTTATATCCACCACCTTTATTTTTGTCTCTCTTCCCCTCACTCAAACAAGTCACAAGCTGCCTTCAAAAAAGATAGCAAAATATTAATCTTGGGTATCAGTACATTTCTAAAAGTGAGAAAGATCTTTCCTAATTTGGTCCCAGCTGGCCTGCCCTCTCTTCCTTGCCTCTAAGTTTCAATTCATTGACAGAAACTTCCTCAGGAAGTTGAGATCATAACAGCAGGCATATCTCCTTTCTCAAACTTTATGGCTTTTCTCATCCACAGGACAACTAACATGCTGCCAACAGCATTATATTCTTGCGCAATTTCCTTGCTCTTTCCAAGCTTAACAGTAACAGAAACTGAAAGCTATTTTTCATTGCAACTGAATTGGCAGCTACACAGCCTCCCTCCTTCAGACATTTCCCCTTCAAACCAGTATTTCAGCTTCAGTCTGTTTGAAAATTGTAGTCAACATTCCCCCTGCTAAAATAATAATAATAATAGCAGTGGCGTAGCATGGGTTGTCAGCCCCCGGGGCAAGGCAAGTAATTTGCTCCCCCTAACCCGTGGATTTGCGCCCCCTAACCCTAACCCCCAGATGTTGCGGCCGGTGCGGCCAGCCCCCCCTGCACCCCCCACGCTACGCCACTGAATAATAGTAATAGTAATACTAATCACCATCATCCTGGGAACAACAGTTTAGTCTTCAGATACACAATTCCCAGCACCTTCACTAAAGGTACCAAATTGTAAGTAGTTTTTGACATATGCTTATCTGTTCCACAGTGAATTCAGAACTGCCCCTTAATAGGGAATGTTATCCAAGAAAGTTGTACTTAAGGGTTTGCTGTCTGTTGCCCACCTCACCATTTATTTATTTTTTAGAAGTCTCTCTAAACTTGGATTTTGATTGTTGTAAAAGTGAGAGATGGGCAAGTTGCACCCCCCTCCCAAAAGCACCCATGCATTTCTATATGTTCAAGTCTGCATATCCCCACCTTGCCCACCCCGGTGAGGGCTTCCGTGCTCTGGGCAACTGCGCGGCAGACAGGCATTCGAGAGGCAGGCCTTGGCTCAGCCTAGCGGTGCCGCGACGAGAAACGCTTCGCCCGTCATCTGGCCAGCTGTGGAGGGTCCATGAAACCTTCCCCGGCAGAAAAGAGGCGACCCGATCCTAAGACGGGAACCGTGGCTGGATCGAAGCGCCCCCTTACAATAAAGCGGCGGCAAGACTAGGGCAAGTGTCCCTCCCTCCCCTCGAAGATCCCACCTTCACCAGCCCGCCTGGCCCGCCTCTCAGCCCTTCCTAAGCAGCGGATCTCCAGAGGCCGCGAAAGAGCAGCTGCGCGGGACCGAGAAGGTCGGGGATCTGCCGCGCCGCCCCCCGCGCCTACCTTCGCCACTCGGCGGGGCGCCGCCGCCATCTTCGCTTGAAGCGCCTTCCGAGGCTCCTGCTGCTGCTGCTGCTGCTGCTGCTGCTTCTCGGTGCGCCGGGTGGTTGGCTGCAAGTTGCGCTATTGCTCCGCCTCGGAGAGAGAGCCGCGAGATGCGAGGAGAGGGTTTTCCTTTCGGAAGAGCGGGCAAAAGCTCTCCCCGGGTTAGGATCTAGATTTCCCCGCCGCATGCATGAGCAGCACCGATTCCAAAATAAACTCCCGTCAGCTAATCGGAATCACTTCCTAAAGTGAACCATAGACATTATTTGCATCATGTACGACATGCACACACTGGATGCAAAAAAAACGCAACAACAACCTGTTGCATAAAAGGTTGTTTTCTTTTTTTATATTTCAGATTACCATCAGACTTGGGGGTTGCTACTTTCCAGGGGCAAAGAGGGAAACTGGAGCTTTCAAGGTGCCCCTCCGTTTTCAGATCCCCTCCTCCCAGACACTCAGCATTCTGTGCCACTGTCCTTAGTCCTCATTGGGGTGTTTTAGGGTTTTTTCCTCTTTGGGTTTTTTTCTTCGTTTCTCTTAAAAATAGTTCGTACTTCTGCAAATCTTGGGGCTCCTCCAAGCCTGCTAGTACTTCCCTCTTGTGCATGGATGGTGATGTTGTGTGGCTGTCTATAATACAAGGGTGCCAACTCTCAGGGTTTTATCCCCAATCAAACGGCTTGCGGCTTAAAAAAATAAAATAAAACCCCAACCCGTAGAACATCCCCCTTTCCTTATATACAAAGTGTGTGTTTCTACTCCTTATGGCTGCAGAGAAAAACTCAAAGACATGGCTGTGAAGAAGTCACACGCGGATTCAAAACTTAGCTTACCTGAATGTGAGGATGCTTCAAACAACACATGCTTCAAACAACATTCCCCCCTCTTCAACATATGTAATAAAGTCAGCATGGCAGCATGAGTGTAAAAGCAGTTACATTTGAGGTCGGCGGTTCGAATCCCCGCAACGGGGTGAGCTCCCATTGCTCAGTCCCTGTTCCTGCCAACCTAGCAGTTCGAAAGCACGTCAAAGTGCAAGTAGATCAATAGGTACCGCTCTGGCGGGAAGGTAAACGGCGTTTCCGTGCGCTGCTCTGGTTCGCCAGAAGCGGCTTAGTCATGCTGGCCACATGACCCGGAAGCTGTACGCCGGCTCCCTCGGCCAATAAAGCGAGATGAGCGCTGCAACCCCAGAGTCGGCCACGACTGGACCTAATGGTCAGGGGTCCCTTTACCTTTACATGCTATATATTTAAAGCACTCTTGTTCCCTCAAAGACTTATGGGTGTTATTAAGAGTTGTTGCGAATTGTAACTCTGTGAGGGATGAACTACAGTACCCAGAATCCTTTGAGGTGAATAATGTGCTTTGAATGTGCTTTGGATGTATAGTGTGTACCCAATAAAAAGACAGGGCCTGGCGCAGTTGAAGCAGTCATCCTTAAAAGCAGCTGGATATCTGCCCCTCGCTGCCATCTGCTTCATAGGATGCAGAGTCAACCTAGAGGAGACTGAAATATGACTGAAGTACCTCAGTTCACACAGCAAACTACCAAAAATAACTAGTTAACTAGGAAAGAGGGGAATAGGCGAAGAAGGGTGGGAAACTGTAGGGCAGGGGTGCTAAACATAACTCAGGCAGGCACCCTTCAGAACATTGTGGACCATCCTCTCTGCTTTCAGAACATTTTGGTGGGTGAAGCCTCTGCCTCCTGAGTCACTGTCTACCACATTCTGCAGCCACCAAATTGGCCTTAGCTGAAATGAATGGGCAGTGTCTGTTTCCAAGAAAGGGATGCCACGCCTCACAGAAGTGGGGTGGGGTGGGGGGACTCAGCCTGTGTTGCTTTCACGTATAGAAGCCTATTTGAGACATATGGAAAAGTTCAAAATGGCTGTTGCCTAATCATGACAGAGTTTGAAAATAAATATTTATTTTCAAACTCTGTCGTGATTAGGCAACAGCCATTTTGGACTTTTCCATATGTTTCAAATAGGCTTCTATAAAACTCTGTCATGATTAGGCAACAGCCATTTTGAACTTTTCCATATGTCTCAAATAGGCTTCTATATGTGAAAGCAACTCTGTGACTATTAGGCAACAGCCATTTTGAACTTTTCCATAACTTGGCTGGCAGCGGCTGGCAAAGGACCCAGTTAGGCAGGTTTCAGACAGTTCAAGTGTTCCCAGGACTAGAGACATCAGAGCTGGATGACCTGGTAATTTTCACAGGCTGCACAATCCCAGTCAAACAGCACCTGCTTGTATCTCTTGAAATACTTGCCAGAAGTTGCTTTTCTCACCCAGGTTCTGTGTATCATAGAATCATAGAGTTGTAAGGGACCTCAAGGGTATAAAATAGATAGGTGGGGGGGTAGCCTCTTTTGTTCTTTAAAGGTATATAATATTGTTTTGTAAATGTATGAGCAGGAATTGGTGAACCAACAGCTATTGGATAAAGGGAATTGAATATAAGGAAAGAATTATGAGTCAGAGATAAATATGTAACATCACACAGCAATGGGGGGAAACAGGGACACATCTAGGATCATCATCATCATCATTTTTAATTTGTATACCGTCCTATCTTGCAATACTCAAGGCGGTTTACAAGCTGAAGAAACAAAAAATGTACACCTTATAACAATCTAATGCAATACAAAAATGTGAAAATAAAACATAATTTTAAAATAAGCAACCTACATCAAAAAAAGAAACATTCAACAATCATTAGAATAGTATAAAATAATAATATCAGCATATAAAAGTCAAACAGAGATTCACTCTTAACAGTTACAATAAATAATTTCTAAACTACAATAAATAAAACAATGGCAAGCCACAGTACCTCAAATAAAAAAAAATACAATACAAATGGAGAAGGAGAGACTAGAGGGTGGAGCAAGGCAGGTGGAGGAAGGCCTTGCCTGATGAAGTCAACTTTTTGGAAATACTGTATTAAATTTGATGTCATTTGGCTCTGATTTGTTAAATAACGGGGGGGACGGACAATAAAGATTAATTGGCAAAAAAGAAATGCACCCCGAAAATCATCTAGTCCAACCCTCTGCAGTGTAGGAACCTTTCACCCAACGTAGGACTCAAACCCACGACCCTGAGATTAAGAATCTCAAGCCACTAGGAGCAGTAGGCAGCTGTGTACTGCAGTCCAGTGATCCTTCAGTTGCAATGCTAAACACACTTACTAGGGACTTGCTTCTGAGTATGCATGCATAGGGATGCACTGCATAACTTTGGTCTGAAATTTTCAATGTGCTTTTGATTATCCACAACAAAAAGAATGGAGAGAAACGGCTAGGCAACATTTCTCCCAAAGTAAATAGGGACAAATAAGGAGGTTGGGAGAATCTGTCAATTTGAGTTTCTCATTTTCCAGTCTTAATTTCAGTTCTTCACATTCATGTGTAAAAGTTCTAATGAAAGTTACTCAGCATTTTAGTGTTAATTTCCCCCAGCATACATAAACATTTGTATGCAATGTTGCCTAACATACGCACTTTATTCTAAAGTAATGTTCCCTTACGTTATGCATTTTTGTGTGTTGTTTTCATGACTACACACATTTTTATGCACACTTTGCCCTGGGATATGCATTTTTGCACATGTTACTTGGCTGGAGAGCTACATTGCAAAATTCAGAAAAGTGTGAACTTTGAAGGATAGCTGTGGAATTGCTTTGGAAAGTGCAGATTAGGGAGCTTCCCCTTTAAATGTAAACTGAATCCAATTTTCCCCTCAGTCCTACAAATAGCAAATTAATTTATTCTGCATTTTAGTGCAACTTTATCAAGCACTCAAGAATAAAAGGAAAACATCACTAGGCCTGGGCATATTTCATGTCACAAAGATATTTCTTGAGACATCACTGTTTAGAGCCAATCGGTCCTGAACAGAAATTCCTTCTTCACTGACAAATGCTGCAGTGACATGAGCAGTGGAGACAAGTATGGCAGTGGGGGCCACTATCCCACCCTGCAGCATAGACCACTGACAATATGTTTCCCACCTTGTTACTGTCACTGCCACTCCTGCCGAGGACTCATCTAAACTTACGTTTTGCCCTGCACTTTCTAGACGCAGGCCCTCATTTTCCTGGTTCGTGTCTGAGCACTTTCTTTTTTGCCCCACCACTTTCCCCAGGAAAACCCGCTATTAAACACTGAATCAGAACAAATGGCAATTTTGGTCCATGGATCAAAGAGCAAAGATAAGTAAGGACAGGGCAAGTAAGCTTATACTGTAGTTTACTTAATTGGGAATAGAGGGACTGCCTGCTGATATCCCAGTTTCTTATAAGTCAAGGGCATGTTCTTTCTGCTCATTGACATTTTGTTCTAAAACGGGGACTTAAAAAAAATGGTTTCAGGACTTCCGGGGTGGCGCCATAGGCAATGGCGGACTCCCTCTGAACTGGAGGGACTAGCTCCGCGCGAAACGGGTCTTTTCCGCTACGGCGAAGCGGGGACCCTTTTAAAAATCACAGGCGGATGAAGCCTGTGACCATGGGACTCGGCGGGCACCCTTAGCGCCCCCCCCAACCCACAAAGGAACCCACTAACGGGCTCCGAAGCGAAGAGGCGGAAGCGGCGCGGTGCTGTGAGTCAACTGCTATTTCCGTGGAGCGAAGCCGCACAGCCGTTGCCGGAGAGCGCTGCCTTTTTCCTGGGACAATTTGGCTTCTAAAATAAGCATCCGTGAGTACTTAAACTTTGAACAATTGGACTTTAAATAAGGACTTGCGAGCAGAAAGGAATTGGACTTTAAAATTTTACTTCAATTTGGTACTGAAACGGGAAGGTCTAAACAGGAAGTTAGCCTTCCGTTTCTTTGTAGACAGAATAAAGCAAAGACAACGTAAACTAGAGCTCAGAAAATCGCCTCTAAAGGATTGGCTTTCATCATTTAAAATTGTTGAACCCCCCTTCAGCAGCAGGAGAAGAAGAGGGATCTTTTTTGGACTGTTTAAACCTGCAGAAGTGAGTTTAAAGTAAAGTAACTTTCCACCGTCCTGATCCTGGAGCGGGGTGTCAGGACTGACGTTCGAAGCTCATTGACCAGAGATAAACGTTTTTGACAGATAGCTAAAAGAAGAGGAACATAGTGATTCCATTGTTTCCTTTCGCACCTTAAAGGAACAAATATTGACAAAATATCTGAAAAAAGGAAACTCTGTTGCTAGACTTGTCTTTAAAAGAAAGATCAAATAGAAGTTTTCCCCCTAGAGGGAGACTGTGAAACTGTAACCAACTCCTGGGAGCTGGCAACTGTTACAGATTACAATCGTGGGAATAGACATCTGACCTTGCAGGACAATGTATTCAGAAGCTCTGTTGTGTGCTTTCTATAAAACAAATGCCCTACTGGAACAGCTACATGAGAAGACGAATTTGATGGCTGATTTGATTAGAAATTTTGAACAGGCAGTGGGAAATTTTGAACAGGCAGTGGGAAAATATGTGGAGCCCACCCAGGAATTAAATCAGGAGTGTGCCCTGACAGAACAGGCCCAACAGTAATATGAGCTGTCGGATTTGACAAATGAACTTGGAAAAAGCCAGATTTGGAAAGAAAAAGTTTGGTTTGGTTTGGAAATGGGGGGTTGGATAGACCCTCCTATGCAGGGATGTTTGGACTTTTCAAGTCTGGCAATGGGCTGTGAGATGTTTGGGATTGTGGGGGCTCTCAATTTTGGAGGGTTTTTGAAACATGTTTTTAAATACCACATGGAATTTAGTGTCGATTATGGAAAAGGGGCTGATCTGTCGAGAAGGGTCAAAAATATTGCTATGCTGGAGTTCCCACGAGTGAAACAAGCAGGAGACAAGGGAAAATACAGTTATAAATATGAAGAAGAGCTGCGGAAGGCACATGGAAGAGACTTAAGGGCCTTGGATATAAGGTCACCAGGTTAATGCGCCAGATCGATGGGATAATAAGGACTGACAAACCCAGGACCAGGAGGAAGGGATGCTGGATGAAGATTGGATTTGTTTTTATTTCTTTTTTTCATTACTAGGACTGTTTTATAAAATTGATGAATGTTAGAAAAATGTTGGAATGAAATTATTTGGCTTTAGTAAAAATGTTTAAAGAATTATGTAAGAATATTATGGTTATGAGAAGTTGGTAAGAATAAGATTTAAGTTTTAAGTTCCAAGGTTTTTTTTATAGTAAGATAAGATTAAAATAGTTTAAGGTAATGTAATGACAGAATATTATGAAATATGGAAAGGATTTGCTGTGACAATTAACAACCAGGACACAAGGAAGTGGAGGAGGAGGAGGTCAAGGAAAGAGGGTAATGACAGTTGAGGAGTTGAGAATAATGGATTTGTTTTTAAATGTTTTTAAATTTTTGTGGTGTATTTTTGTTTTTTCTCTCTTATTTTGTGTATTTGTATGGTTGGAAGTGGCTTGTTTTTCTCTTTTTCTACTTTGTTTTCTTTTGTAACTTTTAAAAAAAATTCTTTCAATAAATATCATTTAAAAAAAAAAAAATGGTTTCATTCCCACCCTTGTAGTTGACCTGATCAATTACCTCATGTCAAAAGCGCTCCCCTTTTTGTGTTTCCATTTCCTCCTTTACTGGTGTGTCTGTCTGCCCCTATCCCTGTTTCCCACCAGATGCTTTTGTGCAAGGACAACCACAGCGGAGACACCTCCACCTGTCCCCAACCGTGACCTTAGTCATGGGACTTCTCTGGTGTTCCTTCTACAGATACTGTCTCTTGGTTGTGTAAGTCATTCCAATTTGCCCTAAGGATAAGTCAGATGTTTCTGTTAGAGAGGCAAGTAGCCATACGTCATCCTCAGCCACAGACGCACATGCCCTTGTCGCCTCAGGCGACAAAACACATACAGATATGTACACACAAGGGAGTTCACTGAGTGCAGAGTAAACAGGAGTGTGTATACAGCCTTTATGTCCACTGAATGGTGGGCAGTGGGGCCCCTCACATAGAATCCTATTTCTTTATGCCAGAAAACTCAGGCAGCACAGTCTTCTGGATGGAAAAAATGTACAGGGCAACAGGTCCACTCGCTTGGCTCTGGGGCCCTGTGTTCCCAGGGGTGCTCCCACTGCACACACGCAGGAATTTGATGTCAGCCTGCCTGCCAGCATGCCTGATGTCAGCATGCACACATCATGTGCTCACGTATGCACTGGCACAAAATTTTGTGGGTGCCCGGCCCCTTCATGGGGAATGTTGTGGGGGCTGGAACGCCTAAGGCCCCAGGCACCAGGTGCCTATGCAAGGCAAACTAGAACAAGGGGCTTGCAGAGAATACCACAACCTTGGTGCTAAATATGTACAGCCACATTGACAATGGCTTCTGTCTTCATATTTTAATTAGTATGGTGATGCCGAACTAAATGCCTGCTTTTGATAACAATTCTTTGCAACGCAAGTGTCCTGTTCTGCATCCCACACATTCTGCAAAAATTTTGGAAACTGGACAAATTGCCCACCAGCCCAGCTTAATCACCTGCTGTGATGGGCTCCAAACTATCCTAATAGTTGAAATGTCACAATGGCACCCATCATCAGCCACAGGAAGCTCTTTGCAGCAAGTGTGCTTGCTTCTTTAAGGCACACCTGGACAAAGGGTGGGTTGCATTTTTGAGATGTTTCTGAGAGAGCTACAAGATGAGTCAGAGAGGCCCTGCTTGCAGAATATTTTGCATGGAAACCTTTGCTGTTTAGTGTGTGTTTCTCACCCCTCCACCCACACCCCCAACACACCCCACACACGCTCCAGAGAAGCAGTTTTTTTCCTGACATGGAGCTGACACAATATTAAAAGAAAGAGCCTGACCTGTTGAAATTTTGCCCAACCTGTACCTGTATAAGGCAAAGGAGCTTGGCCTGAGAAGGAATGGCATTCCTACATTCAGTGTCTCAAGTCCTTGTAGCCCACACTGAGCCCACCTCAGTCACTTCCCCTTTTGCATGGCCCATGGAAATTGCTTGCGTTATGTGTCTAGTTTGCATTGGGTTGCCTGCATAGTTCAAGATGCAATGCTGGCAACTGGGTGAGCCCATAGCATCATCACAACTTATTTGGGAGGTGAAGCCTCCATTTTAGCATTAAAGTGCTGAAACAGCACTTTTTTGGAGGGGGGCATGTACAAACAAGGGGAGTAAGTCATTTGGAAACCCAGATACAAATCCAGAGTTCAGGCCAGATCAGAGGACCCATGGCTGCTTTTCCTTCAAAATAAAAGTGGTGGTGTTAAGCATACTTTTTTTAAAAAGTGCTCAATATTAATACTATATTAAGCACACATTTAAGAAGCATCCTTGATACTACCATTTTTATTTTGAAGGTGAATTCTGCAGCAGCTGAAAACTGGAAATTCTTGAATTTATTAGCTCTGTCTCCTCTAAACTGTGATGTGTGAGAAGTGTCTGTGGTTCTGGCAAGGGAAATGTGTCTTACATGTGCCCTTCCTGCAAAGGTTCAGTCCTGACACTGAAAAGGAAGATGCCATGTCTCAGCTCTGGTGACTCCTCCTGGCCCACATCTGGCGACCAAGCTGCCCAACCAACAGCAGATGCTTCCCAGATAACATATTTCATTAAAACTAAGTTCTAGAAAGACATCTACTTCTGCTTCATTGACTAAGAAAAAGCCTTTGACTGTGTTGACCACAGCAAACTATGGCAAGTTCTTAAAGAAATGGGAGTGCCTGATCACCTCATCTGTCTCCTGAGAAATCTCTATGTGGGACAAGAAGCTACAGTTAGAACTGGATATGGAACAACTGATTGGTTCAAAATTGGGAAAGGAGTACGACAAGGCTGTATATTGTCTCCCTGCTTATTTAACTTATATGCAGAATTCATCATGCAAAAGGCTGGGCTGGATGAATCCCAAACCGGAATTAAGATTGCCGGAAGAAATATCAACAACCTCAGATATGCAGATGACACAACCTTGATGGCAGAAAGTGAGGAGGAATTAATGAACCTTTTAATGAGGGTGAAAGAGGAGAGCGCAAAATATGGTCTGAAGCTCAACATTAAAAAAACGAAGATCATGGCCACTGGGCCCATCACCTCCTGGCAAATAGAAGGGGAAGAAATGAAGGCAGTGAGAGATTTTACTTTCTTGGGCTCCATGATCACTGCAGATGGTGACAGCAGTCATGAATTTAAAAGACGCCTGCTTCTTGGGAGAAAAGCGATGGCAAACCTAGACAGCATCTTAAAAAGTAGAGATATCACCTTGCCAACAAAGGTCTGTTTAGTTAAAGCCATGGTTTTCCCAGTAGTGATGTATGGAAGTGAGAGCTGGACCATAAAGAAGGCTGATCGCCGAAGAATTGATGCTTTTGAATTATGGTGCTCGATGAGACTCTTGAGAGTCCCATGGACTGCAAGAAGATCAAACGCATCCATTCTTAAGGAAATCAGCCCTGAGTGCTCACTGGAAGGACAGATCGTGAAGCTGAGACTCCAATACTTTGGCCACCTCATGAGAAGAGAAGACTCCCTGGAAAAGAACCTGATGTTGGGAAAGATGGAGGGCACAAGGAGAAGGGGACGACAGAGGATGAGATGGTTGGACAGTGTTCTCGAAGCTACCAGCTTGAGTTTGACCAAACTGTGGGAGGCAGTGGAAGACAGGTGTGCCTGGTGTGCTCTGGTCCATGGGGTCACGAAGAGTCAGACACGACTAAATGACTAAACAACAACAACAACAAAAGGGATATATTAGGGTGTCACTTGTATTAGCTATGGCAAAGGTAGAAGGATTGATTCGGCTTGCATTTAAATTGTAGTTCGTTACACAGATTCTGCTGTGGGAAGAGACTTGACTTTAAACAATGTTGCTTTCTCTGATTCATTTGCAACATTGCTGCACTCGCTTCTCAAAGCAGGGCCAAAATAGATACAGTATTTAATTTCAGGCCATGCACAAATGGGACTTCACATTAACAATGTAGTCCCTGAGGACACAGTGAAACGCCAAAAACTGGGAACCAGTAGAAATATTTTGGAGGGGAAGGATCTCTCTCTTGGGATCTGAAGTAGGGTAGTTTCCACAGCACATGCCAATTGCCTTCATGTATTCTTCAACTTGATTATTTGTAGGTAAAGCAAATATTGCAAAAATGGCACCAGTTTCCTGTGCTCTCTCCCCTCCCAAGGAAATCAAACTTGGGCCATGCTGCCATCTCACTGCGAGGAGGAGTGAGCAACAACTGTTTCTTTGACCACCCCAAATTATACCTCTGTGCCAAATGCGGAGAGAAAAACAGATGAGATCACTTATTGTGAAAGAGCTAAAAGCTTGATTTGGAGTCTGTTTGGTGTTGCTGGTATGTTGATGATACTCAGCTCTTTTTCTCCTTTTCGGCACATTCAGAGGAAGATGTGGAAGTGCTGAATTGGTGCCTAGGTTCAGTTAGGGCCTGGATGAGGGCTAGTAAACTCATGTTCAATCCAGAAAAGATGGAGGTGTTGTCAGTGAATGATTTGTCTGATTGTTTCTGGACAGAGTTGCTCTCTGTCTCAGAGTCTTTCTGGACAGAGTTGCTCTCCCCTTGGTAGGCCAGACTTGCTGTTAGATCCAGTTTTTACCATAAAAGGCCCCAATGGCACCTGTAATATGAAGTACTATTCAGCAGCTGAGGCTGGTATTCCAGTTGTTGCCATCCCTCCTGGGCAGAGGTATCTTGTTGCTAATGGCAACAAGTGTTGCTCTTTTTGCAGCCCATGGGGCAGGGACATACTCTATTGCTCCTGGGGGACTTCAGGGGCTAGGATCTCAGTCCATTTTCTCAAAATACTTACCAAAGAGAGCGGGGTCCAACATGAAGCATAGTCTCAACAAGGCAAAGTGAGTAGCACAGAGTGCAAGCAGGGGAATCAGTAGCTAAAGACCTACATTATTTCCAGCAACCAGGAGACTGGACTTCATACAATGCATGAATATGTACTTTCAGTTTCAACACACCTTCTGCTTGGTTTCTGCTAGTAAAGCCAAAGGAGCAGACCAGATGTGCATGTGTTTAAGGAGCATAGGAGCATGTGAAGCAGATGCTTTCCCACTGAACTACAGCTGTTCCCCATCACCAAAGAGGTGAGGTAGCTCATATTTGTATAGCTCTGTGCTTGGAAGCCCATCAACAAAGGTATGAACAGAAAGAGCTCAGGGAAAGCAAAAGTTTGTTGTGCATACAGAGATCTATAATTCTAATATTCTATCCACAAAACATCACTTATTACAAACATTGCAAATAAATTTTATTCTAGCAAAGTTTTCCCATGAGTGAAAGAACAAGGGAGTCTGCACTGGCCTAACTTTCCTCAACTATTCTTGGGCATAAAGGTGGGGTATGTGGCTTGCAGTAGGTATGTGACTTGCAGAGCTCAAATATACTCGTATAGCAAGCTTTTCCAACCTGGTGCTCTCCAGACATTTTGGGGACTACAGCTGCTAGGAGATCCAGACAACACAAAATGTCAGGACAGCACCAGTTGTTGTTGTTGTTATTATTATTATTATTATTATTATTAATTTGTATACTGCCCTACATCTGAAGGCTGCAGGGTAGTTCCCAACATAGAAATGCAAAATGAAAACACAAAATACATAACAAAACAAAAACAAACCAATAACCTTCCTTCCTCATATAATTAGCATATATAAATCTGAAACAAATTTTATCCTTTTACTTGGGGGGTGAAGTTCCTATTTTTTGGAGCTTCTTTCAAGTAGCTACCCTGTTTATACCAGTTTGAGGAAGGCTACACTACAGGAGTCAAGTCTTGCTGACTACAACCCAGACCACCATCTTGGGGAAGCTGTTTAATCATATATACCTAAAATCAACTCCCTTCCCTGAAATTTCTAGTATCTTCTTAATATGTTATTTAACCAACTTTGAACCATCTAATACTTCTATACTACTATCATTACAGCCAACTTTATTTATACCTAATAGCTCCTGAAATTTCCTTATCAAATTGAATTCATTAGATTTATGATTATCTTTCCATTTTCTGGCATATAGCATCCTAACCATTATTAAATACACAGACACTGGGTCTGATGAATAGATTTTGTTTTTCCAATAATTGAACAGAAACAAGAGGCAATCTAAAAAGACTCCTGTTCTAAAACATTTCTCTAATAATATTGGCAGGCGGCAGCCGTGACCGATTGTTCCTTCATCTTAGTTCACTCCCACCACAAATAAATAAAAACCTCTTAGTCCTCAGGCTGGCCTGCTCCCATTCCTGCCTCATGATTTACAGGAATTCTCATTTTTTGGAGAATTAATCCTTAATTTTTAACTAACTACTGCCTGCAGCCAACCAATGAGATATAAATAAACCCCTTTTTCCCTCCCCCATGATCCACTCAGAAAGTAGATAAGGTATGTCACAACAGTTGGGCCATATCGCTTGAAGAATTCCCAACAGAGAAGGTAATTTCTTGAACTCTTTCTTTTCTACTTGAGAAGTACTTCTGTCCTCGGCCTTCCCCTCCTTTGACAGTTTTCTTATTTCACCACATCTTCTAATGATTTCCTCTCAAGCCAGGGAAACTAGGGAGCTGGAATTCCCCTGAAGTCCGTGAATCTAATGTTTTCTTTAGGCACGTGATCCGAGATTGCGAAAAATGGGAGAGAGGAGCCTGCAAGCAGCCAGAGAAGGGGGGCAAGGAGAGGAAGCAGCTGACTGGAGCAGATATTCTTCAGAAATTTCTCCAGTGAGGAGCTGTGTTAGTCCCATGCAGGGAGCAAGTGCATTCATCTTCTTTGGGGATTAAATTCAAGTGTCTTTCTTTGGCAGGATTTCTGCCACCATGAAGATCTGGCTGATCCTCCTAGGCCTGGCCGCAACTCTGATACCAAGCTTCTCACAGGTGAGTAGCAGAGGTGTAAGCAACACAGAAAGAGATTGGACTAGATGACATCTTAGGTTACCTTCCAGTCAGGGCCAGCCCTGCTCCCTAATATTAGGCAGAGTGGTTTGGAGTGCCATGAAAAGCAGGAGAGGGCTTATTTATTTAACAACTTATTAGTGCATTTTTGATGCCAGGAAAGGGAGGGCTCCTTGTGGGATGTTCTGCCTCAGGTGCCAAAACAACTTGCCCAGTCTTGGGTAGTTATTTATACAGCTTGACTTGGGGCGGAGAGGAGGCAACATTCGTTGTTCGGTTTCAAGCAGCCAAATATCTTCAGCTGGCCTTCTTTCCAGCTCTGCTGTTCTGTTATTACATACCCCTCCCCAGCTTCAGAAAGATCCCTACAAAAGACAACAGCAAGCCAGGAAGAGGCAATGGCTGTGTTATTTATTTTAATTGATTTATTTAATTTATATACCACCCTATTCCCGGAGGTCTCAGGGCAGTTCACTGAACAAAATCAAAATGTAAAACCACAAAATATATAATCAAAACAAAAACCACAGCCCAATAACCCCCCCCAAAACCCCCATGTTTTAAAAGGGTATAGAATGCCCACTCTGGGCTCTGATCCTGCCCACTGTCAGCTTCAGTCCTGTCCACCACGGACATGTAGAAACCCCAGACAGTTTACTCCCTGAGGAAATGTGGCCTTTGACAAAATATTGTCCACCCCTGTCCTAAATGATCCACAGCATGCTTATTTGAAAGTTCATTCCCCTCAAAGTGCAGAGGACTTGCTTTAGAGAGAATATGTTCAGGAAGAGGAGGGTAATGGGAAGTACTGTTAGTTCTCCTTTAGAAATCTAACATGCAGGACAAAGCTGCACCTTTGAAATGCACTCTGCCCGGCCCTTGCCTCCCCCACCTGCCTGGCCTGCACTACTTTGTTTTGGTTATAGTCCTTCTACTGGTTGCAGAGGGCTTCTGACCTGGACACATATCAGTCTCAAGGAGCGCTGGAGTCATGCCAAGATGCAGACTGGGAGATTCCTGGTTCACACCTTACCTAACATTACCACTGTTACTTCCTGGTTTTCAAGTTGCATTTGGAACAACTAACTCTCAAAACCTATAGCCTGTTGTGGGAATCTGTCGTTGCTACAGGTGTGTCCAGCAGGGCCCCAGGACAGTTTAGGGTCCACATTCAGACTGCAGTGCTGAACCATCTGCCAGCAGGCTCCTCCTTGTCCTGCTTATTTTAACACATGGGATGCTGAAGCCAATGAGAGCAGCAAAGCTATGGGAGTCTTTCAGTGGCTTCTGGAGAATCGGTGGTGCTCCCTGTTCCCAGAGTTTATGGCACCTTTATGCCTCTTGAAAGGGCCCTCTCCAAACTCTATGAAAATCAACATGCACATGCTCAGGTTTGGGGTTATTTTTAAAGCCATATTATTTTAAGGCTCCATTGACAACCTCAGTGCTGCAATGAGGAGGAACGTATGTGAAGGAAATACAAGGCAGCCTGGCTGGTGGAACACTGAGTGGACAGCACCTGCCTTCCCAAGATCCTTCTCCCATCCAAGTTTCTCCTTTCAAGTAGGAGGCAAGGAGAACTGGGCTCTGTTGCCTGGGCAGGAAAATAAGCCCAAGATTCAGATTCTGCTTTCTTTTGAGGCAGTGGGGAATGGAGGGCATTGAGGGTTAATTGGAGAGGGGCTCCTCTAGGGCAGATTTGGGGTCAGAAATTAATTGTAAATTAATCAACTGAAGGGTCATCAGGGTGGGTAATTGATGGTAAGTAAATTTACTGAAGGGGCATTGATTTGAATGGGAAGTTAGCTGACCTGCCTTCATTGGTGTGGGTGTTATGCTGAGGCAGGAAAATGTGTGGTCAGGGGAGTGTTTGGGTGCTCAGATCTCATTTTTTTGCATTGTAGTCTCTCGGGAAGGTTACTTGTCTCCAAGCACCATCAGTGCTTCTGCGACCTGGGTGTCCCCTTGCAGCAGAAAAATGTAGGATTCAAGTGTGGTTTGGTGTTTTGGGGTCTCTGACCCAACCTCTGCTTTGCACTCAGGTTCTTGGGCAGGCTAGTCTCTAAGCACCACCAGTTTGCCTTCTGTGAAATGGGTGCTTTTGGGTTGCAGTATCAGGGTCAAATATGTGGTTTGGTATTTAGGACTCAGATCTAACCTCTGCCTTGTATTTGCTTTGTGGTCTTGGACACTTGTCTCAATCTAGTCCAATGTGTTCTCTCTCTCTCTCTCTCTCTCTCTCTCTCTCTGTGTGTGTGTGTGTGTGTGTGTGTGTGTGTGTGTGGCTGTGGACAGTCAAAGCCGTATGGGAACCTTAAAAGTAGGACATGAGGACAGCAGTACTACTTCCTTGTTAATTCTCCTGCGTTTAGTATTGAAAGAGAGAGAGAAAGATTGGGAGGGGGGCATGTTATGATGTGGTATGAGCCGCATCTGTGTACATGAAAAAGAGAGGAAGGCTGTGTGTGTTGTCATCTCCTGGGCTTACCCCATCTCAGATAGCTGCATGCTTTCAATGACATCTTCTATACGTTTAATTCCTTCATCATATTTGTCGGGGTAGATAACAAGATCCGTCAGTGGGCCTGCCTACCTGTCCATCACCTGACATCACAAACTCCACTGCATCCAGGTCTTTTGCGTGGGGTTAACAGGTGACAATCCCCTTTTGGCCCAGCCATGTCTTTACCTGCCCCGCATCCAACATCATATACGATGCTACATGTTTGGACTACTAGTCCAAATAAACACGTTTGAATTTTAGCTGCCAATCTCTGTTAAATTCAGTTGTGGGCAGCAGAATGGGATGGCGGCACTCACATGAGCTCCAGTCTCCCACATCACTGCTACATGCCAGAAGGGATAGTGGAAGGGGGCAGGTGGTGGCGAGGCTGGTATGGCACAGATGCAGTCCAGTGCTCCTAAGTGTGAGCTGAGGCATTGATCCAACAAGCTCAGTGTCTCCTCCTTCTTCCTTTTGAAGACTGGGGAAGGCCCAAACCTTAGCACGGACAACGACAGGCCTTTCTGCTCTGGGCAAACAAACAAGAACTTCTGTGAGTGGGCTGGGCTTGTGATATTTGTTCATGTTGGCGCCAGCACCTCTATGTCCTTGGTGCAGGAGTGCAGTTTCAGTATCTGACGTACTCTCAGGCATCTCCCCTGAGGAGTGTCTTTACAGACAGGAATGACGGGAAAAGCTGGCGGCAGCAGCTCTTTAGGAGGTGCCTGACTAGACGTATCCAATATCTCAGGGGGAGGACACCACTCCAACAACCACTTGAAACTTACCCAGGATCCAGCTCTTGACTCTCTTGGTCACTGTCCCCCGTGTGTCAGCCCTGCCACCTCTTGAGGCTCCAGTTTCACCTCCCTCACCCCACCTGAGCCCTTCCTCAAGTCACCCAGTTTCTCCCACCTTTTCAGTGCAATTATTTGTCCACCTGCTCTAGAACCCAACACAGTTTCTGATTAAAAGAATGAAGCACATTTGTTGGTCATGATAAACCAGAGAACAAAGACTTTCCTAATGGGGATTTATTTCTCTGTGACTTCTTGCAACAAGGAGGTGCCAGAAAAGAGCATAAGAGAAGCTGAGAATGACGGACCTGAGCTGACCCAGACCACAAACAATGGCGGATGGAATTGGCCCTGGAATATCTTTGGACAGGTGTGCTTGTTAATCTGAATTAGAATGGGAATTAGGTCCTTTATCCTTAACCCCTTGTTCCCAAGAGAACAAAGACTTTCCTAATGGGGATTTATTTCTCCTTGACTTCTTGGAACAAGGAGGTGCCAGAAAAGAGCATAAGAGAAGCTGAGAATGACGGACCTGAGCTGACCCAGACCACAAACAATGGCGGATGGAATTGGCCCTGGAATATCTTCGGACAGGTGTGCTTGTTAATCTGAATTAGAATGGGAATTAGGTCCTTTATCCTTAACCCCTTGTTCCCAAGAGAACAAAGACTTTCCTAATGGGGATTTATTTCTCCTTGACTTCTTGGAACAAGGAGGTGCCAGAAAAGAGCATAAGAGAAGCTGAGAATGACGGACCTGAGCCGACTCAGCCCACAAACAATGGCAGATGGAATTGGTTCAGGAATATCTTCAGACAGGTGTGCTTGTTAATCTGGAGTAGAATGGGAATTAGGTCCTTTATCCTTAACCCCTTGTTCCGAAGAGAACAAAGACTTTCCTAATGGGGATTTATTTCTCTGTGACTTCTTGCAACAAGGAGGTGCCAGAAAAGAGCATAAGAGAAGCTGAGAATGACGGACCTGAACCGACTCAGACCACAAACAATGGCGGATGGAATTGGCCCTGGAATATCTTCGGACAGGTGTGCTTGTTAATCTGGATTAGAATGGGAATTAGGAATTATAGATCATCTCCCAGAAAGCCTTAATCCTTGGGCATGTCCACCAAAGGTGAAAGAATGTACCTTCAGTTTCTTTACATTTCCAACATTTATTATCGGGCAAATGATAGATTTTTGCAAGCTTGACTGGTGTCATGTACCACCTGTATATCATTTTCATAATATTCTCTCTTAAGGCATTACATGCCGTAAACTTCATACCTGTGGTCCATAACTGTTCCCAGTCAGCCATCATTATGTTATGTCCAACATCTTGTGCCCATTTAATCATAGCAGATTTCACCGTTTCATCCTGAGTATTCCATTTCAACAGCAAGTTATACATCTTTGACAAAATCTTAGTTTTGGGTTCTAACAGTTCTGTTTCTAATTTTGATTTTTCCACCTGGAAGCCAATTTTCTTGTCCAAATTGTATGCCTCCATTATCTGATAATAATGAAGCCAATCTCGCACTTTGTTTTTAGTTTCTCAAAACACTGCAGTTTCAATCTATCTCCCTCTTGTTCCAGAATTTCCCAATATTTCGGCCATTTGGCCTCCATATTGAGCTTTTTCTGAGCTTTCGCTTCCATCGGTGACAGCCACCTTGGGGTTTTGTTTTCCAATAGGTCCTTATATCTTATCCAGACATTAAACAATGCTTTCCTGACAATATGATTTTTAAATGCTTTATGTGCTTTGACCTTATCATACCACAAATATGCATGCCATCCAAATACATTATTAAAACCTTCTAAATCCAAAATGTCTGTGTTTTCAAGAAGCAGCCATTCTTTCAGCCAGCAAAAGCTGCTGATTCATAATAAAGTTTAAGGTCTGGCAGGGCAAATCCACCTCTTTCCTTTACATCCATTAGTATTTTAAATTTTATTCTAGGCTTCTTGCCCTGCCAGACAAATCTAGAGATATCTCTCTGCCACTTCTTGAAGCAATCCATTTTGTCCAAAATTTGCAATGTTTGAAACAGAAACAACATTCTAGGCAATACATTCATTTTTATCGCAGCAATACGGCCTAGCAGTGAAAGCTTCAAATTTGACCAAATTTCTAAATCTTTTTTCACTTCAGCCCAGCATTTTTCATAATTGTCTTTAAATAGATTCCCATTTTTAGCTGTAATGTTAATCCCCAGGTATTTCACTTTCTTAACCACTGTTAAACCTGTCTCATTCTGAAACCTCTCTCTCTCTGTCACTGTTAAATTTTTCTCTAAGACCTTTGTTTTTAACTTATTCAGTTTAAATCCTGCAACCTGACCAAATTCTTGAATCAGTTCCAAAACCCTTTTAGTACTAGATTCTGGCTCCTGTAATGTCAATACTAAATCATCTGCAAATGCTCTCAATTTGTACTGTTTAGCTCCGACTTGTATACCTTTAACCAATTGGTCCCTTCTAATCATATTCAGCAGGACCTCCAGGACCGATATAAAAAGCAATGGGGAGATTGGGCAACCTTGTCGTGTCCCTTTTTCTATCTTAAATTCCTCCGTCACCACGTTATTTACAATTAATTTAGCCTTTTGTTCTGAATAAATTGCACTTATACCGTTTTCAAAGCCTTGGCCTACCCCCATCCCCTGTAGGTTCTTCTTCATGAAACTCCAAGAAATGTTGTCAAAAGCTTTCTACGCGTCCACAAATATCAAAATTGCCTTAGTGTTTATATTCACTTGTAATTTTTCTAAAATATTGATTATGTTTCTCACATTATCAGACAAATGTCTACCCGGGAGAAAGCCTGCTTGATCTTTATGTATCTCTTCCACTAGCACTCTTTTTAGTCTTTTAGCCAAAATGTCTGCAAAGATTTTATAATCCACATTGAGCAGTGATATGGGGCGGTAGTTCTTAAGCTGCGTCTTTTCAGTCTCTGTTTTCGGTACAAGTGTAATATACGCTTCTTTCCACGACTCTGGTGCCCTTTTCCCACCCATTATTTCGTTACAGACTTCCTTTAAAGGTTGTACTAACCATTCTTTTAAGGATCTGTAGTATCTAGAAGTCAGTCCATCCGGTCCTGGAGATTTACCTAGTTGCATATTCTGAATGGCACCTTCTACCTCCTGTTCAGTTATTTTATAGTTCAGCATTAATTTATTTTCTTGAGAGATTTTTTTGTAATCCATTTGTTTTCAAAAATCGGTCTACATCAATTTCTTTCTGTGGCCCTTGTGTATATAGTTGTTTAAAGTACCTCTGGAAACAATTTCTAATCTCAGCTGGGTTCTGTATATTCCTTCCTTCCACTTCTAAATTTGTAACAGTATTTAGTTTTTGTCTTTTTTTCATTTGCCAAGCCAACAATTTCCCACATTTATTTGCCGACTCAAATGTCTTTTGTCTCATTTGTTTAATTTTCCATTCTATCTCCTGATTCATCATTTTCATGTATTGTACTTGATGTAACTTTATTTCTCTCAAAATCTCTTGCGACTTTGGTTTTGCTCTCAATTTCTTTTCACTTTCCTTTATTTTCTCCAATATTTTATCCTTCTTCTCATTTTGGATTCTCTTCTTTAATGCATTCTGTTGTATCAAGAACCCTCTCATAACAGCTTTGCTTGCGTCCCAGATTACTCTTTTTTCAACATTGGTGTTCATATTTATCTCGAAATAGTCTCTCAAGGTTTTTGGGGCCTTCTTAATCACTTCTTCATCTCTAAATAAGGCGTCATTCATCCTCCATCTGAAGGAACCAGTTGGTGTTAGTTTCATCTCCATCTTCACAGCATTGTGGTCGGAGCAGGTTTTTGGGCAAATTTCCACTTTTCTTGTCTTTGGTGCCATTCCTCTAGTTACCCATATTTGGTCAATTCTTGTCCATGTCAGTTTGGCTTCAGAGAAGAAGGTTCCCTCTCTGGCCAAGGGATTCTTTGTTCTCCAAATATCAACTAAGTCCAAGTTGTCTGTCATCTCAAAAAAGGTTTTCGGTAGTCTGCCATCCTTAGTGACTACCTGTCTTTGTGCCTTGTCCATATGTGTAGATACCACTCCAGTCATATCTCCCATCAAAATCACATTATAGTCCAAATAGTCCATCAAGGTCTCATGCAACTTTTTAAAGAATTCAGATTTTCCCTCATTTGGTGCATAAACTCCTACTATTAAGAATTTCTCTCCTTGTATTTGAATTTCAATTGCCACAAACCTTCCTTGGTCATCTTTGAAGATAAATTTCGGTAATAGTCTCTCCTTTGCATAAATCACTACTCCTCTTTTTTTAACTTTATCTGAAGAAATAAACTCCTGGCCCAGTCTTTTATTGATCAGTACTTTCCTGTGTAGCCTTGTTACATGTGTTTCCTGTAAACAAATCAAGTCCAATTGTTCCTTTTTTAATAAATGAAACACAGTTTTCCTTTTCTGAGGGGAGTTGAGACCATTACAATTCCAACTTAATAGTTGCAGAGCCATGATGTAGTTACTTTACTTCTCCTCCAACTGCACCAAGTGCCTGTTCCTGCTCTGTCGGTGGTATCACCTTCTCCAGGCGGTCTTTTAAATCAAAAGGTAGTCTTGCTATGTCTAAAATTCCTCTTTCTAGTGTTCTTAACTCTTCTCCAACTTCTTTCTGCAGGTCTTCTCCGTGGTCTCTCAAAAATCTTTCTTTGTCGTCCACTGATCTTATTTTTATCTTTCTTCCTTTAAAGCTAAAGGAAAGGCCTTGGGGGAATTCCCACCTAAAGATAATTCTGTTGCTTCTCAGCAGGGCAACCAAATCTCTATAACTGGACCTAAGGTCCAAAAGATATTTCGGAATGTCCTTGAATATCTCCACTTTTGACTGATGTATTTCCAAGGTCTTCTGGAAGTGCAGACTCAAGATTTTGTCTCTCTCCTCTTTTGTTCGGAGGGTGATCAAACAGTCTCTCACCCTGTTCTTCTTCCCTCCTCTTCCAAGTCTGAAAGCACTCACTATCTTAAAGTTTTCCTTCTCCAAATCTGGGTTCCAGAAGTCTACAAATTCCTGCGTGAGAAAGTCAGTCAGGTTGTCTTTCTCAAGTTCAGGTACGGCCCTGATCCTCAAATTCGTTTGCTTCTCCTTCAATTCAATCATAGACAATATTGACCTGTGGTCATCAAGTTGCTTGTGTATCGGTGGTATCTTCTCTTCTACAGCAACTGCTATTTCCTTTGCTTCTTCAGCTGTCTTTCGGGTCAAAGTAGATTCATTCCAGAGGTCCATTCTTAACCTGAAACTGTTCTTAACCTGAGGTACCACTTTAGCTGGGACGCGGGTGGTGCTGTGGGTAAAACCTCAGCGCCTAGGGCTTGCCGATTGCATGGTCGGAGGTTTGAATCCCTGCGGCGGGGTGAGCTCCCGTCTTTCGGTCCCAGCTCCTGCCCACCTAGCAGTTCGAAAGCACCCCTAAGTGCAAGTAGATAAATAGGTACCGCTTTATAGCGGGAAGGTAAACGGCGTTTCCGTGTGCTGCGCTGGTGCTGGATCACCAGAGCAGCTTCATCATGCTGGCCACATGACCCGGAAGTGTCTCCGGACAGCGCTGGCCTCCGGCCTCTTAAGTGAGATGGGCGCACAACCCTAGAGTCGGACACGACTGGCCCGTATGGGCAGGGGTACCTTTACCTTTACCTTTACCACTTTAGCTAATGGGGCCTCCCACTGCCACTGCGCCACCGTTGTGCGATTTCTGTTCTCATCCTGAAGCAAAGTTCTTAACCCGAGGTACTATTTCTGGGTTAGTGGAGTCTGTAACCTGAAGCATCTGTAACCTGAAGCGTCTGTAACCCGAGGTACCACTGTATTCTGTTGGAAGCTGGCCAGAGTGGATGGGGCATCCCAGTCAGATAGGCAGGGTGTAAGTAATATTCAAGCTGGTGGCCATCACTGGCTCCTGGGTGTCATGAGCCCTGTGGAGATGTCATGGAAGGGATAGTCAGATCCTGAGGAGAGAGTGAGAGGTTGATGGCTCAGAGGAGGATCCTAGCAGGTTGGGGGAGGTGAAATTGGGCCTCCAAAAAATGTCTGAGCCAGAAGAGGGGGCCAGTGATCAAGAGAGTCAGGAGCTGGATCCTGGGAAGAGTCCAAGCAGGTTGACAGAGAGGTGTTACACCCCTGTGTTATCAGACACCTCTAGTCATGAACTCCCTAAAGTGTAGCCACCACCTCCTCCTCCTGTCAGTTAGAAAACTCTTCCTTCTGGGGAGGTCCTTACAGTAAGTTGGATACTGAGCCAGCACTGACTCCACCTCCATCTCCCAGCACATGGAGACACCAGTGCCAGCATGAACAAACCTCACAGGTCCAACTCACTTGGAGGAATTCCTATTTGCTTGCCTAGTCCTGAGATGTGTGTTGCTTTCCACCCTAAGGGCTATGCTTACCCTGTTTTCAAAAAGAAGATGGATGTGTGTGTGTCTCTTCTTGGATAATCTCAGCTCATTCTTAGCCATGTAATTCATCTGCTGTGTTTTTTTAAACTTTGCCTTCCTACCGCTCAGTTTTATGCATTCTGAGTCCAAGTTCAAGTTCATCATCCAGCAGTGAGGTCCAGGACACTGTAGGAGCAAATTCCGTAATGAAAAAGTACTTTCTTTTATCTGCCCTGAATCTGCCAACGTTCAGCTTGGCTATATGTCTATGAGTTCTAGTGTTACCAGAGAGGGAAAGAAATATTTCTCCATACCATGCATAATAATATTATAAACTTCTATCATGCTACCTCTTACTCACCTTTTCTCCAAACTAAAAAGTCCTGGAAGCTGCAATGTTTCTTCAGACTGGAGTCACTCCATCTCCTTGATCATTTCAGTTGCCCTTTTCTGAACCTTTTCCAAGTCAACAGTATCCTTTTCGAGGAGAGGGGACCAGAATGGTACATGGTATTCCAAATGAAGTCACACCACAGATTTCTATAATGACATTGTGCTATAAACATTTTTATTTTCATTTCATTTCCTAATGATCCCCAGCATGGAATTTCCCCCTTTTTCACAGCTGCCGAACTTTCGGCAGACATCTTCATCAAGCAATCCACTGCAACCTCAAGCACATTGTCCTTCCTTTCAGGGTCCTGAGGTTACGGAAGAGCCAACCCGGGCCACGAGAAGCAGCAACAACAAGGAAACTGGAACATGGCGCCGCTTCAGCAAGTTCTATAACGTTCAGGACTCTCAGGTGTGACTATTAATCCTACGAATATTTGGAAGTGGCCTTTTGCTGGGAATTACTTCTTTCGCCTTTGCTTCCTGTTTAGTTTAGATTTTAGTTGTTGTCTGAGAATGCTAATCGGGATTTTTTGTGTGTGTGTGTGCTTTGCATTAGAGATTTGTACCTTAGTTATTGAATTTTAACACTCAGCTTTCTAGTCTCTCTCAGCTGTACTCTTACATATCTTTTCAGTAATTAATCTAAATGCCATGAGCATGATTAAGGTACGTCTGGGGTAGCTCTGATATACAACTCCACCACCACAATCTCCAACAAAAGACAAGAGTGCCCTGGCTGCTAAAGCTGATCCAGATTCTATTTCTATTTGAATAAGAAGCACATTTATTAGTTGCAACACCCAAAAGAACATTGATTTATGGTCTAAGTATTGTTGTGAGTTGGGGTGTGTGTGTGTGTGTGTGTGTGTGTGTGTGTATGATGCCTTTAGTCCCTTCCAACTCCTGGGGTCCTGTATCCATTAAGGGTTAGCTCTGATATAATTATTATAATAATAATATTAATTTATTATTTATACCCGCCCATCTGGCTGGGCTTCCCCAGCCACTCTGGGCGGGTTCCAACCTAATATTAAAATACAGAAATACATCAAACATTAAAAGCTTCCCTAAACAGGGCTGCCTTCATATGTCTTCTAAAAGTTTGGTAGTTGTTTTTCTCTTTGACATCTGGTGGGAGGGCGTGCCACTACTGAGAAGGCCTTCTGCCTGGTTCCCTGTAACTTGACTTCTCGCAGCGAGGGAACCGCCAGAAGGCCCTCGGCACTGGACCTCAGTGTCCGGGATGAATGATGAGGATGGAGACACTCCTTCAGGTATACAGGACCAAGGCCATTTAGGGCTTTAAAGGTCAGCACCAACACTTTGAATTGTGCTCAGAAACGTTCTGGGAGCCAATGCAGATCTCTCAGGAGTGGTGTTATGTGGTCCCAGCAGCCACTCCCAGTCCCCAGTCTAGCTGCCGCATTCTGGATTAATTGCAGTTTCCGGGTCACCTTCAAAGGTAGCCCCATGTAGAGCGCATTGCAGTAGTCCAAGCTGTTCTGTTCTAACTAGCCAACTGTAACATAATGGCCTTAGCTTAAGTACACTCATTAGTATTACCAAAGAAGCTGCTCACTGCCTAGGGCAAATGGATGGGCCTTTCCCTTTCCACCTGGCTGGTGGTTAGAAGAACAATGCAAGAGTAGTTGTGTGAGAGCTGAGCAAGAAGGTAGAGAGACAGAGACATGTTTCAGATACATGTTTGCTTGGTGCTGGGCTCTGGGGCTCACCTGGGAACCTAATGAGGAAGCAAGATCAGTTAGGGAGTTAATGCTGTGAGCCCCTCCCCCTGCCCCATCTTCGGCTCTGCTGGCCTTCAATCCAAGGAAACCAAAACCTGGGCAAGCACCCACCCTGGAATGCCTAGAATTGCCCTCTGCTCGGAGATTGAGATAGCATGTAACAGTACAATAGTGATTTTGAACACGTTTTGTATAGTGTCGAACTAAGCTACACAGCTGTGGGCAGCGTGTGGCAGCTCCATCAACCCTGGTGCCTGCCAGTAAAAGCAACCTTAGAGGGTGGAACTAGGGGGATGCCAGCAGGTTCCAAGAACCCTCTTTTTGGGGAGATTTTGGGGGTGATTTGTGAGTTTGTTTGGGCCCTGGGTGAGAGTGAGGGTGGATGGGGGGAGTCCTGGGTAAGAGTCAGGAAGCTGAGAGGTGCTGTGTGGGGAGCTGTGTCGAAACAAGGGAAGAATAGATTTATTAGTAATTTGTATTAATATTGCATTGTGTATTTTTGTCACATTTGTTGTTGTTTTAGCTTCCTGTATACCTCTTAGACATATTTTTATATATCAAGCAGTATTTGAAATGGCATTTTTAATCATCATCTATTATGGTATATTGCTAACACTATCTGACAGGGGATTCCAGTTGAAAATGAAGATAATGCTACAGTGACGCTGGAAGAAGGAGGCGAGAGAGAAAACGAAGGGAGCCATGAGCAAAAGGAAGCTACTCATTTGGAAGTTGCATCTAACAAAAGAGATGGGGAAGCAGAGGGCAATGAATGTAAACAGTCAAGAGTCTCTGAGGTTGGTGTCAAGGAATGTCTGGATGACCCAGAGATGCCTGCTGGGACCACAAACACAACAGAGCCAGCCACAAGAATACCAACAACAGCAGAGGCAACGGCAAGTACCCCTTGCACATCCAAACAGTGCCAGCCACGCATTAATCCATGGGCCACGTGCGCTCGTGCCACTACAGAGGATGAAAAGAAGTTGTTTGAGGCTCTAACTGAATTTTCTGTGGAGTTCTATAAAGCAGCAATCCTACATGAGAAGCCTGGCTCTAACTTGATCTTTTCACCCTTCAGTGTCGCAGTGATGCTCTCCAACCTATTGTTGGGTAAGGCCATACCTACTTTCAGGTGTGCACATCATCACTTCAGGCTTAAGACCTCTGCATCTGAAATAATCTCTATGTAGAAAAACGGGCATATATCAAGATGTACAAAGTACAGCATGATTGCTCCTCTGGCAATGAGCAACTGCAGCACATGCCAGCCACGTGATTTAATGTTATTATTATTTCCCTAAATGGTGTTCCCAGAGCTTCAGCATGTCCTTTCCTTTTAAGCTTCACCTGGTGGATCTCCAGCCCCTCATATATTATCATTTATTCAATTTATTTTTTCCCCTTTCCTCCTTACCTGCTCCATCACTCAAACCAAAAGTGCCAGCGTGTATTACAAAAAGCAACAATGAATGCCTTAGCTCAGCACAGCTTGGCAAATGCTTCCTTGGGTCAGTGACAGGTCAGGGCTAGAGGGGACATAACCAATGGTCAGCACCCCACTTTCCCTTGAGTCACCCTGCTCTCTTCCTGGTCCTGTTGGTGTTGTGGGGCGGGTTGTCACTCACTTCTTAATAAATTCCTCACCAAACTAAGGGAAGCCATGGCCTATGCAATGACAGATATCTGCTCCTCACAACCCTGACTTTGCCATCCAGGCACCTGCAATCAAACCAAGGACCGTCTTGAGAGGCTGCTCTTTTATCCTGAAGGATTCACATGTGTCCATAGAGCACTAGAGAGTCTCCAGAAATCAGAGGCCTTGACCTCCGCCAATGCAATGTTTTTCCAACCAGGTGAGTAAACTACCAGATTCAAGATTCCCATACACCGTCTTTTCCCATGCACCATCTTCTCTCAGGTAAGATCTTATTCACACTGACAGATGTGTGTCTCAAAACAGAAAACATCTGTGGAAATTGGTTTTATAGCTGTGGAACATAGCTGAAATGTTCTCCATATTCTCCATTTATGGATTATAGCTGAATTAAAGGGATGTGGGTGGTGCTGTGGTCTAAACCACTGAGCCTCTTTGACTTGCTGATCAGAAGGTTGATGGTTTGAATCCGCTCGACAGTGGTTAGCTCCTGTTGCTCTGTCCCAGCTTCTGCCAACCTAGCAGTTCGAAAGCACACCAGTGCAAATAGATAAATAGGTACCGCTGCAGCAGGAAGGTAAATGGCATTTCCATGGGCTCTGGCACTCGTCACAGTGTCCTGTTGTGCCGGAAGTGGTTTAGTCATGCTGGCCACATGACCTGGAAACGCCACCTCCCTCAGCCTGAAAAGAGAGATGAGTGCCACATCCCATAGTTGCCTTTGACTGGGCTTAACTGTCCAGGGGTCCTTTAACCGTATTTTTAACAGCTGAATTCCCCAAACTGTTTACATCAGATATTCAATCTCTTGTGGTTACCAGTCTCTGGGCTAAAGCATCCCCCTACTGCAGTGCTAATAAGCTTGATTTAAGTCTGTCCTGATGCACACCTCAACCCTGCAATATGAAGTATGGCGGTAGAGCAGAAATAATGAACATTCATGAGACCAGGAGGTTGTAATAGATGGATCTGTGAGCAGGATCCTAGTTAATACCTGCTGCTCTTGACCAGATTTTAGCTACAGGAAATTATATGGCTAGCCAATTCCTATGTAACACCCCCACTCACACGAACCTTTAAAAAAAATCCATGAGCATAGAACTTCATATTTAAATTAGTTATGGTTTTGAACTACCAATTTATGCCTTTTAAATGTATGGCTGACTGACCTGTGAAAACATGGTGGGAACATGTTCAGGAGGGGCATGTGTGGCAGGGCAAAGCTGCTCTCCTGGCACTGGCATCGCTACCAGGGCCATCTTACCCATAAGTGCTAGGAGTGCGGGGCACCCGGGTGCTGGGCTCTCAGGGGCACCAGGTCGAGAGTCTGGGGCCCGAGAGTCGAGTCCAGGGAAGAGTCCACCCATCGGTCGGAGCACTGTGACGGGATCTTCTGCTGTGGGCAGCTTTCCACCCCAACCCTCCTGCCCAGCGTCTGACGGCAGAGTTGTCATCAAAGTCTTAAGGTGCCACAGGACCAAAGTGAGCGGGCGCTCCGGGTCCCCGGACAGGCTTTCGCAGGCCGTGCGCAGAGGCTTGCCACTTGGGTGCCCAGTGGCCACCAGCCTTAACTTTCCTCCTTCCCTTTCTCTGCCTCCCAAATTTTAGACGCCTTGCTGGAGACGGAGGGCAACATGTGAGCAGGGAGGGCAATGCAGGCGACAAAGAAATCGAGTCGGCGGAGTCCCTGGCCATTTCATTTGATTTGTAACCCCCTCCCTGTCACCAATACCCGGCATCCAACCAAGATCTGGCCGCAGCAGCTCCGTCCAGAAGGCAAGGGGGGCGCCGGGTGGATTTTTGCACCCCAGCGCTGCATATGCTTAAGACAGCCCTGATCGCTACTTAGCAGGGTGAGGTTGGGTGAGGTAGGGTAGCAAGATTGGGGCAGCACATGTGCACCAGCATGACCATTGGAGGTTGTGACAATGCAGTTGCAACAGTGAGACCACCCTTGACCCCACTACTGCCTTGCACCCAAACCCCATCCAGATAAGCAGCAACAGCAATGCCAGGAAGGCAGCTCTGCAAAATCACCATACCTGCCGCTACTGAAAATGTTCATGTGTTCCACAGCCATGAGAGCCAGCTCTGTAAATACCTGGCATTTAGCATGTGTTAAGAAGTCCTCTCAAGATAATCCACAAGAGCAAGAAGTATGTCTTAAGGGAGTATTTTTCTGTCTCTGGTTTTTTTTTCATGAGCAGCTCTCCCCTTGGAAAATGATTTCCGCAACCTGACAAGGATGTTCTACAAAACCAAACTGGCTCACCTTACTAATAACAGCAACCAGGATGTGGCGGACATCAACGGTTGGGTGAGCCAAAGTACCAACAAGAAGATCAAGAAGATTGTGAATGAGCTGGATTCTGATGCCAAGATGATACTCCTTAATGCTGTCTACTTCTACTGTAAGTAGGAAGGTTCTAGGGCCTTCTGTCCCCCAACGTCTGATCCAGAGAGACTGCTCACTCCAAGCCAGTTTGGCTTCCCTACCCTTTGGCACTCAACTCCTGAAACACTGGTCCCCAGGCAGATTCCAGTTAGCCCCCTTTCCCCACACCATGGCATGTCTCGAGGTTCCACCATTATTGAGCTTTTATATCACTTTAAATTTCAAGAGACCTACCATCGGTTGACTTGTCTCAACAAAAGTCGATATATGATATAGAAATACAAAGCCCACGCCCAATACAAGTGTGACTGATGGGAAAGATGAGGGGCTACATATAGCCCCCATCTTCTATGATTCTTAACTGCACAGGGAGCCTGCACTGGTAGAGTGGTCTCCCCACAAGTGGAAGGCAATGAAGCCAGCAACAGGAATATGATGGTTGATGCAGGGCAAATGACTTATCCGCCCTTATCCCACACAATAGTTGGCCTTTCACAAAGGATGTAGACATGCTGGGCTCTTGACACTCCTGCAGCCAGAATCCTCACTGTACTAGCTGGAGAGAGGAATATATATATATATATATATATATATATATATATATGGGGGGAGAGTAGTGTAGATCCTCCCTGCTCTGTAACAATTAGTAACAATGGTGCTTGGAGAGCACAGATTCATTCTGGAAGCAGCCAGTATTTGGCTGGGACAGGCAAGCTGTGACTCTAGGGACAAAACTGTGCTTCATCAATGCCAGGTTGTGAAACGTATAAAGAGGAGTGAGTAGGAAAGTTCAGGGACTTTCTTTAGCATTACCCTTACAGGTACAAGTTTAGATTGTGGGTCAATTAAATATGAGGTATGGTGTCTTTTTCTTTCAGTCTTCAAAAATGCATAACTTACTCTGCAACCTGATGATAGGGTGGATTCTCATGGTACTAGACATGTGGTCATCCAACAAAATTTCTTAGCAGGAGACTCGGGAAAGACAAAAGGATGTAGTTCTTCATACAGCACATAGTTAAACTGTGGAACCCACTGCCACAAGACATGGGGATGGAATATTTGTGTTTTTGTAGTTTTAACTGTAAACCTCAGTATGGGAAAAAGTAGCATATAAATGGTGCTGGTGGTGGTGATAGCCACTAGGCATAATGCCTTTATGTTGTGCTTGTGAGGCTTCCTGGAGGCCTGTGGTTGGCCAATGTGGAATGTGTACTTTTTAGTTGGATTTGAGCAGAGCTCTTCTGGTGTTTATGCCTCAATAAACTGATCCAAGCTCTTCATCTTTTCAGCCAAGTGGAAGGAAATGTTTGTAGAGAAAGACACAAAGAAGGCAAAATTCTACCGCCCAGGCTTAGCTCCCATCAATGTTCAAATGATGATGAGTAAGAAATACCCAATGGCCTCCTTCATTGACCACAGCCTGCAGGCTAAGGTAATGCCTATGAGGATTGGGAGAGGCTTACATTTTCAATTTCTAAGACCTGGTTCATACACTCTAGTAAGGATGGCTTGCAACAAAGAAAGCAATATATTAAAAAATTAATTATTAATGCAATGAACATACCTATAGAAGCAAAAACTAGTATCAGCTTGGCTTAATGTTTAGCACTCCCATCCAAGAACCTTGGGAATTGCAGTTCTGAGGTGGTAAGAATTGCTTTTGTTCCTAGCAAAACTACAGTTTCCAGGTTTCTTAAACTGGTTTCACACTTGCTGAAACTTGCAGTGCAGGAATGATCTTATACCCTCAGCTCCTAAGGCATTCCTGTTCTTTGGTGGCCCCACCAGCTTGACTAACTTGTGCCTGTCTTGGGTTTCTCCTTGAACAGTTGCTCCTGCTATTGAACTGGGTCACATCTGTAAAGACTTAGGCTAGTTTGGTTTGTCAATTGCTTCTCACAGCTGGTGGAAGTCCCATAGCAATTTGTAGAACAGAAAATAAAACACAAAAATACAGTTCAATCAAATAAGAATTAAAACAATACAGAACAAATATATTGCAGTCATCCAAAAAGTAACCAAAATACAAAACATGCACCCCATATCCAACAGGAGAATCAACACCAAACAGGCTTAGTGTTCCTTATGTAAATAACCATTTTATGATGTGTGTGTGTGTGTGTGTGTGTGTGTGTGTGTGTGTGTTAACTTTACTCTGCTGAGCCCACACAAAACCCTTTCTTCTTTTCCAAATATAAAAGGGAGAGGGGGGAGGAGGATGAAAAATGGAAAGCAGCAAATTAGAGCTATACCATACTGGTCTGAATATAAGCCACAGTTCCTCCCCAATTCTGGTTTGTATAAAACCTAAGTGTGGGATAGCAAGTCTAATATAAGCAACATGCTTAAGTCTAATTAATGCATGAAAGGTTTAATGCCATGGTGGAAGCAGTCCTACCAGGTTTCTTCTAGGTCATTTCCCCTTGCCTTGGGAGGAAATAGGTAAGCAAGTCTATTGTCTCCACCACATGTGAAGAGGTTTGAGCTGCTTGCTCCAGCTTAGCTGCATGGCTCTCACCAGCCAAGCCACTCTTGAGTTTCTATACCAATAATTTAGGAACTTTCACCACTGTGTAACTAAGCTAAGCTTTACTGCCTGTGCGACTTTTCTGAAGCTCATGAATCTGACCTTTGGAGAGTTTGTAAGTAAAGAATTTTTTTTACCTTGCCAAACATGTGGTCTTTTCCTCTGCTGGGGGAAAAGGGGAACTTTGGGAAGAAACTTTTAAGAGTACATTTTGGAACTCATTTGGAGGGGCATATTTTAAAGGTCCAGCAGCCTATATTCCCATGCTTTATTTTGCTTCATATTTTGTGATTTTAAATATCTGTGGGCGAGTTGCCCCAAACCTGGATCTTGGGTCCATGGGGTCACGAAGAGTCAGACACAACTAAATGACTAAACAGCAACAACAACCATATACCATATATATATATATGTATATGGAAACCACATAGATGGCTTACTCTCCAGGTGGTGCAATGGGTCAGTGCATCTGGCTGTTAACTTCAGCCATTTTTGTAAAAGGATCTCACAATCTTCTCAACAAGTGGTGCTGGTTGCCCAGTGAGTTGTTCATTGTGAGACGTTTTCAGAAGCTGCATCTGGTTTTGTGTGGGTTTTTTTAGATTGTAAAAAGCACTGGACCATATCAGATACTTACAGTATGTAGATATAGTTTCAAATAGATCTCGTTTGAACAGTGTGGGGAATCTTGTGTTTCGACCAATAAATCTTTGGAAAAATGGGGTGCTCCTCTATAGCAGGGTGCATGAGAATATGGGAGAAAGGCAGGAGACTGATGGTGTTTAATTTGCTAGGTTGGCCGACTGCAGCTGTCTAACAACATGAGCCTGGTCATCATCATGCCCCGCTCCATAACTCAAAATCTCACCGAGGTGGAGGAGCGCCTCAGTGCAGTTGTCTTCAAGTCAGTGATGACCAAGCTGGAGAGCACCCATTTCAAGCCTACCGTGGTGTACCTACCCAGATTCAAGGCGGACACTTCCCAGAACCTCATGAACATACTTGGGGAGATGGGTAAGAAAAATAAAGCTGGAGAGAGGAGAAATGAGCTAAAGGCAAAGAAGCATTGCTCCTTTTCAGCATGAAGGATATGTTGTGTCAGTGATAGAAAGAAACGCTAACCCCCACACTCCACCACCCTGTCACCAGTATATTTAATTGACTCAAGCCCATGAAGAAGCCGATTTCACACCATTGTTCACAGAGCAGGACTGGCTGCATGGCTTTAAGTGTCCTCAACTGCAGAGAGATAGTGCTTCTACTCCACTCCTCCCCAAACTAGATTTCTTGGGACAAGAAAAACAGATGGAAGCAGCACTGGGAAAACATGGGTGGTGGTTTACAGGACAATAACCATGTCATGTGAGCCCTCCATTAAACATGAGTTCATAGGGCATAGTTATTGCACAATAAATGCCTCAGCTGGAAGCCACCAACCTCACTGTATTCCAGTATTAATAGTATTGTCCTTCTGTCATTTCTTCTCCCCACAGGCCTGATTTACTACCATTTATTTGCTGTAAAAGAATTGCCGTGCCAACCTATCCGGTGTGGCTAAGCAAAGCACGATGCCTTTTAAAGATTCTTGTGTCTGCTTCTAGATTAGCCAACATCTTTTCCTCTTGGGGTGTTCTGTGTTTGTTTGTGTGTGTGAAATAGTGCTGTGGTGCTAATAAAGAAATAAGAGGGGAAAATAATAATTGAAGGAATCCAATTCGCTCTCGCTCTTGCTCTCTCTCACGCGTGCACACACACACACACACACACACACACACACAGAATGTGGCTAATTCAGAAGACATGCACCACTAATTCCCTACCGATGCTAAAACAAAAAGAAATAAATTGGGCTAAACCTTAAAAAGGGAAGCTTTTAATTAATGTTGCTGGGGACTTTTGCTGACCGGGAAATACTTCTAAGTCAACATGATAAGAAGATCTTTTCCTTAGGGAAGGGCACTGCTGGTTAATATAACACTATTGAATGCTATGTTGTACCTCCATTTTAATTCTACCTCTAGCTAATTGTGGGGAAAGCATTGCCTTGGAAGTACTACAATGTTTGCAGGCATGTACAGGGATCTCTTCCCCCGTAGCTCTGCTTTGAAGCCCATTTCCAGCCAAAGGAGAAGAGAGTTCAGGTTTCATCCGATATTATCTTTATGCATTTAATCCAACCTTCTCTTTCAGATTTTGGCTTTTTCTATGATGCCGATCTGTGTGAGATCTCCACGGATAAAGAACTGGCCGTGTCCAGTGCTCACCACAGGGCTGTGCTGGAAATCAGCGAGGAAGGAGTGGAAGCGGCGGCTGCCACAGTTGTCTCCCTGGCACGCACAGCCAATATCTTTGAAGTGTCTCAGCCCTTCCTTGTTGCAGTGATGAGGGATAATGGGTTCCCAGTCTTCATGGGGCGCATCAACAACCCACAGGCAGCATAACATTCTCCTCCTTGCTCCTGTCAGCTTCTGCCAGACACCCACAGGATTGCCCCTAGTTCAGCCTTCACTGTTTAGACATGAAGCCTTGTGCAAGTGGCTGTAACATGTTCCTTTGGTATTTCCTCCCATTTTATTCTTTTGCATTATAATTTTATCCTCCCATTCCTATGCCTTTTTTAAAAAAAAGCTGGTTTCCCTCCATCTTGTCATTTTTCTGTGATTTTTTTTTTTTTTTGGTCCTTCCTTTGCATCACTGAACAATTCATCTGTTCCCATTTATGTAGCATGCTGGAAAATAGGTCTCCTCTGTCAAGAGGTCCTCCTTCTCCTTCTCCTCCTTTTCCCCATGTAACCACTGCAACAAACCATTCAGCCTCTTCCATTTCGCCTTCATAAGGAATAAAGCGAAACTATATTGGCTCACGGGACTGTGTTACTGCCATGTCTGAGGCAGAAGTGTGCCTGTGTTGTGTTGCTTTAGGCTGCAAGTGGCGGCTCAGCCAATTAAATGATTCTCCAGCCCAAGGAAGGGAACCTACCACCGCTAGCTACATGCCCTCAGCAGATTGTGTCATGGCTTGCATGCCCCTAATGGGCAGAGTTGGAGCAAAAAAGGACCACCCAGAGCCAAAAACAGGGGGGGGGAGCCCCTTACGCTTTCCCTTGCTTCAGGAGATAAGAATGTCAGGAGTCGGAGCACACTTACGGGATGAACCAGAGACTAAGGTCCAAGGTCCACAGTCTAAGGTCAAGAGCACTGCCAGGTCTTGTACCCTCATGTGCCTGTGGTCCTTCAGGCTTGGAAGTGGCTCAGCTATCAGTCTATCAGATATGGTGGCAGCTGGAATGCTGTAAGGCTTGACTGGCCTGGTTTGGCCTTGCTGCTACCTAACTCCACCTCTTGCTCCATATAGTTCCCTTCCACGAGTGTTATTTCCTCCTCTGATGAGGACTCCTGGAGTGGAGAGCATGACTAGTGAGCCACTTGCTCTAGTAAGGGTTGTGAAAATACAGGGAGGCTTCTTTAGCCTATCTTTCCTTGGCCATCCCTTGTTAATGATGCTAATTGAGAAAGCTTCCCACATCCCCTAATTCATCTCAGAATTAGATGAGTTGTCGTTGGCATCCGTCTATCTCAAGAGAAAATGGAGTGTGCCTCCAACGGCGAGGTCAAACCGCTATGTTAGCAGCACCAAAGTGACCTCCGCAAAAGGCAAGCCTGGGCAGTGTATATGGGGGGCCCTGGCTGCCCAGACAACAAGCCCTGCCCCCTTGGCCTTACTGATGTGATCCAAAGGAAAGGCGAGCAATACGTTTGGCACCAGTTTGGCTGCAGGAGTTGCTGGAAAGAAGTGTACAAGGCACCATCCAACCATCTTAGGGACTCTGCTCCTGATTTGTGTAGGCTTTACTCCTTAGCCTTTTCTTCTCCTGAAGACATCCCGCAAGGTAGCTGAGGTTGAGGATCAGAGTTTTCCTTCTCCTAGATGGGCTGGCTACCTGACCTGACCCTCACTTCAAAAAACCTGCCTTCTTGACTGTTGAACCTGCTATGGGTCTCATCTGCTCAATCTGCCTGGAGCTCGTCTTTGCATGCAGGGGAAGTCCCTAACTCACCAAGGGTTTGAAACCCATCAACTACCTTCATCTGGTTTAGCCGGCCAGTCAAAGGCATTCCCAGTGTGTGGCCGTTGTCACATGGTGACAGCTTCTAGGAGCCACAGGTGAGAGCTGAGTGCAGGGTGGAGACCAAAGGTAGACAAATGACCCCAGAATGAAGTGAGCACATATCATTTTCTAATGGAAAAAGTTATATTCCTGGAGTCAGTCACATAGAAAAGCATCTGAGTTTATTAAAAAATTTCAGACTCCGACATCACAGCTGGATATCTCTTTAAACATACTTCAGTTGATTGATTGATTGATTGATTTTTTAAAAAACTGATATTACACAATGTTCAACTTCATATTATATAAGATATTACAATAAAAATATAATACATTATTAATATTATTATTAATTTATTTTCATCATACATAAATAGGTTAGCCAGTTAGTAGCCAATAGGGCCATGCACCGGATTCATGAGGGTAACATAGCCAATTGCAGCATACTGTGGCCTTAATTAACCAATCATTTGTTGACACGTACCAAACATATAACGTCCTCATTGTCTATTGGCAGTAGAAGTTGGTGGCTCAAAATTGTTACATGAAATCTGTTAAGCAAATATGTGGCTTGAAATCGGTTACTTCAAATCCACTGCTTGAAATCTCCACCGCTTTTAACATTTAACATCTCAGCTTTATGACTAAGAAATTCTACTTTATTTTATTTATAAAAATATCTATAACTCATAAATATACATATATATATATATCTATAATAGTGTTGTGCAATATAATTATATGCCACCAGCTCATTAAAAAATCATAGTAGTATACAATCAAATCATTAAAGCATCATTAAATTGTAAGCTAAGAATATTAACAACAAATGACCAACAGTGAATCTAATTAACCCTCTGAAAATGCTTAGCAAAACAGCCACCCCAGCAGAGATGATGATATCTCCTGGGGTGCTATTTGCCAGTCCTCCACATTCCAAATAAATAAGTTTTTCTCAAGGAGAAACCCACCAAATAAGCAAAGGAAGAGGTGGGTTGCAAGATGAATATGCATGGCTAAGGCTTTAACTGCAACCTAAAAAATATATATTTCCAGAGTCGTTTTGCTATCGCCAATCAAAATGTCACAAAATTGTGAGCCAGTGTTTGATTCCACAATGAAACAGGAGGAGGGGGGAATGAGGAAAAAGCTGGCTTTGTATTGAAGCTGTAACATCTGGTCAAAAATTCATGTTGGTTCTTTAGGGAGTTCTATAGGGAGTGACCATGAAGACTGACTGTGCTTCAGAAGGTACCACTAAACTACTGTTGGGTACTGATGACCTTTGGGTATGTGCGTATGTGGACTCTCCTTGCAGGCTATAGATATTGGGGCTGCAATGATGAGTTTCTGCACTTCAAGATGCATGACTGCACCGCTGCCTCCCATACACAGACACGCACTTTGAGACCCAGTTTTGTATAGAGTAGTGCTTGTACACAGAACGTCTCCTGCACACACACGTAGGCACTTTCCCTCTTCTTGCGAAGAGCCTCACGGCATCACTACATCCCACCTTCTGAACGAAGGTCAAATCATACATATGGAGGCTGAGGCAATCATGATGTACCTACTCAGTCCATGGTTCGGAGTAGGCACATGAACGCGCACTTGTCATCTCAGCTGCAGGAAAATTTGAGGTGCTCCAAATACTCCAGCAGCTCCTGGGCGAGGCGGGTTCCTTTAGTGAGCTCGTCCCATTGATCAGTGAAAGTCCAGGAGATTCTGCAGGAATCAGCAGAACATGGGGCTGTGGGCAGCAGCTGGAAATAAAAAGCACAAATAACCTGAGTCAAATGTCAAAGCACAACCATACAAATGCAGCATGTTCAGCACATGCAATGGCACATGCAACTGAAGGAGGAGAGCATTCCACATCAGGAATGCCAACTAAAATAAATGGGGGGGTCCATGTAAGCCCTGCCCAGCATAATCGATCACAAGACACGGTGCGCCATTTGAATGGTAATGTTCATTAACTTTTTGGGGGAAACCCCTCAAATATTTTATTGGAGGGAGCGATGGGACCTCGGCCGCTAGGAGTTGGCTCCTATGCTCCACATATGGGACTGTTGGGTCTCGCAATCAGATTAATGGTCTCATAAACCACATGATTCTTTTTTAAAAATATATATATCAAAAATCTGAATATTGAAGATTTCCATTATGTGCACCTGTAACATTTACAAGTTTAAAGGATCACTTAGCACCCAAAAGTAGGTTTCTCTTTTCAGGACGACGGTAATGGGCAAATGGGGGGGTCCATCCTTTTTCAGGCAGAACTCTAGTCCAATTAACAGCTAAAAGGCAGAAATTCAGTAGGAATTTCCTCCATTACTTTGTATTCTTGCTGGGGAAAGATACTCCTGTCACATTTGCCAGGAAAAGGGGGGGGGAGTTGCAATACAACGGGGTGGCATTCCCAGTCCCACAGAGAAACATAGGAAGCCTGCCCAACTCTTGATCATCCGCATCTGTCTGTGGAGGAAACAGCCTGGACTGGGATGTTTAATGTAACTACAGGTTGTTATCCTGGGAGCATCACATAACAACTGTGGAATGCTTGTTTTACAAGCAAGCCCGGAAGGAGCGGCTCTTTTACCTTCATTTTCTTGACAGTGTTTTCCAGCTGGTTGAGGTACTTCTGGCAATATTCAGTTTGCCTATGGATGTTGGGTCTCAGTCTGCCAATTGGTCTGATGATGCCTGCATAATGCTGGAAGCACTTTGTGTACTGACACAGTCTCGTGTCAATGGTGCCCTGTCACACAAGAAAGATAAACACCTTTACTGAGTAGTCTATTTAAGCAGCTCTGTGTAAAACGTGCAAAGATGGCCAGACTGTATTTTGGAAATGTTATGTGCAGTATTCATGGTTTGTTAGAACTCTCAGATTCAGGACAGGGCTGAGATACCGTGCTGTTAACAGAGGTGTAGAAGACAGAGTTTTGGAAAGTACAGTCGTACCTTGGAAGTTGAAGGCAATCTGTTCCGGAAGTCCGTTCGACTTCCAAAAGGTTCAGAAACCAAAGCACGGCTTCCGATTGGCTGCAGGAAGCTCCTGAAGCCAATCAGAAGCCATGGAAGCCCCATAAGACATTTGGGTTCCAAAGAACATTCACAAACCAGGACACTCACTTCTGGGTTTGCGGTGTTCAGGAGCCAAAATGTCTGAGTACCAAGGCGTTCGGGTATGTTTTTTGCCTCCACAACAGGACAAAACATGCAACACCCATTCAGATTTTCTTTTCTATGAAACTACCAAATTCCTACCTCCTGTTGAAACTGGCGTCCCTAAAATTTGTCCTGAGCCCATCTAGTCCAGCATCCTGCTCTCACAGTGGCCAACTAGATGCCCGTGGGAAATGTACAAGCAGGCTCTGAGCGCAAGAACATTTTCCCTGGTATTCAGAACCATCGCTACCTCCAACTGAGGAGGCAGAGAAGAGCCATCATGGTTAGTAGCCACTGATAGCCTTAACCTCCATGAATCTGCCTTATCCTCTCTTAAAACCATCCAGATTGGGGGGCCATCACTGCCTCCCGGGTGAGGAAGTTCCAAAATTTAACTATATGCTTTATGAAGAATTACTTTATTTTATCTGTCCTAAATTTTCCAACATTCAGCTTATTTGGATGTCATGCATTCTAGTGCTATGAGAGAGGGAGGAAAACTTTCCTCCATCTGCTTTGAAATATATACAGTGGTACATACGCTTCAGGTTACATACGCTTCAGGTTACACACTCTGCTAACACAGAAATAGTGCTTCAGGTTAAGAACTTTGCTTCAGGATAAGAACAAAAATCGGGCTCCGGCGGCGCAGTGGCAGCAGGAGGCCCCATTAGCTAAAGTGGTGCTTCAGGTTAAGAACAGTTTCAGGTTAAGAACGGACCTCAGGAATGAATTAAGTACTTAACCCGAGGTACCATTGTACTGCTTTGCAAAAAATTGTATATTAGGCAAAGTTGTTTAAAAAGAAATTGCAAATTGATGTGGAAATGTGGAGAACTGAACATAACACTGAAATAATATAATGAAACAGTAGGAGAAACCAAAATTGTCAGATTTGCCCATTCCTGCCCTACACACAGATACTGGGCCCACTCTTCCTCTTGCCAAATGGCTCCTTACCAGGTCGGTGGGCTGGGCCACAATGCCATTGTTTCTCAGGAGGCATACAGGTCCTCTGAGCTCTCTGCCTCCATAACCATCATCCTGCAAATTTGAAAAACAAAACAAAACTTGGATTCCGGAACTGGCACGAACCAATTTTAATTGTGAAAAATAAGTTATATATTATTTGTCTTTCAAGCATTTGAAACTATTTCTACTTTTATGAAATTTGGTGTGCTTCCCCTCTTCTGCTGAAACAGCTGAAAGGTTTTATTGCAACTTAGTATTCCTATTTCCCCCCACACACAAACTTTAGTAAAATGTTGAGAGCCAGTGCAGTCCTGTCAGCAGAGTTGCCTGTGGCCTGGACTCAACAATTCACCTGTAGACTCAATAAGGGTGTTAAAGGAGTCACCATCCCACAAATGCAATAAGGGTGAAGGGACTTTACTTATATTTAGGATCTGATTCATCATCTCTAGTAGAGTCAAGAAGGAATGTTCACTAGGGTAGCAGAACTGCCATCCTTTGCAGCTTGTGGTTTGTGTTTTTCTTTTGAATCATCTGAAGTGGAGCTATTTGTTCTCCAAAATAACTCACTGTAGATTCTACAGATTGATAGGTTGGAGGTGGAAACAGATGGGAGTTGTGAAAGAGGACTGAACCCAATAACCTCTTGTTTCCTTCCAAGGCTATGAATTGTACGAGTGGGGAAATAATGGCCCATCACACAAGATTGTAGTGGGAAGGTCGAGGTACGAAGCTTAAAGGCTGTCAGTCCAATCCTGAACACATTCACTTGGAAGCAAGTCCCACATGCTTCAGATCACGCCTGACCTTCCATTGCTGATGTCCTAATGACTGCAGAATGTGAGAATAAGCAGGACTTTGTTTACTGGAAATCAGGGACAAGGGAGACCTACAACAAAATGTTGCTGTGTGACATGCTTCTGTTCAAGGTTCCAACCACTCCAAGCCATTCCTATTCCCACTAAGTATTTTGTACCCCCCCCAACTCAATAGCCAGGATTCCATACTAACTGAGCATGTTCAGTCCTCACTTAGCCATTTGGAGGAAGGTTAAACCCCCTTAATTTACTCCCCGAAATATTATTATTTTTACTTCTGCAAAACATGGGGCTGTTGATACCTCCCTCTTGTGCGTGGATGTTTTGGCTACTTATGCATGACGACTCAAAAACCTGAGATCATTCTTAGTATCTAGATGCTGCTGCTGCTGCTGCTGCTGAAATGTAGGACAAATTGGTACTGATCCTGCCCTGGAAGTCATGTGCACCACATAGGACACTGCCTGCTGCTCAAAAACACAGGAGTGCATGGCCAGCAGCATTAAGCCAACTAAACGTTAGATTGTACGTAATTTTAGTCAGCGATTCCAGTCGAACCAAAATATTTGGATCTATTTCAGCTGACACCCTAGCCCTCAACATTTGCCAACAATGCCAGTAACTCATGGCTGAGCTGGTCCAGTTTACCAAAGCACATTTCTTTGCTGGCCCCACAATTTTCAACATCTGGAATGGCTCTACTAAATTCTACTCTTAGCCGAGTGGAAGGAAAGGTCCTTTGGAGAGAGAAAGGAAAGAAGTGACACAGAAAGCAGGTGATTCATTCTCTCTCTCTTTTTTAAAATGATATTTATTGAGAATTTTAAGATTACAAAAAAAAAAGAAGAAAAGAAGGAAAAAAAACAGATAACAATTAAACAATACAAATCGATAAAATTCATTCTCGTACATACCACTAAGGTCTTGTAAAGATCCCTCAGGCATTTCTTCAAGCGACTGATAATGGAGATGGCATTGGGCAGCTCCTCTGCACATGTCGGTCCGGCCTCAGTGGGGCATCCCTGACTCAAACTGCAAAGCACAGTCATCAGTGACACCACCGATACAAATGTGTGCTGTCCTGTAATAAACATAAGGATTGCGTCATCAGACATTGAGACAAATTGTGCAGTGAAATGCTATTTCACACTTCTTCAAAAGGAAGTCACATGGCATTCACTGGAGTTTACTCTCAAGAGCGTATCCATAGGATGGGTGCTTTAATGGCCTTAATCTCCACACAAGAAGGCCAACATGGAATTGGTAAAGGTAGAATCCAAGGCAGGGGCGAACGAAGGCGTCGTGACACCTGGGGCGGGGGGCAAGCTACGTAGGGTGCATGTGTGGCATTGCTACTTACGATGCATGCATTGTAAGTAGTGAGGCTGCACATGAACTGTACATAGCGCTTTGCCAGCAGCACCATACAGACAGATTATCAAAACATCTTTTTTTTTAAAGGGGGGGGCTGTTTTGAATGAGAGAAGAATGCAGCTGTGAGAAGAAAAATTGATAAATATGTTGCCAGGCTGCACTTATGGGTTATTTCCTGCCATTTTCCCTCCAATCACCCAAAAGACACTCCCCCAGCACCCCTCACATGAGAAACCAAAGAGACAGATTCCTGGTAGCAACAGGTAAGGGTGGGTGTCACACACACACACACACACACACACACACACACACACCCGTCCTAGGAATGTAAGTCAGGTAATGTGGCTGCAACCTGCCATGCATCAAATGGGACCAGGCAGAGTAACAGAGTGACAACATTTCCCCTCCTGAGGGGTAGCTGTCACAAGACATGTGAAGCTACTTTGCTTATTTGTGCCCAGAAGCAGAGACAGTCAAGAGGGACTTTCCCCCTCCGCCAGGCAAGAAGGAACAGTGGAATTCCAGCACCAACTTTTACTAGGAGTAGCTAAGGCCAAATACCTTAGTGAGGTCAGAGCTGTGGTGAAGTTCAAGTCAAGGCTGCCTACCTTGTCACATGCAGTGTCACATGAAGTTTCCCGGCCGAATTCTCTGAATACTTGATCAATTGAGCTCCCCCTCATACCAACTCATGCCCCTTCGGCTCCCCTCAGTGTGGAGGAGGCTGAGCGCGGAGCCGAGTGTAGCACAGCTTTGGTGGCTGGCTCCTCCAGAGCGCTCGGCCTCCTCCAGATGATATGACATCGCACATGCATTGTATGCGGGATGTCACATGCATGCAAAGTGTGATACATGTGACATCACACACGAGTGTTGAACATGTGATGTCACATGCACACGGCATGCGCCGGGCCCCTCAATCTTGGGAGCAACTTGGCATCTCTGGGGCTGATCCAAGACATTTTGCTGCCTGAGGCAAAGGACAAGATGGTGCACACACAGACATACACTTCATGCACAGTAGCCAAATGGGCAGTCCGGTCCATGCGATGGTGTCCTCTACCTTAAGGAGTGCAGGACAGGCTGAGTGGCACACACAGCTTCAATCTCCAACACTTCACCACTGCCCCTTGACCCTCAGCACCTGCTGCCTGAGGTGGCCGCCTCATTCTGCCTCATGATAGGACTGGCCTGCATTTCCTTGGTATTCTAGGCAAACTATCGCCATGTACAAAAGGCTATGCACACACCATACATTTAAAGCACATTTATAGCATATTCTTCCCTCGCCCAAGATTCCTGAGAACTGTAGTTTCCCCCTGAGAGTTACAGTTCTCAGCACCATTAATAAATTACATCTTGAGGGGAGGGGTGAGCCACGTGCTTTAAAGATACGTTGTGTAAGCGACCATAAAACCCCCACAGCTCTCATCATTCTAGGGAGATGTGAGTGGGTCAGATCATCAGCTTACAAAACCACAAATGCAAGAAATGGGGTGGGGGATGCAGACCTGGGTTTTAAAACAGTAATGCACTTCATGTTTGGGCGGGGGACCCAAAACCGTAACGACACCCTAAATTACAAACCAAATTCCAACACCAAAATTCGCTAGAGCTGCTCAGTCCTGTCCCAACTCCAGAACTCCTGCTAGCAAAAATAATGTAGAAGCATGGGAGTCTTGCCAGGAGGAAAACAAAATCCTCACTTCTATTCCCCACCCCCACCCCAATGGCAGAGTTCCTCTGCTTTTACATTTCCACACCAAGGGAGCACCACCTGTTTAATTGCTGCTCGTCAGACAGTCACACAAGCCCTGCAACCATGCACATTTAAAGCTCATGGCTACCAAGCTACAATTCCCAGCACCCTTAACAAGCTACAGTTCCCAGGACTCCTTGGGGGGTGAGAGGAATGTGCTTTAAATGCTCAGCCTTCTGTTGCTGGAAGCCAGGGCTCCCCTGCTTAAAGCATGCACAGCCTTGTTGACATCCTAGCAGCCCTCAGGCATTCTCAACCTTTTTTTTGTTTTTGTTTTTTGTTTAACTCATCACAGTGGACAAAGCATGATAAACACCCTTGCCCCTTGTTTATACACAGGTCGACTATGCCCCAAAGGTTCAAAGAAAAATCTTGCACAGCAACAGAAGAATCCAGGAATCCAACAATGACATCTCACCTTGGGAGGTTTTTTTAAAAAATAAAAACATCTCTGCTTCTACTCGAGCACCCAAACAAGAATCCACATCACCAGTGCTGCCCAGTATGACAAATCACAGATGTGTTGGCAACTCTGCTCCCACCACTGAGAGAACTCAGCACTGGAAGAGTCACAAGCCACTGTACAACATTCCCTTGCTGGCTTTTCTCCAGGAAACATCCAGAACCTGCTCTACCTCCCATCTCCCCAAACACTTGCCTCAATATTGTCTCCCACTCATAACACACACACACACCACAGGCCAGCTTATTGAAGAAGACTTTCCCTCCACTAGCTCAGTCCAGATAAACTTCTCAACCAATCAGCCCATCTCTCCACACAGTCTTCCAAGGAAACATGCGTGCAACAGAGTGCCCTCCAGCAGCCTCTACTACTTACGCTGCCTCATCCTGCTTCAAGTTAGATGCCTTTCCACTCCTTAATTGTCCCTCTACCTACTGCTTTCCCCGGGTCCTTATATCTCACCTGTTTACTGCTGATCACACCCCTAGTCTGACATCACTTCTAGAGAAAAGCAGGCTGTGAAATTCTGTGAATGAACAGGATGTGGGTAACGTAATTCAGCTGTGTAGAATGAACTCATTGGACACTTCTGAGCAGGGCAGGGCAGGGCAATCTATGGAGGTGTCCTGCGTGAGAAGCTGGGTCTGGTGGCAAGGATCATAGAGTCTGGAATCATAGAATTGTAGGGTTGGAAGGGACCCTGTGTGTCATCTAGTGCAACCCCCTGCAATGCAGGAATCCCAACGAAAGCATCCATGACAGGTGGCCAGCAAATTTCTGCTTTAAAACCTCCAAGGAAGGAGACTCCACCACCTCTGATGGGAGTCTGTTCCACTGTCAAACAACACTTCCTGTCATAAAGTTCTTCCTGATGTTTAGTTGGAATCTCCTTTCTTGTAGCTTGAATTGGTTCAGGTCCTAGCCTCCAGAGCAGGAGAAAATATACTTGTTCCATCTTCCATGCAATAGCCCTTTAGATATTTGAAGACGGCTATCACATCTCCCCTCAGTCTCCTCTTCTTCAGGCTAAACACACCCAACTCTCTCGACCATTCTTCATAAGGCTTGGTTTCCAGACCCTTTATCATCTTGGTCTCCCTTCTCTGCACATGTTCCAGCTTGTCAAAATCCTTCTTAAATTGTGGTGCCCAGAAATGGACACAGTATTGCAGGTGTGGTCTAACAAAGGCAGAATAGAGTGGTACTATTACTTCCGTTGATCAGAACACTATACTTCCCCAAAGGAGAAAGTGTGAGAGCCCCTAGCCTAGATCTGTTTCTGTTCAGTGAAAAAGGAAAAACCTCAATTGTCAAGTTTCAAAGTTAGGAGGGAACTCCTTGCTGCAACTGAATCCTACTTTGATTTGTTGTTTTCTTCAGGCAGTATTTAATCTCTCAACAGCTTTTTATGCAGAGGTGCTCAGTTCTATTTCTGCTGAATCAGATCATCCAACCCCCCTTTTCTCTTCTTTCTGTATATGTTTCTTTCTCTTCTGCCAATGCTTCTTAAAAGATCAATGTCATGATCACATTGATCCTAGAGGTCTTTGTTTTTTGTCAGTGATCTTGAATAATAATCTTCCAGCATCTTCAGATGACCCCCTATAATAGGTAGCAGCCATAATTTCAAGTGGAGGTATAACAACTCACACTGTCAGGAAACAATGTATGATATTAGAACTATATAACAGAATACTCATGTCCTGAGGAATCTTCACAATGCTATCCTCTGCATGTCTACTCAGAGGCAACTGCTGAGTTCAGTGGGCTTACTCAGTAAAGTAGGTATAGGATTACAGCCTCAGATATCCTTCTGGAAAAATGCACAATGTCTATCTAGGAGACATGTGTTTATTTTTGCAATCAATTACTGTGGCTGTGTACAAACCATGCCTTTAAAGCACATTCGAAATGGCACGCTTTCCCTCAAAGAATTGCGGTTTAGCCCTCGCGGAGTTACAATTTCCAGCAGCCTATAACAAACTACGTTGCCCAGAATTCTTAAAGGCATAATGCATATGCAGCATGGGTGAACGCATGGTGTAAATTAAATAGCAGTTTTTCTCTGCCTGAGCCTATTCCATCAACTCCTGGACAATGGTCAAGGATGATGGAAGTCGTAAGAGGGGCACAAATTCCATAGCCCTGATCTAGATTAGTGTTTCTCAGCTAGGAGCCAGATGGCCTTCTGGGGACCCCCAGGATATTCCAAGGGGGCCACAGGTGGAAATTGTATAAATGGGAGGGGGATGGCATGAGACTAGGGGGCCACAGAGGGAAGTGAGAAGTGAAGAAAACAGAGAAGTGACTGAGAAAAGAAAACAGAAAAGAAAAAGATAACAGAGAAGTGCAGAAAATGGAAAACAGAGAAGTGGAGTGAAAAGAGAAGTGACCGTGATTCCCAGTGGATGGATCGCCATGCGCACTCTGCAACAACGTTGCTTCCGCTTCCTTCTCCCTCCCACTTCTGCACTCCACCACTGTGCGCACCAAGCTGTCGGCAAGCTGTCTGGTAGGACGGGGGGGGGGAGCACAGGAAGGAAGCAAGGTCGGAAGGGGGACACAGTTGGAAAAAGGGTGGGAAACACTGATCTAGACAGCTCCAGCTTCCCTCCCACGTTGAGAAGAGCGAAGGAAAAGGAGCAAGTGAGACAGAACAGTTAGGGACACCCTGATCAATTTGAAACCACCGATCAAGCCTCTAGTATGATAATTGCCTTTATTGATCTTAGACTTGGCCCAATTCTGCCCTAGTTGCAACCCCCATCCCCTTGTCCTGGACTGTTATTGACTTTTTTTGCCTGGAGCAAAAAACCAAACTTGATATGGGGCGTGGGTGTTTCCTAAGAGAAGCTAACAGGGCTGCACCTGCTTTACTTTCTCCTCTCCTCTCATGGTTGGCCAAAGAGAAAAGTTCAAACAGTGTTACTAAGTGTGTAAGGGCTGCTCGTGCAATTGATCTTTTACACACACTCATGCACCCCTTCCGCACATTTGTCCTCCTGCACTGCTAAGAATTTGGGGACAAAGGCTGATGACAAGGGCTTGTAGCTCAAAAAATAAGGCAGAAGAGGCTGTGTGTGACCCACATGTAGTGTGACCACAACAATTTGCACTGGGGCAATCTGAAATTCTCTGCAAAAGCTGAAATAAGCAACCTGCTGCTGTTTAGATCCTGCAAGCTGAAGGACTAGAAACCTGTTGTTTTTCAAAGAAAAATGTAAGAAATACTGATAAAAAACCATAATGAGTTAAATTTAGTGCTAGTCATACTCAGAGAAGACCCATTTCAATTAATAGACATGGCTGATTTAGGTTCATTAACTTTAATGGGTCTACTCTTAGTAGAGGTAAATTGGAGACAAGCCACTGATGTTGTAATTGTGGAATATGCCTAGTCTTGAATGCCTCTCTTCTTCTCTTTCAGAGATGAAGGATAGGAATGCAAGTGTCAATCTTCACAACAAAAAGGGGTTTTCCAAGCCAAGGAAATTGCTCACACCAAGCTGGGAAATTTACAGAATGAACTGCTGAGATCCTGTATCCAGTTCTGACGTTTCCATTTTGAAAAGGTTGTTGAGAAACTGGAGAGGATGCATGAAAGTGTGGCAGATATTGTCTGGAAAACATAAAGCCAAAAAAGTTAATACAAACACATGTTCATATGCTAATATATATGGAATGTTGCTGGGTACTTTAAGGAAACAGGCACACACGAAACAGAAATTTGCATAAATCAGCTTTCCCCAGGATGCTTTAGACTGCAACTTCCATCCTTCTTGACCTTGGGCCATTCTGGCTGGGGCTGGTGCATTCCAGGTGTTGAACAGGTTGGCAGCTGCCAAGGGGCAGGCCCAGAGGGGTGAAAAAACAATGCCTCTCCACTCTGGCTCTGGGTGCCCATCCATCCACGTACCCCCTGGGGCCACTACTCCCCTGCTCTGGGAGGCCAGACAAAGGGACAGTGGGCACTGATATAAGGGCACAAAGGAGCCTAGGTATGCCTCTAATGCAGCCCATCATATCTGGAGAGCACCAGGTTGGGAAAAGCTAGTATCAGGGTACAGAATGTAAACTGTGATCCTCAGATGACGGGCTGTATAGAAATTTAAATAATAATAATAATAATAATAGAATGTCTCTGGGTGAAATGGAGAGGGTGAGTGACTAGGGCCTCATCATCACTGCACAAAGGGCAAAGTGGCACACTCCCACCTCAAGCCAGGAACAAATGTGAGCCAGATTGCCAGATGAATCTTACTTCTGCACTGAGGACAGCATCTGGTTTGGAAAACCAATAGCTGAAATGACCTTGAAGGCAATGTGGAAATAGACCCCATTCCAAACCATGCTTCTTAAACCATATATATATATATATATATATATATATATATATATATATATGGTTTACAACATAAAAACCATACAGTGAAAAACATATTAAATAGTTAAGAACAATATTAAAAAGTTAAAAACAGACCATTGTAGAAAGATGTATTCTTAATTGCATGCATAAGCCGGGTGGAACATAAAGTTTTCAGCAGGTATTTAAAATTTGGAACAGAAGGTGCCTGCAATCAGGGAAGATGTTCGTAAAGTAACCCACTGCTGGTAACTTATGCTGCTTAAGTTAAGCTATTTGAGCCCTACCATGTCTGCTGGGACGCGGGTGGCGCTGTGGGTTAAACCACAGAGCCTAGGACTTGCTGATCAGAAGGTTGGTGGTTTGAATCCCCGCGATGGGGTGAGCTCCCGTTGCTCGGTCCCTGCTCCTGCCAACCTAGCAGTTCGAAAGCACGTCAAAGTGCAAGTAGATAAATAGGTACCGCTCCGGCGGGAAGGTAAACGGCGTTTCCGTGCGCTGCTCTGGTTCGCCAGAAGCAGCTTAGTCATGCTGGCCACATGACCTGGAAGCTGTACGCCAGCTCCCTCGCCCAGTAAAGCGAGATGAGCGCCGCAACCCCAGAGTCAGTCACGACTGGACCTAATGGTCAGGGGTCCCTTTACCTTTACCTTACCATGTCTGCTAAGTGCTGGAGAAAATGTGTGCAGCACAGTACCTACATGCATATGTGGTGGCACTGCCCTCACGTAGTACGCTTCTTGGACCAGCTTTTTGACCACTTGCCCCTGGGAACAAAATGAAGTGTATCAATATCTCCTCCTCCAGCTCTCGTATTCTTATTCACTGCTCTTGAGCTATCCACTCGTCATCTCAGTACTCGTGGCTTCTTGCATGATAGTGGCGGGTTGGGGGATGGAAAACTTTCTTGCACATCACTTTTACTGGTTAGTACAGGCAAATTTAGTACATAGGCTTGTCTGAGAAACTGACGCACAACACCAGATTGAGTAAGGGCCAATCCAAGACGGATACATTTGAGGAAGTCCAATTTCTGCACGTTGCAAGTATTGTTGAATTGGTGGAAGGAGGTGAGGCTGCTGGCCTTGCTTGTTTAGCCTTAGGAGAGACTCAACATGATCGCCAACCCACCCTGAGGTTGTGCATTGCTCCTGAAACCCCTTCCTAGTTTCTTCTTTATACACAAGTGTATGCAGCAGAAACAAATTATATCAAAAGTTTATTCTTGCTTGCCTTTGATTTGCACATGGTAATACATGTCTATTACATTGTATTGTTCAAAATAATTAATAAAAGGGTACTTAAAAACAACAGCAATAACTGGTGGCAGAGCTGCACTGTAGCCACAAGTAGCAGGCTAGTTTAAGGGGAACAAGACAGGCTATGTAGCATAAATACTCAGTCAAATGAGTGGGGTACAAATACTACTACTACTACTACTACTAATAATAAAGTTCTGTCCTCCAACACCTTCCTACTGCTCCTCACTTCTGCCACCTCACTGACAGGACCACCTGTGGCACCCAGCTACCCCGCAAGACGGGTAGACAGCATGACTGCACTGCAGTTCCCATAATCCTTAAGCACTGGCCACGCTGCTTGGGTCTGATGGTAGTTGTAAGCCAAGGACACCTGGAGGGCACCATGTAGGAATGGAGGCAAGGGGCAGGAGATCTGGGCCCCGACAC